ACGGTAAAAAAATGAATTTTATCCTCAGACTTCTGACACAACCCGAATTTAAAAAAAAATTTTTTAATTTTTTGAAAAATAAATTTTTTTTTTTTAATTTCTTTTTTCCATTTTTTTGGTTCTTTTTTGCAAAATCACTTTTTTAGTTTTTCTTCAAGAATCCCATAACTTATTGTACACAATCTTTAAAGATCGCGTAAACACGTTGTTTCGATCACCTCCAAGCAATTTGTTTGCGGTTTCGGACAAAGGAAAGCGTAGTGCAAACAACTTTCCAAATTTAGCCTTGCTCAATGCGAACAAAGAGTGTCATAATCAGTCGTAAAATCGGGAGGGATGCCCCCAAATGACGTGGATGTCTTCGCACGGTGCAAAAAAGTTTGGGGTTGAAAAGTACAGTAAATTTTGAAAAATTAGGCTGTACGTTGTATGCATGGGGAAGGAGAAGGCTGGCTTACAATTAAACTGTTAGATAAAAAGGCTTACTGTTAGATAAAAAAAAATAATACGACTATTCAGGTCCTAGGATAGTTTATTACATATTTTGCGGTATTTTACATGTGTAATAATACATATAGGGAAAAAAGTTACGGGTCTTCGTTTTTGGAGCAGGTTTTAGTCTTTTCTATGTTGCAGTAACTCAGGGTCAAGAAAAGTGAGGTTAGGAACAGTTAAAATTATAAAAAATTATGTTATGGTAAGTTTTCGCCAAGTCTCCGCCGAGCCTTCGCCGAGCGTCCGCCAAGCATCCAACGGCTTTTCCAGACCTTGTAGGCACATTCTGCACCTTTTTTTAGGGGTCTCCGCCTGTTCTACTCCTCGCGAGTCCTCCTGTTAGTCATTTTTTTGAACCGAAAAGTCGGGACGCAATCTTTTTTCAAATGCATTTTTTGGTCCTACCACGAAAACCTGGAAAGACGGAATTTTGTCAAAAGTGCGCTATTTTTGGATCAAATTTTGAGCTAGTACTTTCAAAGCAAAAAATATGATTTTTTAGAGCTGTGTTTTCTATATTCCCAAGTAATTCTTTCTAAATTTTGACTTGATTCTTTTGAAAATTTGTGATTTTCTGCTAAAAATTAGCTTTAAGCCTTTCGAAGGCATCCAACAAAATCTTCAACATTTTGCTGTTATAACCTTTGACTTCTGGTCGCTGTAAAAAACCTAATATCATCAAAACATGACTTTCTAAAAATAAAATCTTCTTGCCAACGATTACTGTCTTCAATTGTAAGACAGTATTTTCACGCAACTTCCAGATTCCTGGGGGAATTCCATTGATTCCTATGATCAATTAATCAAAAAGACAAAAAAGTCCGTGATATTGCTAACGAAATTGGTCGAGTTTCAGCGATTCGTCTGCGATTTTCGTCGACGAATTTGAAGCATTGGAGTTTGGGCTCGTTGTAAAGTACTACTCGTGATCGGAATTCCCCCAAAAAATTGTAGCAAAATTATTGCGAAAATTCGGAGACATACCGCAAGTTCGAATCCGCAAGTTCGAATGCCTAAAGTTCGAATGACTAAAGTTCGAACGACCTCCAGTTCGAACTACCTAATCTTCGAATGACCGTAACTTTGAATGACCTAAAGTTCGAATGACTAAAGTTCGAAAATGAAAAAAAAGTTAATTAATATTTAAATTATAATTTGCATATAATTATTTTGCAAAATACACTTCCTCTTCAATCATTCATTCATCCTTTACGATGGAGGTTGGTTGTCCGAACACTCTGACCGGCAACGAACGCGCTGTTCTTCATGTCGACCTGGTCAATATTCGTCATGGAGCCAATCCAACTGTGTCTTTCTCGGTTTGGGTTTGTCGAACTGGATTAGGTTTGTCGAACTGGGCCCAGTTTAGTATCGACCTTCAAATCCTTCCTTTAGTGCAACATTTGAATAAAACCCGAATTTTGCTCATTTATGGGAAATTTTCATTCTGAGGGAGGTCGGTTGACCGCTCTTTCAGAGATCTAAAAAATCTAAATTTTGGGTGAAAAAGAGTTGCGAAGTTATGAAACAATTCGTAAATGGCACAATAACCGTAATAAATGTGAAAAATACGAGATGCTTGATATTTAACACAATCGCTTTCATTCAGATTATCTGTCTTTACAGTTCAAACGTATATAAAACTTCATTCATCATAGTTCATCTTAAAAATGCGTTGATTTTGCAAATAAAAAGTGTCTAATATGCCTGTATCCTGTCAATCACGAAAATGTAATCTAAGCCCGAGCAAAAAGCCCACTAAGAAATTGTGGTACCCTCTTTTTCGTCGAATATTATAGTTCATTTATTGAAAATGTCAGAGAACCCCCAGGAGATGTTGTTCATGACCTCAGGTATACTTAACATTTGTTTTTTATTTGTATTTACAATTTTTTCTGAAGATCGAAAAATCTTCAGAGCTCTGAGAGAGCAGTCAACCGACCTCACCCAGACTGAAAATTTCCCATAAATGAGCAAAATTCGGGCTTTATTCAAATGTTGCACTAAATGAAGGATTTGAAGGTCGATACTAAACTGGGCCCTGGAGGTCGTTCGAACTTTAGTCATTCGAACTTTAGGCTTTCGAACTTGCTGATTCGAACTTGCGGTGGGTAACCGTTTTTTGGATACCAAAAAAAACGGCTTTGCGAGCAGAGCAGCAGTTTTTTTTCACAGGGCAAAAAAATCGCGTGTGAGGCAGATTTAAACTTGGGGTTTTTCGAACTTGCGGTAGGCGTTCGGAGACCCACCGCATTCGATTCTTTTTTTTCATTCTGCATTTTTTATATTTTCATATTTCGAACTTCCGGTTTTCGATCTTTTGGTTTTTCTAATTTGAGGTTTTTCGAACTTCTAGTATTCGAACTTGCGGCATTCGAACTTGCGGCATTCGAACTTTTGGTTGTCGAACTTGGGGTTTTTCGAACTTCCGGTAGGCGGTCGAAAATTCTTAGTCATTTTACTGCAACGTTATGGAATTTTCCTATACACGGAACAACATGAAATACAACGTGATTTGAAAAGTTGATCTTTTTTCGCCTTTTTCCACCAACGCACAGTCTATGTTTTCCCCATTTTCCTTGTTTGTCGCTCACGCACCGTGCATTCCGTTGTTTTAAGCCTTTTCTTCGAGTTTGCACTGTGCGGACGATTCAGCCAAATCGCGGTGATGCGGTCGGAAAAAGCCGACATCGCGGCGATATTTTGATGCACGGTGCAAAAAATGCGCAAAAGGTGAAATGCACTGTGCAAAAATGGGGGCGCTATGACTTTTCGGATCAACGAGAGCTTGAGTCAACTATACATATGTATGTACTATGGACCGGCTCGGTTCGTCGTTATATGCATGGTGGAGGCTAGGAGAAGGCTTAGCTAGTAGAAATAATAAGATTTACCGGGACCTAGGATAGCTTATAACCTATTTTGAGGCATTTTACACCAATAATGTCTAAACTCACATCAATAATATCTAGATAAAAGTTAAGGATCTTCGTTTTTTTGCCGCAAATTATGGTCTTGAATATGTTACAGTAACTCAGGGTAAAGAAAACTAACGTTAGTAAAAGGTAAAATTAGAAAAATTGGAAATACTGCAAGTCTTCGCCAAGTCTCCGCCAAGTCTCCGCCGAGCCTTCACCGACCATCCAACGGGTTTGCTAGGCCTCGTAGGCACTTTCTACGACCTTTTTTTTGGGTGTCCACCTTCTCTACGCCCCGTATCGATCGATTTTGTGTTGACCCGAACTGCCGTCGACCCGAAAAGTCTGGACGCGAAAATTTCTACAGAAAATAAAATTTAACAAGGAAAGTACTTCTATGGGGTGTGGAATTACCGGTCGAGATATATATCAAAAAATCCGCAAAAATTTTCTGATTCAGAATATATATAAATTAGCTGCCTAATTTTGGTCTGATGACATGTTTTTGTCCTCAGAAGTTTTCTCGCGACACAATGCAAGGGTCTTTTTGACCGTGTTTTTACCAATAAAAAAATTTTGTTTTGTGCTAAAATAAATTTTGAGGCCTTGACAAGCCTTAAAATATCAAATTGGATTACAACTACACCTTAAAAGTAGTTCCAATGTAAAAAATGGGTTCTGGTGTGGCAAAAGGAACCGAACCCGTCCCCTTCGGATTCCCATTCTAGCGCTCTAACCACTCGGCCACACCGCTCTCTTCCGACGGAAGAGACCGAGCTCGCTTTTGTTGCCGCAGATTTTTTCCTCGAGAAATACATTTATTGATAAAACTCGTTAATAGACCAAAATTAGGCAGCTAATTTTTATATATTCTGAATCAGAAAATTTTTGCGAATTTTTTGATATATATCTTGACCGGTAATTCCACACCCCATAGAAGTACTTTCCTTGTAAGCATTTTCAAATGAAAAATAGTGGCTGTCGTCATACCGTTTGGCCTACGCAATCCCTGAACGCTTGTTCGAAGGCACTAGACCATGCACGTCTGCTATATTCACAATGAGATTTTATTCTCATTGTTCTTGACTTCCAGTCCAAAGAATAAGTTTTCTATCCGCTGTAACCTCTTGATTAAGCATCAATCCAAAAAATACGAAATGTAATTAAAAATAGAAATTATTTTCAAAAAAAATGCGATCCTGAAGTAAAAAATATTTATATAGAAAACCCGAAACGCTAGACGTAAATCCATGGGATGCGAACTGGATCAGCCTCGCCCATTCTCATCGATGTTTTCTTCGCTTTCTCCCGGCTTTGTCGGTCATCCGTCGATTGAGATCGATCACAGCTCAAACGCACATCACAGCTGGTGTTTATAATGTGATCAAAACAAGTTATTTAGATGTTTCAAGGGGATTTTTAAGATCACAAATAAAGTTTTTTTTATAATGTTTATTTTATTGGATGATCAAAAAAATGTGACCAAAATTCAAAATAAATATTGAAAAAAATAATAAAATTAATTGATATGCCTTGAGGTAGTCGTTGGCAGTGGAAAATATTTTAAAATTATGACTTCAAAAAAGGTTAATTCCTCGGGACCGAGTAGTAAAATCCATCGGCCGTTCTGTAGACGCCATTGCCCAAGTATTCCCAGCCATTTGGGACTTGTCCTTGATTTTGACTATTCTGCCCAAGTTGCCCATTTCGATTCTGGCCTTTATTTTGACCATTATTCTGGCCATTCTGACCAAATTGCCCATTCTGCCCAACTTGCCCTTTCTGACCAAGTTGCCCATTTTGATTCTGCCTTTGATTTTCACCATTCTGACCTCGATTCCCACCATTCTGACCAAATTGCCCATTCTGCCCATTTCCTCCACCTTGAACTTGCTCAGGTGTTCCTGACCCTCCACCGCTCCCTTTGATCGCCGCAAATGCAATTCTTTTCTTCTTCACATCATAGACTTGGCAATAATCCCGAATAAACGCATCCCCAAAGATCCAGAAGCCGAAATCGCCGGACGAAACCGCGATCTGACAGTTCCCACTGTCACTCTTCGCTCCAAGCATCAAACTTTTCGCGTTGATACTGTAAGTCTGGCCATTTATCGAGAGCGAGATCTTGGCGGTCGATTGGCAATTCACGTAATAAGCGCCACCACTGGATGTGGCGCCCAATTCGCTGGTGAATTGTTGAATATTGTCCGATGGAATGACAATATAAGCGGTGCCGGTGTCGGAAATTGCCTGAAATGGGGGTCTACAGTTTGGAGAGCGATTATTTCGATTTTTGATCTCACCACGAAACCCTGAAAAGTCGAAATTTTCTGAGAAATTCGGTGACTTTTAATAAAAATTGTCAAATTTTTTACAGTGGGGGACCTGATCCAGTGGCAAAAAAAGCACCATTTTGCATCCGGGAGGTCTCAAAAATGTGGCAAGATGCTTCCCTTTCCAAGTGAAAAAACTCCGATTTTAAAAGCGCGCCCGCTCTTTTTGTGAGGGCCTTTCAAAACGAAGTTTTTTCACTTGGAGAGGGAAGCATTTTGCCACATTTTTGATGCTTCCCGGATGCAAAATGGCATGTTTTTTGCCCCTGGATCAGGTCCCTCACTGTATTTCTATCCCTTACCTTAAAATTCGAGGCGCTAAAGCTCCCAACACTCAGTGTGTTCACCACGAATTGCCAATACGGAGTGCCAGTTGTCAATGGGATCCATTGATAATCACTTTCACAATTCTTACTGTCAAACCCACCCAGCGTGATTTGCCCTCCATTGGGGCAAGTTCCCGCCTCACAATCTTGGAAATACGCCGTGAAAATTGGCTCGTCGAAAACGCCTTCATTCACTCCTTGAATAAAGATTGGCGTGTTTTCGTCGGTCGCAAAAGACAAGCCGAGAATTCCTCCGTCCTGGAAAGTCATCTGCTCTCCCACACCGAAGGTGACCGGATTTTTCAACGGCAGCGTTGAAGAGCCATTGCCGAAGGCGAACTTGTCCGTATAGTATTTCCCGGCCGCTGTTCCGGTCCCATAACTGACCGAAAATTGTCTTCCCGTATCCGAAGCCGTCGACGAAGCCGACGGGTTGTAGGTGGCGCCGCTTTTACAGCTGCTGGCGTAGAAGCCGCTGGACGTGCAGCCTTGTCCCGGCACCCACAGCAGATTGGAGCCGGTGTCGAATTGCAGTTCGAAGCTCTGAGGGGGCGTCCCCAAAGAAATGACCCCTTTGTACCAAATATCGTTTTGATTTGCAACAGTGAGGCCAAGCACGTCTTCCAGAACTCCTGAAGAGACAATGAGAAAAGGAGACATACCGCAAGTTCGAATCCGCAAGTTCGAATGCCTAAAGTTCGAATGACTAAAGTTCGAACGACCTCCAGTTCGAACTACCTAATCTTCGAATGACCGTAACTTTGAATGACCTAAAGTTCGAATGACTAAAGTTCGAAAATGAAAAAAAAGTTAATTAATATTTAAATTATAATTTGCATATAATTATTTTGCAAAATACACTTCCTCTTCAATCATTCATTCATCCTTTACGATGGAGGTTGGTTGTCCGAACACTCTGACCGGCAACGAACGCGCTGTTCTTCATGTCGACCTGGTCAATATTCGTCATGGAGCCAATCCAACTGTGTCTTTCTCGGTTTGGGTTTGTCGAACTGGATTAGGTTTGTCGAACTGGGCCCAGTTTAGTATCGACCTTCAAATCCTTCCTTTAGTGCAACATTTGAATAAAACCCGAATTTTGCTCATTTATGGGAAATTTTCATTCTGAGGGAGGTCGGTTGACCGCTCTTTCAGAGATCTAAAAAATCTAAATTTTGGGTGAAAAAGAGTTGCGAAGTTATGAAACAATTCGTAAATGGCACAATAACCGTAATAAATGTGAAAAATACGAGATGCTTGATATTTAACACAATCGCTTTCATTCAGATTATCTGTCTTTACAGTTCAAACGTATATAAAACTTCATTCATCATAGTTCATCTTAAAAATGCGTTGATTTTGCAAATAAAAAGTGTCTAATATGCCTGTATCCTGTCAATCACGAAAATGTAATCTAAGCCCGAGCAAAAAGCCCACTAAGAAATTGTGGTACCCTCTTTTTCGTCGAATATTATAGTTCATTTATTGAAAATGTCAGAGAACCCCCAGGAGATGTTGTTCATGACCTCAGGTATACTTAACATTTGTTTTTTATTTGTATTTACAATTTTTTCTGAAGATCGAAAAATCTTCAGAGCTCTGAGAGAGCAGTCAACCGACCTCACCCAGACTGAAAATTTCCCATAAATGAGCAAAATTCGGGCTTTATTCAAATGTTGCACTAAATGAAGGATTTGAAGGTCGATACTAAACTGGGCCCTGGAGGTCGTTCGAACTTTAGTCATTCGAACTTTAGGCTTTCGAACTTGCTGATTCGAACTTGCGGTGGGTAACCGTTTTTTGGATACCAAAAAAAACGGCTTTGCGAGCAGAGCAGCAGTTTTTTTTCACAGGGCAAAAAAATCGCGTGTGAGGCAGATTTAAACTTGGGGTTTTTCGAACTTGCGGTAGGCGTTCGGAGACCCACCGCATTCGATTCTTTTTTTTTCATTCTGCATTTTTTATATTTTCATATTTCGAACTTCCGGTTTTCGATCTTTTGGTTTTTCTAATTTGAGGTTTTTCGAACTTCTAGTATTCGAACTTGCGGCATTCGAACTTGCGGCATTCGAACTTTTGGTTGTCGAACTTGGGGTTTTTCGAACTTCCGGTAGGCGGTCAATGAAAACAGTTTCTGAATTGAAAACGAGCAATTTTTGTTAGGAAAATTGGAATTTTTCCAATTTTCTCAAAATTTTACATACTCAAAAAGATGATCGAATATCTCGGCTCTCGCCATAAAGAAAAAGCTAAAATTTTCAGGCATTGAAGTGTGCTCTAGACAGAATGTTTGAGCAGAATTTAAACGAAATCCGAGCGTCCTGCCTCGAGAAATTTCTCTTGGAATATTAGTAACTCTTACTTCCTTTGGCCCATTTTCGATTGTGCAAAGTTGTAGCACCCTGCTGTTTTCTCAGTTGATACTTCAACACAGCACTGTCAACCAGCCAAACACACAGTAGAACAACCAAAGCAGCTGGAATTCTCATCATATCCCACTAATTTTGACCAACTTGATATTATAGTAGGAAATGAAATGTCAAAGCTCACGGAAAATCGCAACATTTTATACTCAAAGCCTTCGTCGAGCTTCAGGCAGACATCTGAGCACATCTGACGTTCATTATCTCATGACCCTATTGTCTTATTTGTCGTATTTTTGAAGGAAAAAGGAAATTCGTAAATTTTTATATAAATTTTCGAAATTTCATTGTTTATCATGGTATTTACTCAGCTGAAATAGCATATTTTTATTGTTTATGCTATCCTTTGTTCTGTTTTCTTACTTCCGATCAGTTAGAGGCCATTTTGTAGACCAAATGTTTTCGCTGCGGAACCAAATTCATTTTCTTGGCATTGTGTTGCAAGCTCTTTTTCTCGTTCATCCCAAGGTTTTTTGCTATTTTATGATGTTCTCCGTGGAGTTTACGCGTTTCTGAAGGGTAAAATACGGAATTCTGTATTTTGATATGGGGTGCTCGCTATTTCCACAATTTTTGATTTTCGTCTTTTTATTTTTATTGAGAGAGTTATGCTTTTAGAATGTCGGCGGCCAAGCGAGTTGCTCAGTCGTCGGTCAACTGGGCTAAATTGTCCGACAAGTTGATTCCCTCTCATCAAGCTGAGTTGGCTCGTCTCAGAGGCCAGAACAGCACCTTCGGAGCAATGTAAGCAATATGTTATTGTTTGTTAGAGTTTTAGGTAAATACAAGTAGGATATTATCATGAAGGCTTGAAAGAATAGCGATTCTCTATCTAGAGGACAGATTTGCTATCTCGGAGATGAGAAGAATTAATTTTACCCTAATTCATACTTCTTCACCATGTATTATATAAATATTTTAGTGTAAACCAACTTCCCGCTGATCTGCCTAAGGTTGACTTTGCTCAGCTGAAGAAGGAGCTCCCTGACCATGTCGCTGTTCTTGATTCGCTCCAGAAGCAATTTGAAGCCATCAAGATTCCTTATGGTGAAGTCCCAAAGGAATTGAACGCTGAGGTCGACAAATGGGTCAAGTTCAACGATGCTCGTGTGAAGTTGAACAATTTGAAGGCAGCTGATGGTGCTGAGGAGGCCAAGAAGAAGGTGGGTTTAATTTCCAAAAAAAATTATATTGCACTTGGGGTTTATATAAAAAGGTTTGATTCTAGGAAGAGAAATGGGCAAGTGCTCCTCCAGTTGAGCAGATGGCTCGTGAGCACTTTGTTCAATACTTCCCCAAACACTTCACCGACTACCGTTATCAGAAGCGTATTCGTAAGTTATTTTTTTCTTTTGGGTCTTCGAGATTTAGATAAAAGGTTGTATTTCACCTGATCATTTCAGCTGATCCAACTGGAGTCGGCTTCAACGAGTCCGAGGCGATTGAGACCCGTTTCCGCGACTACAAAGTTCTTCGCCGTCCAGACAAGGTCGACGACCATTAGATTTCCCCAAGTACAATTTATTTGACCAACCCGTTATTGGTTTAGGTCTTCAGGATTTTTGTGGGAAATAAAGTAGTTCTATAATAAATTTAGACCATGTTTGGCGATTTATCGGTTAGCAAGGACATGAATATCTATAATTTAGAGATTAAATGAGTTTCCGAGGGGAAAAATATGTCACAAGTCCAAAAGTTTGAGCAAAATAGCCTTCAGCGTTCTCGCTTCATACGCAACGGTCTTCCTAGGGTCCGTCACTTGACTTTGGACCATTAGGCCGTCCGTTTGTGTTGAAATGTCCTTCCCGTGCACTGAAATTCATGATGAATAATATAATTGATCTCTAGTTTCATTTCCACTCACCTTCGCAGTGTTCTAGAAATGCCATGCAAGCCATTAGGATGTCATCTCGGACCATTAGGATTTGTTTCGCGATCTGTTCGAACATGGCGAGAAGGCATCGCTTCGAAAAATGCCAGGTATCCAGTCCCAATTTTTGCTCATACGGCTCCAAAGAGCCGATTACACGCGTAATTCCGAATTCGTAGTTGCCCTTGGCGCAGTAGAGAGTGCCAATGACCAGATTAATGATGCAAAAATGGAAGGATTTCTTCTTGGGGTTCTTCATTTCCTCCTTCTCGACGCGTTTCATGATTTCTTCGGCGGTATCGTTCGCATTTCCGAGGATATAACAGACGCAGGCGTTGGCCAGGACAATTGCGCTGATGTCTAACATCTGAAGAGGAAATTTGGACCTTTAAAAATGATTCAAAATTCAAATTTCGACATTATTTTAGGCGCAAAATTGATGATGAAAAAAAATTTCCAAAAATTTTAAAATTCGCTTACCTTTTCAAACTTTGTGTTGATTATAGGCGCGTAGCACTCCGAGGCTTCCTTGTATTTCTCCTGAAGTTTGATTTGTTGAGGTTTTTTCACCTACCTGCATGTATAAGGTATGAGCCAGGTTCAACATCCAAGTCTCGTTTAGACTGCAAAATTCCGAAGATCTTGAGAAAAGACTCTCCACATTCGAATATTCCTCCCTCTCCCAAACAATTCGAGCCTGTGCCATCAGAACTGGGATATATCTGAAAAAAAGTTTAACTTAAACTTGATGAGTTTATAATACAGTGGGGGACTTGCTCCTGTGGCAAAAAACGTACCATTTTGCATCCGGGATGTATCAAAAATGTGGCAAAATGCTTCCCTCTCCAAGTGAAAAAACTTCGTTTTGAAATCTGAGTTTTTCACTTGGAGAGGGAGGTATTTTGCCATATTTTTTATGCTTCCTGGATGCAAAATGATACGTTTTTTGCCACTAGATCAGGTCTCCCACTGTACTAACGAAATTGTAAGAAAATTAAAAATTTTCGGAATTTCTGCGCCTTTTTTGGAAACTCAAATCCTATATTACCTATCCATGCACTCTTTGATATCGTCCTTCGCCCTTTCGATCTCCTTTTTGTCTCCGGAGTCCATGACTTCCTTCAGTTTTTGATGCGCCTTCCGCAACTGATTCAGCTGGTCCGCTGTGAGTGCGTCGAACTTGTTGTAAGCGTCGGTCGGCGAGGATTGTTGACTAATCAAGGCGTCTAGGTAGTCAAACATGTATTGAGTCAGATATTTGTAGGTTAAATGGGCATTTTCGGCCAACACATCGGCCGCCAAGTCGTAGTACTGGAAATGAAAAAATTGATTGGGCCAAAAAGCTCAAATTTTTGCAGAGACATTCTAGGCCAACGTTGATTTATGTCAGGAAATTCTAAACTACCCTTTGCAAGTCATTTTCTTTGATTTTTCTCAAACGTCCCACGAAATTACGGATTTTCAGGTTTTCGTCATGGGACCAAAAATCTAATCCCTTCGATTTTCTTCAATTTCAGCACGAATATTCTATACAGCCAAAGTATTAACTCCTGAAACTTTCAGCTGTCACTTTGCAAGGAGAGCAGAAAAAGTCATCGCTGAAAAAATGGGTTTCTCTGACCGACTCTTCTCATTTTACGGAATCTCTCGCAAAAAGTTGAATATCTTGGCTCTCCTAGCAGAGCGAGAGCTGAAATTTTCAACAGTTAATACTTCGGCTATATAGAATATTCGCGCTGAAATTGAAGGAAATCGAAGATTTGTATTTTTGGTCCCACAACGAAAACCTGAAAACCCGTAATTTCGTGGGAAGTTTGAGAAAAATGAAAGAAAATGACTAGCAAAGGGTAGTTTAGAATTTCCTGATATAAATCAACGTTTTTTGCCTTTTGAGTGAGGGAAACCTAACCTCATATCTGCAGTATAACAACAATAAATTGGCGAAAGTCTCCGGAGGGAATGGATTTTGTGTGAGAAGATACTGCAGCCTCGCGAAACTGTCCGCAAAATTCGAATCGACACTCATAAGTGCTTGATTATGCAACGTGACCGGGTCCAATTCCTCCTCACTTCTGGGAGGCATGTCGGTCAGACAGGCCGCCGCTTTTTCCATATTTTTCGATTTGTATTCGATGGCAAATCGAAGATTCAACGCCTCAATTAACGCTGTTTCATTGAGAATCATGGTGTTTCCAACTGATCGGACTTCAATTCCATCGGTTACGGTGCCTACGCCGAGCTCTGAAGAGAGAAATTGGGGGGAAAATGGGCGAGGTTTGATGAAATTTGGGGCAACTGCATTTTCTTTTTATAAAAAAGGGTTTTTTCAAATTTCAATTTTTTCGGTTTTTTGATTCGAAATTAAAAAAAAAAAAAAAAATCGATTTTTTAAAACTTCAGTTTTTTCAAAATTTCACATTTTTCAAAAAAAAAAAAAAAAAAAAAAATGCTCCAAATTTTACCTGGATGATCTTTGACTCCCCTCTCTACAATATCCGCTATATATCGCATCGTCTGTTCGGTCTCCCCCAACTGATAATGGCAGAGTGCCAAAGAATAGGCCAAATCGGCCTGAAATCCATGAACCGAGGTGGCATTTTTGAATCGCTCGATAGCTTTCGGGTAATCCCCAAGCTTGAATTCGATACAAGCCAAATTGACTTCCTGGTCCGGGTCGTCGTCTTCGAACTGTTCGACCAGTAATCTTGAGGTGTTCACGTCGTCTTCACGGTACTTTATGGCTGCGGTTAGTTTGAGAAGTTGAGAGCTGATAGCTGGGTCGTCGGCAGACTGAAATTTAAAAAAAGTTACGTAGTTTTATCTTCCAAAATCTGAAAATTCTTTCGTTTTATGCGTTTTTATCAAGTTTCTGCTAAAATTCCGGCTTTTCAAGTTTTCGTGGTGGGACCAAAAATCAAAATTTTCAAGGTTTCTTCAAATTTTGCATTTAGATTCGGTTTAGACCGGATGTTTTTCGCTATGTTTAGGTTTATTTCTTACCAAAAAATTTGAAAAAATGAAAAGTTTTTTATAAATTTCCTTTATAAAAAACTCACGTCATGGATGACAGTTTCGGCTTCAGGGAACATAAATGCGTGATACAAGGCCTGAGCATGATACAGCTTGTATTCGGCGTGATCTCCGTATAATTCTGAGAGTTTTCCATAAGTCTCCGCGGCCATTAGATAGTCTTGGACTTGATAATAGCAATAGCCCAGGAGCGAAAGTCCTGCTCGACTCTGAAAAATGAACTTTGCAGAATTGTTTTCCGACATTTCAAAAACTTATTGGTTGTTATGCAAGCCGTTTTCTTTATTTTTTCGCAAATTTCCCGCAAAATTCCAGCTTTTCAGGTTTTCGTGGTGGGACCAAAAAAATACTCGGATTTTTTTCAAATTTTGTAGATACGTTCCGACTGGGTGGCATAGTAAATACTTAAAATAAATTTGGAAAATTGGAAAATGTAAAAAAATAAAAATAAAAATGTTAAAAAAATTTTTCCATATATACCCCAAGTTTTAACAACCGCTTTGCATCGAATCTCGCTTCAAAATTTGCTTACATTTGGCAGTCGTTGCAACTCATATTGAAGAATCCTCATGGCGTCGGAAAATCTGTTGTCTCGGATCTAAAGTACCACCAATTCGGATGCTATAAGGTATTTTCTTACCATCCCATAAATTGTACTGGTATACTCTCCATCTCTGATTGGGACAAACGCCATTTTACTTTATAGAATTTTGGACAAAAATACGAAAATTTTTGCGATTTTTCGGTTTTTTCTCACAAATTTTAGTTGTCATAGCAACGAAAATGCCACTCTCTATGAGAATAAATGTGTATGAATTGCAAATTTAGCAAAAAAGTTTGAATTTATACAAGTTTATTTAAATTAATAGTTAAAAATTACAAATACAAGTGAATTCCGATGGCCGTTACCCTCTCCGATCATTGAAATCATTTATTAATTATTTTCGCCCGCGGCGATTTCCTCGTTTTCCGTGAAATCCACTTTTTTGTGCTTGGTTCGACGATTTTGAAACCAGACTTTGACCTGAAAGCGAAGGGATAAAAAGTTTAGCGAACTCGAAAGTGTGCATTGGTGGTTCAGTGGTAGAATGCTCGCCTGCCACGCGGGCGACCCGGGTTCGATTCCCGGCCAATGCAATTCCCTTTTTCGCGTTTTTCAATTCAAATTATTGTAGTTTTAGTATTTTTAATCGTTGAAAAATATAATTACTATAGTATTTATTCATTCTACACAACGCACAATTTTTATTTTTATCCGCTTTTTTGAGAAAAATTGCTATTTTAATAGAAAAAACCCAATTTTTTACACTTTTCCTCAAAAAAATCGCTTATTGCCTTTAGGAAAACCTTGAAATTTAACCGAAAAGTAATCCTACTTGTGTTTCATTGAGCCCCAACTTGTTTGCAATAGTTTTTCGCTCCACACTTGACACATAGTGACTCAATTTGAACGCTTCTTCCAAGGCATCCAGCTGATATTGCGTAAACGAAGTGCGAGTTCGTTTGTTTTTGTTCATCTGCTTGAAGATCACTTTGCAAATACTGTCTGAAAATTGAAAAATTTTTCACATTTATTTGATCCACTGTACTGGGGCCTGTTTTTTGTAGCTTACTAATATCGTTGGCCTCATTTTTTTCATCAAACGTGTCGACCCGTTGATTGGACAAACGCGGGTAAATCACATCGAAAAACGACATGGTCTGACATATAGGGCCAGTGGATTTGGCGGATGAGGTTGTTGCAGGGGCCTCCAAAAGGTCGGCGATCCCAAATTTGGCCGTCATTGCAAGGAGTTGCGCTGAAACAAAGCGTAAACTTACAGTTAGTAAAGCAAATCTTTTACAAAGAATCGGCAAATATTATAGGTGCAACCCGTTTTATAAACGAAACATATATCACTTGAAAGAGCATTAAAAATAGTGTACAAAAACTAGCTGCCTAATTTACCTTACGGCACAGATACGACCGCTTTATGAAAGGGGTTATCAATGTTATTCTAAAATCTGTGTTTTGGCTATAACTTTGTCCAAAGTGAAATTAGGAAGCTAATTTTTTTGCTCTATCTATTATTTTTAATGCTCTTTCAAATGATATAGCTTTCGTTAAGAAACAGGTTGCAACTATTCGCCAATCCCTTGTTAGACAAGGAAAATTATGCCCTCGGAAAAATCAGAAATCAGAGTAATGGGCCTTTCCGATTTCGTCCGATTGCCAAAAATTCGACGTAACAGAAAAACCGGATTATTTTTTATGATTATCAGCAAGCTTTTACAAAAAATACAGCATCGCTAAGCCCCAAAAAACTCTACCGTAACCCCCTTTGCTCATCTTCTTGCTATTAGCGCACTTTGTTCGCCCTAATAATCCAACTTGGCCAAGGGGGGGGGGCGCTAAATCCACTTGTTTTGGGCAGGGATGAGCCTTTAAGTGGATCGAATTCCAATAACTCAAACAATCCGGCCCATAAGATCCGATTTCTCTCGGCCCTCTCTTCGCTTTCCATTGTCTTTTCTCGGCCGTCTCTTCGTTGTGCGGACTCTCTCGTCGAGTTGCTGACCGGAAATCCTCCGTCATGGAGTTGTTTCCACAGATTGAGCATTTTAGGGACAAAACATTTGGGCCAAAAAGAGGGTTAAGTGCTCTGTTGGATACGGTAATTGTAGGGATTTCATCGATTGGCAACTAGAATGGGCTAAAGCGGCCCTGCGATGCGAAATCACGTTGGAAACGTTGAAATATGGGCTAAATCTTATGAATTGTGGTACGTGGCAAAATTTGGCCAACTTGAAAAACCGTGGCCAAATCAAACAAGGCCAGGTTGCCCAATTCTCTATGATGACTAAATTTGGCCATAATTTTTACGAGTTGACCACATTTAATATAAGCTTATCCAAATTGGCCAGAATTTTTTCAATTTGTAATTTCTCCAAGTTAACGAATTATCAAGCAATATTATTTATTTCTTATCACGAGATCATCAAAACAAAATCAGTTTACATGAAAGAGAAAAAATGCCGGACGGAATAATTGCCAAAGAAAACAAGTGTGCTAGCTGCTCTAGACCCGCATGAATATGTATTTGTAGACTAATATGACAAATAAAAAAATCAAAATTGAGTTAGCATTTTCACAAAGTGCATGGACATTTGCTCTCTTTCGCACAGTGCATTTCGAACTTTTTCCCACGCTTGTCGCCAACGCACAGTGCATTTTCTCTTTTCGCACAGTGCACTTCTTTCCTTCGCACAGTGCATTTTGAACTTTTCCCATGCTTGTCGCCAACGCACAGTGCATTTTCTCTTTTCGCACAGTGCACTTCTTTCCTTCGCACAGTGCATTTTGAACTTTTCCCATGCTTGTCGCCAACGCACAGTGCATTTTCACTTTTCGCACAGTGCGTTTTGAACTTTTTCCCACGTTTGTCGCCAACGCACAGTGCATTTTTTCTTTCGCACAGTGCAAACCTCAAAAAACAAAAAGCCGCACTGTGCAAATTCCTGGCGCAGCGACGTAGTTGAAACTTTCGTATATCGCAGCGACATTTTGATGCACAGTGCGAAAACCAAGAAAATGTGAAATCCATGGTGCAAAAAAAAAGGGGGGACGGCTTTATGCACGGTGCGGGTCGTGAAAACATATCCACGCACTTTATGAAAATACTAGAATATCTACAGTAAGCTTAACCCCAATTTTCGCCTTGCCATACAATGGCAAAGTTTGTATTGTGATTGTTTTCCTCTGCGGAGGCCTCAGGAACATTCTCATTCACATTCGGAGCCAGGCGTTTGATGAGGTTTCTGAAAACAATGGATTCAAATTTGGAAAAAGAACGGTATGTTAACAGGGGAAGTGCTCCAAGTGCGACGCTCAGATTTTGATGAAAATTAGTACTAATTTCGAATAATTCGGAGTTGGACGATCGAATTTTTTGAATTTAATCGCGAATACTCGAGTTGAAGGTTTTCGATGGTACACGTCAAAACAATTCTTTCAGAAAATTGAAAAAACAAGGAATCTCGGATCATTGATTTTTTGCGAAGTGCCACAGAATTATCGAGCCTGAAAAATTGTTTTCCTCTTCGAAAAAACATTTTTCTCGAAATTCTCTGGGAAAGTTTTCTTTTGTGACTCGATAATTCAGCGACATTTCGTCAAAAATCAATGATCCGAGGTTCTTTGTTTTTTCACTTTTATTTTGACGTGTGGTACTGCTTTCAAATCAAAAAAATAATAATAAGATTTTCGAAATCAGCACCATCAATTATTCTAATTTCGACACTTGCATCGAAGAAAAATAATACTTTTCGGTTTCCCCAATCGTCCTAGTTCCCTTGTGAGTACGCTCAGACGCACCTATACTTTTTGCCGATCGTCACAAAGAAGTTTTGCTGATCCATTTTCTGGAACTCCTCATGTTTCATCCATCCCAGAGTCGTCGGTGCCAGGATCGTCTCCACCGCCCATTCGTAGGTTCTGAAGGAGGTGAGGGGGGTCAGGTCTTGTGCTTCCAGGATAATAAGTACTCCATTTTGAGTGCCGACAAGTAAATTCTCGGCGGCTTGAGTTGGCTGACATTCCATGGCGGTCACCTTGCATCGCTGGCTCTGTTCTTCGTCGAACATCGAGCTGAGGCTCTCGGAGACCGGTAGGATTCGCGAGCAATCCAGGGTGCGCCGTACTGTGCCGTTCTCCCATTGGAAGACACGGCCGTCGTTTTCGAGCGCGCTGAACACCGCATTTCGTTGTCTGCAGCTGGGAATCAGGAACTTGACTCTGGGCGCGGTGGGGGTTTCATTGCCACTGGCGTTTGGATGATGTGAGGATGCGGAATACAATAATCGACTGGTCGATTTCACCACATAATGCGTTACAATTCTCGCATCATCGTGGGCGGTCCAGATCTGCCAGTCGGAGGAGTTTTGGAGCAAGATGGCCGTGTGCAGGATCTCATCCGACTTTATGGTGCACAAATGTTGTGGTAGGGTGCCCGGACACGCACACAAAAGGACATGTTGGGGCAGACAAATGAGGACCGAGCTGTTTATTGGGCAGTATTTTATGGACCGAATCGTCGAGATTTTGGTCAGCGACGGATCAATCGAATCGATTTGAAAGCTGGCCTGTTCCGAGTAACTTTTCGGCGAGTATACGGTAATATCGCCGCTGGCATTCCCGATCCAGACGAAGCGGCCCACCTCGGCGAGGGCGGTGACTTGTTTGCTGCGGAACGGGCCAATTGTCTCGTTCTCGATGAACCCGAACTGGTTCAGCGACATCACCGTGCAGTCGCCGTCCTCCTTCGCCAACCACAGCTGCACGGTGCACTCGTCGGTGGCGGAGATCAGCGTGCAGAGGGTGGTCATTTCGTGGTCCTGGAGGGTGGCGACGTCGGCCAGGTGCGTGAATTCGGGTGCGGTTGTGATGGTGACCAGGTCCGACGATGAAGGGCGAGCGGCCGAGTCGTCCGCCCAACACGTGACCATCAAATCGAGGACGTTGGACGGGCAGAGAATGTCCTTTTCGTTGAGCATGGGCCGCTGCCCCTCGAAGATGCAGTCCTTCATCTGCTCGTGGCCGTCGTAGGGATGGTGGAGGGTGATCAGTTCGTAGACGAACATCCCGAACGAGTAGCAGTCCACCTTCTCCGTGTACTCGAATTCGCCGTTGAATTTGAGGATCTCCGGCGCCATGAAGCCTTCGGTGCCGCCGTAGCCCTTGCACACGTCCAGCGGGTAGCTGAAGCGGCTGATTCCGTAGTCTCCGAGCTTCACATGCACGTTGTTGGGGGAGATTTTTTGCCGAGGCAACGGGAATCGCCAGACCAGAACGTTTTCGGCCTTCAGGTCGCGGTAGATGATGTGATTCGAGTGCAGGAACTCCAAGGCTTTCGAGATTTGCGCACAAGTCAATTGCAGAGTCTCCGGCGCCAATCTGACGTCACTTTTTCGGTATTTCCCGAGGAGTTGGTCGAGCGCACCGTGCGGTGCCAGCTCCATTAATAAAGTGATCGGAGGTCGGGAGAAGCCGACCAGAAGCGTGATATGGGGGTGCTGGAGATCGCAGAGCATGTTCAGCTCTTGTCGCGCGACATAATAAAATTTGGCGACCGATTCGAGGCGATCCGCTTGGTTCGAGGGGACCCGGAGCCGTTGGTTTGGGTCGTCGGAGGTCGGTTCGAGGATTTTTAGGGCAACTTCTTCGAAAACTTCACTCTGAAAATAAAATAAACAGTGAAAAAAATTCAAAGCTAAACTTTTATAGAGCTTTTAAAAAAAAATCAAACTTCCCGCGATTTTTTGGCATTCCGTTTCAAAACTCATCAAAAATTCAATCCAAAATATCCTAATTATCCCCACTTACATAATTCGACTTCACAAAGCCCGAATACACCGAGCCGAACGCGCCTTGGCCCAGCAATTTGCCTCTTTTCACCGCCGACACCTCATGTACAATGTCCGGATTCAGGTCGACGAAGCAAACGTCGGGCGCCAGTTTCTCCAGATCACAGCGGCCATGCAATGGACAGTCGATGTGGGTTGGGGCGGCGGGCCGAAGATGTTTGGCCAAGTCGAACTGGGCGTTCTTTTCGTCGTAGACGGCGAGAATGCATTCTTCCACCGAAAACAGATGAATTGGTGTTTTTTCTTCGGGGTCCGAGGTCTTGCGGTCTCTGAAATTAATCAACAATCAATTTGAAAGATATTTAAAATAATGATGTATTGATTTTTCGATATAATTTTGAAAAATTCCCCTTGAAATCAGCAAAGCCGCACCTTCTCCATTGCTTTTCCGCCATGGATTGAGCGCTCGCGCATTCCGCACACGGAATCAGGCGATCCACCAAAAGCTGACCATCCGACGAATGAACGAATCGAGTGCCCAACGATGGAAACCAATCCTCCAGAAGGTCGTCAATGATTTCGACGAGAGAGGCCAAGAATTTGGTGGCCTGTTTTGGACAAGTCTTTATCGAATAATCAACGCCTTTCCAATTCAAATCCACCTGAAATTGAGCGAATCATTTTTACATTGGGGGACATGATCCAGTGGCAAAAAACGTACCATTTTGCATACGGGAAGTATCAAAAATGTGGCAAAATGCTTCCCTTTCCAAGTTAAAAAACTCCGATTTCAAAAGCGCGCTCGCTCTTCTTGTGAGGGAAAGGGCGCGCCCTTCAAAACAAAGTTTTTTCTCTTGGAGAGGGAAGCATTTTGCCACATTTTTGATGCTTCCCGGATGCAAAATGGTACGTTTTTTGCCACTGGATCAGGTCACTGTATATCTGAAAATCGTTGCACAGTGCAGCAAAAAATAAAAAAATCCGTTCGCACAGTGCGAAATCAATTTTTGAAGATTGCACTGTGCAGAAGGAAAAGGACTTTTTTTTGCACAGTGCAAAAAATTAAAAACTGAAGAACTGGGTTTCATGTTGGGTTTGCCGGCGACAAAAATTATTTTTTGCACCGTGCAAACTTTTTTATTTTTGCACTGTGCTGAATCTAAACTTTGTCGCACGGTTCAAATTTGAAGCATAAAATTTTTTGCACACTGCGAATTTTTGAATTTCGCACCGTGCAGATTTTTGATTTTTCGCACGGTGCAAATTTTTTTTATTTTTGCACTGTGCACAAATCAAATTTTAATCAAAAACTTTTTTGCACAGTGCAAATTTTTTGAATTTCGCACTGTGCAAATTTTTGATTTTCTTGCACCGTGCAAATTTTCATATTTTTGCACAGTGCAAAAAAATTTTTTGGATGTTCAAACTCAAAAAACTCTTACTTTATAAAACGGGACCAGTAATTCGAGTAAAAAATCGCTTTCCAGGTTCACCTTTCTCCAGATCCCATCCTCGCCCCGGGCCTTCAACGCCGAAACCGAGTAATTTGTGTCGCGAACATTGGCCAACGGCAAAAATTGCTTGATGGACATCAAGAACTGGCCAAAAAAGTTGGTCTCAACACCAGTTTGCCAGAGCAAGAAGTCGAATCCTCCGCGATTTTCCCCGCCTTTATCCGTATTCAGCGCGTCCATTATGTCGGCGTACAGAGCGCATTCATTCGGGAGGGAGAGGCTGAGGGATTCGTCGTTGAGGACGAAAAGTCCGCTGATAATTTGGGCAAGCTTGTCGTCATTGAGGAGGCGGGTTGTGAGACGGGGCCAAAATCCGGGCGGGATATATTGTAGTAGGTAGAGACGGCGATAAACGTCCTAAAATATGAGAAAATGAAATTTTTTTGACAAAAAAATTTTCCAGATTAAAAAAAAAATTTTTTTACCAAACAAAAATCCAAAATTTCACTTGAAATTAGATCAAAATTTCAGAAAAAAATTAAAAAAAAATTTTTTTTTCATAAAAAATTTTTGCCAGATTTTAAAAAAAAATCCAAAAATTCACTCGAAATTAGATCAAAATAAAAAAAAAAAAAAAAAAAAAAAAAAAAATTAAAAAATTTTTTTTTTTCCAACTTACGGTTTGAGTAGTTTCGATTTTCATTTCGCCAAAACTTTTCAAATCCTCCGTTTTTTCATCCACCGACGCCGTGGACGAGGCGATTCGACTGGAAGCGGCTGCTTTATAGCCCAACTGTCTCGTCAATCGGCCATGCACGGTGCGGGCCGAATTTTTGGGAGACAAAAATTCGATCGCACTGTTCGCCATGCTGCTGCTCAGGCTGGTCTTCATCAGAAATTTGTCGATTTTGGCGCGGATTTTGACTTTTGCGCCCGGATAATCGGCCCGTAGCAGGTACTCGTCGGGCAAAAGCGGGGAGACCAGCAGCTGCCTGGGGGAATAGGGCAACGCCAGCTCGAATTTGGCCAACAACGGGAGCAGGCAGTGGCGAAGGAGGCCGGATTTCATCGAAAATTTGATGCGCCGTTCCGCCAGATTCGCTTTCAGTTGGTGGAAGAGTTCGGAGGTGGAGAGGATCGCATTTCCGGCCGGATTTATCGATGCCGTGCTTGTTGTGGACTTCTGCGACGGCGCCACGAACGCCATTCGGAGGACGGTGTAGAGCCAGGGAGGGTCGATGAAGACGTAGTCGCGGAGTTGGGTGTCGTCGAAAGCGACGATCACTCCGTTCTCGTGCAGGAATTGAATCGCTTGACGGAATTCGGTCTTGTCGCGGAATAATCGGCGGGTGATCGCTAAAAACGCATCAGTTGACAAATGTTTCCAACGTGATTATAGTGCAAGAGAACTTCAAATAAAAATCGCTGGGATGATTAGGGGAAAAGACGATTGGGGAAACCGAAAAGTATTACTTTTCTTCGATGCAAGTGTCGAAATTAGGCTAATCGAGGGTGCTGATTTCGAAAATGGCACTCATTTTTTTTTATCTTAACTTTTTTCCTTAGGTAGTACTGTAAAGCAGTAATTTTGTGAATGTTTTTCATGAATACTCTGATGGGTTTCGATGGTGTTGCTTTCAACTCACAGGGGAAGTACCCCAAGTGCGACGCTCAGATTTTGATGAAACCCGGCACAAATTTAGAATATTTTTTTCTAAGATATATGCGAGAATCCTAGCTCGCGCTTTGCAGAAACAACCGAGATTTTTAGATCGAAAGTCGGCGAAAATTTATGACTTTTTGCCGAATTTCCGCTCGAAAAGTTTCATGCCTATTTCTACCGTAAAGGATAAAGTTTCTACAAAAAATCAAATTTTTCCGCACGAAACTGACAAAGTTATAGCCAAAAAGCGTTTTTCTCTCTGACCGCTCTCCACGTTTAGCGTGCTCTCTCGGCGGCATAAATCGTCCGATATCTCGGCGGCGCCTGCAAAGCGCGAGCTAAAACTTTCAGGAATTGATATTTAGTCTATCCCAGACGTGTGGGCAAAATTTAAAGAAAATCTGAGCGTCGCACTTGGGGTACTTCCCTCGTCAGAAAAAATAATAAGATTATCGAACTCAGCACCATCGAAACCCCCGAAATGGAGTATTTGTGAAGAAAATTCAAAAAATTACTACTTTACAGTATACTGTACTGCAGTACTAGTCCGTTCGTAAAGTCGCTGGAATGATTTCGGCGACGTGCACTGTGCAAAAAAAACTCAGGGTGCGGGCGACAGCCCGAAAAAGCCTATTGCACTGTGCAAAAGGCCAAAAATTGCACAGTGCAAACTGAACTTTCGGTTTCGCGGAGTGCATGTCGCCGAAAACATTCCAGCGACTTTACGAACGGACTAGTACTACCTTAGGAAAAAAGAAAAGATCGAAAAATGAATGTCATTTTCGAAATCAGCACCATCGACAACTCCTAAATCGAGTATTTGTGAAAAAAAATTTTTAAAAATCCTAAAAAAAATGAATGTCATTTTCGAAATCAGCATCCTCGATTATCCTAATTTCACACTTGCATCGAAGAAAAATAATACTTTCCGGTTTCCCCAATCGTCCAACTCCGGAAAAAATACGCGTGCACTGTGCGGGAAAATAATTTTGTCGCCAGCGATTCTTTCATTTTCTTCCTCAAAATCCATTTTGCACAGTGCAGTCTCCAAAACTTTTTTTTTCGCACCGCACGTCAAATTGAGGAGTCCGGCGACCGGAATAGACTCTTCGCTATCGGTTTTTTACACTTCGTCTTGATTTCCAGAGAAAAAGAGAAAAAAGACGCGCAAAAGCGTACTCTCTCGCCCCAAAAATTCCCCATTTCTTCCGCGACAAAACGTTTTTCCGCGTCTTTTTTTTGGCAAATTGCCAACCAATTCACCGGACTGTTTTAGCTTACTGCACGGTGCAAAAATCTCAGCCGCGAAATTACCTGCATGTTTTTCGTTATTTTGCGGGCCAATTGAGACCAATGAAGCGGTCGATTGACTGCCGGAAATTCGACTGTTTTTGAACTCGTCGCACACTCGGGTCCATAAGGAATCGATTTTAATTATGGGTTCTTCCGCGCGTCCGCGATATTCGTCTGTCATGGATACCAACAACTTCTCAAGGTACAAAAATGACGATGGGACTTTTTCTTCGAGCAGTTTCTGTCGCCGACCAGAGGTTTTGATCTGAAAATTTTGATTATTTTAGTTTTTTTAGATGGAAAATGAAGCGGCAAGGTTTCCATAAACTTTGGCTCAGATTTAGAGAAATATTTTCAGAAATAAAGAATATTTTTAGGTCGAAAGTCGGCAAAAAAAATTGTTTAAAAAAATTTGAATTTTTCGAAAAAAATATTTTCAAAAATAGAAAAATAAAAAAAATCAAAAAATAAATAAATAAAAAGATCAAAAAAATAAAAAAAAAATCTAAAATAGAAACAAAAAAAAAATAAATAATAAAATAAAAAAAAAAATAAAAAAATAGGATCAATTAGAAGCGTCATTATTTCCCAAAATTCAAAAAAATGGCCAAAAATTTTTTATTTTTTTTTTCAAATTTTCCCAAAAATCGCTAAAAACCTCAAAATTACCTGTTGAGAGGCGCAATACACCAGTTCGCAAAGTTGTTGGACATTATTTCTATTCTTGGTGGAGACAAAAACCGATGCCACAACCCTCGGCAGACCCTTTTTATCGGCGTCCGGGACATTCACAAACCGCTGCTGGAGCGTTTTCTCGAAGTTTTGGAGATAATCGTCGGGGAATCGTTGGATGTTCTCTTGGACGGCGTCGAGGTGGGTGCCCACAATGATGACGGTGGCATTGGGGGCGCGGCTTTGAATGGCCAGGAGCCAGTCGTGGATTTCGTTGATGGCGATTTCGCCGTCCGTCAACTTCCACACGACCAGGACGATGGAGCGGCGCGAGAGGAAGGCCTGAGGCACTTGTTGGAACTCCTTCTGCAACTTCTCAAAGTCCCAGGTGCGCAGCGTCACAGGCCCGTTGGATTTGAGGGTTTTGGAGCTTTTGGGCGGCTCGTACATCCACTCGCCCACGTCCAGCGGGGCGCGGCGTTGGTCGCGCATCGAGGTGCGGCTGAACGACTTGGACGCCGCGTGCCCCATGCGGTGGGCCCAGCTCTCCGAGTTCAACGACACTTTCGCCACATGCCCTTCGGCGCGCATTTGCGACAGTAGCGCGGACTTGCCGACCTCGGAACGGCCCAGGAACATCAATTTGAGCTTTCGATGAGGTTTTGAGCTGCAAAAAAGTTATTTTAACTTAATTTTTAGATGATAACAAACGTCAAAATTTGAAGATTTTTAGCCGAAAATCTGTCCAAAAAGTGATCAGCCCAAACTCTCAAAAAAAAAAAAAAAAAAAAAAATTCAAAAAAAAAATTTTTTTTATAACCCTTACTTGTCCAATTCATGTCTCAAAAACGAGATCAAATCCATTGTTTTGAAGTTCCCATTGCCCACGATTCCCTTGAGCGGATCCTTCAAGGCACACCCATTCAACTGAACGCCCCACAATTTCTCCAAAAGTCCGAGCTCAACGGGCAACCTTTCTAGGCTCTTGTTCTGCGACAAGTTGAGGACAGCCAGTTGAGAGAGGAGGGAGATGGTTGGAGGGAGGGATTTGAGGTCATTGGAGGACAGATCCAGGTTCGTGAGGGCCGGGAAGATGATGTAGGGACGGAACTGGAAAAATTGGATATAGAAAGTCATAAAAAATACATAGCAAGTCATATATGGAATTTTGAAATTTTTTCGAAAAAAAATATTTTCAAAAAAAAAAAAATCGAGAAATGAAAATTAAAAAAATTCTTCTGTCAAAAAAATCAAAAATAATATTAATTTTTATTTTGCAAAAAATCAAAAAAACAATTTTCATACCAGAAATTTTTAAGTTTTTTCAAAAAAAATTTTAAAAAATAAAAAAATTAGAAAAAAATAAAAAGATGAAAAAAGTAAAAAAAAAATAAAATAAAAAGATCAAAAAAAAAAAAAAAATTAAAAATAAAAATTTTTTCCAACGATCCGAAATCCCCACCTGATCATTGGAATCCCTCCAATTACTGATGTCCAAACCTTGAGTTCTTGCCTCAAATGGGATGAACAAATCGAATTCGGCCAATTTATTGTTCGATAAATTGAGGGACTTGAGATTTTCCAATCGACAGTGGGCCTTGTGGGAGCATAGGTTTGTGTTTTCCGTCTCTTTATTCGCTCGAATTATACTCAGAGAGCGCTGTTGATTTCTGGCGACCGATTTCGAGCGGCTTCCTAAAAAATTTTTTCTCTCTATATTGAAAATTTTTTTTGAAATTTCGCAAAAACGCTTACTGGAATGCCGATTCACGGACACAGTCTGCACAGCGGCCACTCTTTCATTCGGAGCGATCATTTCCACAAAACAGCTCAAGTCCTGCCCTTCCGCTCTTCGAAACATGATGGCCAATCGATTGTTGGCCAAGTTCAGGGTCTTCAGGGTGGCCGGGAAGCATTCCACTGCTTTCAGCGAGCTCAGATCGTTCCGGCTGAGGTCCAACTTGGTCAATCGGGGACAAAAACAGGCGAGGCATTCGGGGACGGAGCGCAATTTATTCCCGGACAAGTTCAACGACCTCAGGGCGTTGGTGGAATTCAAATTGTTGGGGTCGTCTTTGGGGTCGTCGTCCTCCACAACTGCCATGTTCAGCTCGGTTTGCCAGATGTTGGAGCTGAAATCAGAAAGTTTTAAAATTAAGCAAAAAAATAAAAAATTTTTTTTTGTCAAAAATCGCCATAATTTTTGCAAAGCATGCGCTAAAAATCGCATAGAAATTTTAGAAAATTTTTTACTTTAATATACGTCAAATAACTCAAAAAAAAAAAAAAAAAAAAAATTTTGTTTTGCACAGTGCAAAAAATTAAAAAAAAATCTCACCGTAAGACGTCATTTTTCTGAACATTAACACTGCTTTGTTTCTGAATTTCGGCCGGTTTCTCCCTCCTCCTTTCCAGTTCACTTTCTTTTTTCCTTTCAACCAACGCTCGACTCGAATGATAGGCCGCGACGTACGGATTTCGGGTCGCTCGTTGTCGCGGCTCGCGCCGCGATCGCTCCGGAGATGGTGTGGACAAGTCGCAGATGAGGTTGTCGGACAAATTGAGATCATTGAGGGTGGGGTGCTTCCAAATCGAACCGGGCAATCGGCGGAGTTTGTTTTTGCAAAAATTGGCCGATTTCAGCGATGGGAAGTGCTTGGGAGAGAAGAGCTGAAATTGAATGTCACACATAGTGTCTATAAGACTTCTATATGGTGTATTCGAGTTAAAAACAACAGAAAAAACAGATTTCTTCAACGAGGGAAACACTTGACCTTTTTTTATAAAAATTGGGTCAACTCTTCCCCTCGGCCATATCACTGGAAATTTCATATTAAACAGTTCTAAAAGACGTTAGCTCATTTTCCACTGAAAATTTTAGTTTGTCCATGAGAGAAACACTTGACCCATTTTGAAAAATTTGTGTTAACTCTTCCCCTCTAAGCTAAACCTCCACTTTAACGACAAGAAATTTTTCTTTCACTCACCTCTGAGGGCAAATCATCAAGTTCGTTGGCTTCGACACTCAAACTTTCCAGAAATGGGCATGCAAAATCGGTTCTGGGCATGGAAATCTGCTCCAATTTGTTATGATCCAGATTCAAAATTTTCAACGAGCTGAGTTGAAACAACTCCTCGGGGAGGTCCGTCAACGAATTGTCAGCGAGATCGATCCGAGTGATGGCGGACAGCGCCATTTTCAGGTTCCGAACTCTGGGGTTGAACCGAAGCGCGGCGGCCATCATGAACTCGACGCCGAGCCGCTCCAGGCCCGCATTCTGCCAGTCCAGCCGGCAGGGGACGTTGGGACGGAGCACGGGCAGCAAGTCCATGGATTTCAGACGATCCATGGCCGAGTATCCGCTTTCGGGGAGATGAATTCGGTTCTCGGAATCGGTGAAGGTCAGCTGCTCCAGGAAAACGGTCAGCAATGGGGAATTGGACTGCTTCGAGGCTTGGCTAAAGTCGCGAAATTCGAAAATTATATTGTAAACTATTGTAAACAGACTATACACCAAATTCAACGTGCCAAAAAACCTTTAAATTTCAAGATTTTGATTTTTTTACAAAAAATTTCGGGTAAATTCGCAAAAATCGATCATAAAACAAAAAAATCATTGTGTATACCTCTACAATACATTATTTTATACCTTCTGCGACATCCTTTTCTCAACTATCATACGTTTTCAAATCAAAAATCCAGTTTTCCCCCTCAAAATTAAATTTTTCCGATATACTAGATCAAAACTATAAATTTTAAAAGCCCCCAAAAAATGGCCAAGAACTCACCGTAGAGCTTGATTATCATAGTCCACGGCTCCGTGAAAGAACAGCCTCTTCACCAGCTCCACATTTTTGCATTGTGCGGCTTCGATGAGAGCCCCGGAGCCGATGCAACGGGCCTCATCGGCTCGAAGATTGGCAATTTCCAGGTCGGTGATGGCGATGGGGAGGTTCACATCCGCTCCATTTTCGAGGAGAACTCTGAAAACAGCAAAAAACTGCATCAGAAATCCAGTTTTTCCGACATTTCTGCGAAAATCCTGACCTTTTTCGTCAAATTTTTGCTTACTTTACCCTTTGCACCAGACTATGCACACTCAGCATTCAATTTTCGCGGCGAAAACAGCTTGTGGCGGAGGGAATAAGCATTCAGCTCAAGTTTCACATCAAAGATTACAAATGGAAACGAAAAAAGCGGGGATTTCGGTTCGTTGCGGCCGGAAATAATGATGGCCAAATAAAAAAATAGAGGCGCGATGGGCCTCGGTTTTGTATGAGAAGAGAAGATCGTTCATGTTTTTGGGGTTTGGAATAATTTTTGTCTCAAATTGGGTCTTTATTCGACGAATTTGGGGGGGAATCTTTGTCATCATGTACAATATAATTTTCTGATTTTAACTCAGAAGTACTCCAACTGCGACGCTCAGATTTTGATGAAACTTGGCACAAATTTAGAATAATTTTTTCTAAGATATATGCGAGAATTCTAGCTCGCGCTTTCCAGAAACAACCGAGATTTTTAGACCGAAAGTCGGCCAAAATTTTGGACTTTTTGCCGAATTTCAGCACAAAAAGTTTCATGCCTATTTCTAACGTGAAGGATAATGTTTCTACAAAAAATCAAACTTTTCCGCTCGAAACTGCCAAAGTTATGGCCAAAAAGGTGTTTTCTCTCTGACCGCTCTCCACGTTTAGCGTGCTCTCTCGGCGGCAAAAATCGTTCCATATCTCGGCGGTGCCCGCAAAGCGCGAGCTAAAACTTTCAGGAATTGATATTTAGTCCATATCCGACGTGTGTGCAAAATTTAAAGAAAATCTGAGCGTCGCACTTGGAGTACTTCCCCTGTCAATTTTAGAGGCAAATTACAACTGATCGAAGGTTAACTTATAACTTTTAGATCATTTTTTCGCCATAAATCGTCTAAAATTTACAAACAACTCCATCGAAAAAGTGGAATTCATCCGACTTACTCCGGAGTTGGACGATTGGGGAAAAAGACGATTGGGGAAAAGTACGATTGGGGAAACCGAAAAGTATTATTTTCTTCGATGCAAATGTCGAAATTAGGATAATCGAGGGTGCTGATTTCGAAAATGACATTCATTTTTTTTGATTGTAAGTTTTTTTCTTAAGTAGTACTGTAAAGTAGTACTTTTTTGAATTTTTATCATAAATACTCGATTTAGGGGTTTTCGAGGGTGCTGATTTCGAAAATCGTGTTAGCTTTCTTCTTTATAGTACTATCTGGTACTATATAGTACGAGGTGAAAATATGGCTTTTGGCGTTAATGGTGTTGTTTTGATGCTTGGTACTCCTCAAAAACACGTTTTAAATAATTGGTACTGTTTAGTACTGTCTGGTACTATGTAGTACTATGTAGTACAAGGTAAAAATTTGGCCCTTAGGGGTTAGTGGTGTTGTTCTGTTCCTTAGTACTCCTATTTACACCTTGTACTACATAGTACCAGACAGTACTAAACAGTACCAGTTATTTAAAACGTGTTTTTGAGGAGCACCAAGCATCAAAACAACACCATTAACGCCAAAAGCCATATTTTCACCTCGTGCTATATAGTACCAGATAGTACTATAAAGAAGAAAGCTAACACGATTTTCGAAATCAGCACCCTCGAAAACCCCTAAATCAAGTATTTATAATAAATATTCAAAAAATTACTACTTTACAGTACTACTTAAGAAAAAAAGTAACAATCAAAAAAATGAATGTGATTTTTGAAATCAGCACCCTCGATTATCCTAATTTCGACATTTGCATCGAAGAAAATAATACTTTTCGGTTTCCCCAATCGTACTTTTCCCCAATCGTCTTTTTCCCCAATCGTCCCTTTCCCCAATCGTCTTTTTCCCCAATCGTCCCAGTTCCGACTTACTCCACAATGTCCTCATTTTGATTGCAAACAGCAGTCATCAGCGGGGTCCGACCATTCACGGCGTAGGTGTCCAACAAAAAAGGGGACCCCATTTGAGCCGGCTCAATGTTGCCCACCTCGTTTTGGCGATACAATTGCGTTTTGAACTGAATTTGGGAAAAAAATATACGAGGTCAGAGGCCTAAACCTACCTCCAGAAGAGCCTCCACGACTTGTTCATGGCCATTCTCGACGGCCAGATGGAAAGAGGTCCGGCAATGCGAGTCGGAGGCGTTCAGATCGCAAACAAACTCGTAGGACCAGCCGTTGACTGTCTTTTCGAACAGATTCAGGAGGCTTGGACGATAATCGAAGGAGAGAAGTCTGGAAATTCCAAAAGAATACTGACCAAAACCAAAAAAAAATTTTGCACAGTGCAGCGGAAAAAAGCAAAAAAAATTGCACAGTGCAAAAAATTCAGCTTCGCACAGTGCAAAAAATTACCATAAAGGCCGCACCGTGCAACAAAACCAAAACATGCGATGAAAATCTCATTTTTTTCTGGTTTTTGCACTGTGCATTTGAAATATCGCTGCGACGTAAGCTTTTCCCAACTGCGCCGCTGCGATTTGGCTCAAAAATGTGCACAGTGCAATCGGCTTTTTCGAGTTTTGCACGGTGCGCAAAGGCAAACATCCAAGTGAAAATGCACTGTGCGTTGGCGACAAGCGTGTGAAAAATTCAAAATGCACTGTGCGAAAGAAAAAATGCACTGTGCGAAAAGTCAAAATGCACTGTGCGTTGGCGACGAGCGTGGGAAAAAATTCAAGATGCACTGTGCGAAAGCGAAAAAACGTCAGGCACTTTGTGAAAATGCTAACAGTATAAACTGTGGAATCACGCAGTAAATCTTACAATTTCACAATTTCCACATTCCCATGACTGCAAGCGAAATGAAACGGGAGTTCTTTGGAGTTGTTGATGACATCCATCTGCTCCCCGTATTGTTCTAGGACAAGTTTTGTGGATTCCAAATCTCCTGATTGGATGACGGCGTGCAGAAGAGTGTTTCCAGTCGGTGGATCGACTAGAGGATTGGATTCGAGGGACAACAGAGCTCCAATTATTCCGGAAAATCCTTTTTCGCAGGCTCTAAAACGATTTTTTAAATTTTTTTACGGTAAAAGCGATTTTTAATGGGCTGAAATCGCAAATTTAATAAAAAATTATATAAACTCACATGTACAACGGTGCCTTTTCCCCGTTTTTCCCGCTGGCCAATATGTCTCGTTGAGTGAAATTGGTGGATTGAGCCAGTAAATCCAAGACCCGATCGAAATTATTGCCTTCAATTGCCGAACAGAGCTCTTTATTCAGTCTTTCCGACTCTTTTTTTATATTATCTAAAGATTTTTTATGTTTTTCGATTTTTTCTTACCAATACTTTCGAAAAGCACCTCCGCCACACGTCCATGATTGTTCAAATGGGCCAATTGGAGGGCCGAGTAGCCGTTGGCATCGCAGAAGAACGGATCCGCGCCTTGTTGAATCAAAATTCGGACCGTTTCGACGTGACCGGCTTGCGCGGCCAGCAATAGCGCTGTTTTTAGGCCCTCATCCACCGATGTTACCGCGTCCACATCCACTAAAAAGTCATTACAATTAATTTTAGACCCAAAAAATTATAAAAATTTTATTACAGTAACCTACCGTAATCGCAGAGAACTCGAACACAATCATCGACGCCATGGGCGGCCGCGAAATGAAGGGGAGTCCGGCCGTCCGACGCTCGAATATGACCCAAAATTGACTGATTGGCACTGGTCAAATCCGTCAGCAAATCCGCATTACGGTAATGGATCGCCTGAAAATTTTTTTTGATTCGACTGCACTGTGCGGTGGAAATCACTAGTCCTCCCGGAGAGTCGCCGAAATCAGCGACATGCACTGTGCGAAAACGAAAATTCACTTTGCACTGTGCAATTTTTGTTTTTTGCACCGTGCAATAGACTTTTTTGGGCTGCCGCTCGCACCCCGATTTTTTTCGCACAGTGCAATCCCCAAAACTCAGTCAGGCGACATGCACTGTGCGAAAACGAAAATTCACTTTGCACTGTGCAATTTCTTACTTTTTGCACGGTGCAATAGACTTTTTTGGTCTGTCGCTCGCTCCCTGACTTTTTCGCACAGTGCAAATGCCAAAAATCAGTCCGCCGACTTTCCGGAAGGATCAGAAAAACGCACAGTGCGGGCCCGAAAAATTCTCATAATTTTTCGCACAGTGCACAAATAAAACTGCTTTGTCCGCACTGTGCAAAATTAAAAACTACTGTGGAAACGAACCTGAAAGATGAGTTCGGCCGTTTCGTTGGCACTGTTCTTCTCCATCTCCACATTCTCCTTACTCGCAAACTGTCCTCATCTTCGCCGTAAACTCGCAAATATTGAAGTTCGTGGCGACCCGTTCCTAAAACACCAAAAATTTTCAAAAATTCGATCAGAAATAAATAACCATGGCAAATTACCAGTAAAATAAGTCAAATTAACTGTCAAATTGGAGTAATTAACAAGTTTATTAACTGTTTTCAAGGAGAAAATGATAATAATGACAAGAAAATACGTTCAAAATCTGATTTCATTGGCAAAAAAGATAAAATTTTTACCAAAAAGTTCGCCAAGGCTGAAAAATCCTCTTCAGAATCATCTTTTACGTTTAAAAACTGTCTTAAACCATCTTATTTATCCAATTTTTGGCTAAATTAATATTAAAAAATTTTCAAAAATTAAAAAATTTATAAAAATAAACCAATATCCGTACATTCCAATCAAAATTTAACACAAAACTCAAGAAAACAGTGCAACAATAACAAAACAACGGGGATAAAACTCAAAAATAAGGAACGGTGGACAAAAACAACCGAGAAAAACAAGCGATAACAAAGCTGATCGTCTCCTTTTCAAACTTCCAAGCGTTTCTTTCTAGCTTTCCGCCATTTCAACATCAGCAATGTCCATTTCTTCCAGCAAATCCGCGAGTTGAGTGCCTTCTGGTATGTCAGCCGGGTCGATTTCGGATTCTGGAGCGAGTTTCTTGGTGGGATCACGGTAGAGATTGACCTTCTCTCGGAGATGTTCATCTTCTTCCAAGTCCTCGATGAAGCGCTGAAAAATATTTAAGTAAAAAAAAAATTTTTGAACCATAGTTTAAAAAAACGTCAAAAAGTATCCAAAACCATCCCAAAAGTATCTGCTAGTATTAAAATTTTCCGCTAGACGAACCTGGAACTCATTTTCAACACTAGCCGAGTCTCCTTGGTCGATTAATCTCTTCAATTTCCAGTTTCGTTTACGATGTCTCAGCTCCCGATCGTAGCATTTTCTGACCAAAATACAGTCCGGTTTCTCATGATCCTTCATGTTATCGAACGTGGGATTGTTCACATTCGTGTTGAGCAAATCGTATCCTAAAAATCAAATCAAAATGTTTGAAATACCTACCCATTACAGTGTCTCCAGGCTTCAGCATTTTTCCTAGATGACTTTTAGTGGAGTACAAATGTGCCTCCGGTTCGCCAACTTCATTTGCGCGACATACAAACAATTCAACCAGTTGATGTTTATGTGAAACATGCCCGTGCCCTTTACTGCGTTTGATTTCATTCACATTTTCCACTTCGACAACATAAAATTCGACCATGTTCTTTGGTCCCAGGAACATTTCGAATGGCTCTTTGAAGAAAGTCAAACTGAAAAAAATACATAAAATTTTACCTAAAACAAGGTCATTTTTTTTTGCCTGAAACAACGTCAAACTTTTCTAAATTCCCACAAAAATTATATTTCTTACCTGTTCACATCATAAACCTGACAATTTGTGGGATCGATCAGACTCAAAACATTGGTTACCCTCAGGACAACCAAGAGTTGAGACATATTTCCATACGACTGAGCCAACTTCTTGGGCAAGCAGACCAACGAATCCTTGGTGACTGGGCAAATCTCAATGCAATAAGTGTGCTTGTAATCATAAGTATTGTTCTTGACATCCTGAGAAATCAACTGCTGACTGTAATGATATTTGCATGGTAAAACAGTGTTGATGAATTCCAAAAGCTTCCGGGCATCCTGTTGTTTCGCAAAGTAGAAGTCAATTCCAGTTGGAACAGGTTTCACGTTGTTTGCTTGGGAAGCGGCATCGTATTTTAGAAGAAGTTGTTCTAGATAGAAGAGGGTCTTTTTGAAATCGCATTTCTGGCGGATTTGAAGAAGAGCTCGCCAATAATCCTTGGCCTGGACTCGGTGACAATCTTCGCAGACCTGAAAAAACCAAAAAATATTGGCAAAAAGCTTTTTAGCTTGATTTTGTACGAAAATATCCGCTCGCCTATTAAGAATAAGTTGGACTTGGAAAATCCTTGTAGAAATAGTCCTTTACGAGTCCTTCCAGAATTTCCTAACGTTTTATACATCCTTCTTCGTTCCTAAAAGTCAAAACACTAGCGAAAAAACACTTACTTGACCGCAAATCACATATTCGACGATGAAAGATTGTTGGAGAACTGCATTGGTGAAAACCTCTTTCTGAACAGCCATTTTAACCTTGACACGCTTGGAATGAGGCTCAGTCCAGATGAACTGAGCATCAACAAGACGAACATTCAGCATTTGAGGCTTGATTCTCTTCAAACACAAGGATAGAAGTTCTTTTGATTCCAAAGCAGCCACTTGCCAAGTAGAAGGTGGTACCAAATAACGCTCACAGAACTTGCAGTGCATCAAATTGGCTGAAATGGACCCAAATGAACAATATTTTCATAATCAAACCCTATGATAACAGTAGCCTTTCTTCTATACCAAAATTTATATTATCCATGGCAATTTGGATTAAGATTTTAAAACGTCTACTTATAAATTTTTGCTCAGAGTGATTCTGGATCAGGAAACCTCCGAAACACCATTAGCTCCCTCTCTATTTACTGCGCTTCTCTATCCTTTCGCTTTTATATTGTTTTACCGACCCATTTCCATTCGAATATTTATCCTCCTCTCTCCCTAAACTTTCGGATGAAATAAAACACTTACACTGCTTCGGTATTCCCTCGGTAATATCCACTCGACTGCGCAAACAAGCCACGCACATGTTGGCCGGATTTGGTGGGATCGGAGTCCCGCATTCGCAACAAGCCACCTGCCCGGTTTCGACAGGCCCAATGGGCATGGATTGCATTTTGGCAACTTTTCCGCTGAAAATAGTAGATCAAAGAATGAATTGAATTAAAAGTCTAAACCCAAAATCTTCGATAAAAAATTGTATTATCCTAGACAAAAAAATTTTTATAACAGTAAAATTTATGGAATAGAAAACACAGTCAAATAAAAAAAATAATAAAAGAATAGATCTTGAATGTCGAAAACACCAACTAGACGATCCAAATTGTAGCCAATTATGGTTTTATTAGACCTCAAATCAGCTAAAATAATATGGGACTTTTTGGAAAAACATACCCAAAAGCAAGCAGAAACGATCTATTAGAGTTGAATTTAGGTGAGAACTCATAACAAGCAATAAACAAGACCAAAGAATATTCGAAAAAACGGCCATTATAAGTGGCAGATGGCCCACGAAAATCCATTTTTGGTAAGTCTCATGAGACCGGAATCCCCATCTAGCGCTTTTCAATTTCCGCACAATAGCTGCTGCTCTATTGGAAAAGCGGCATACTAAGAAAACAATTCTTTCCGCTAGTGGCGGACCTATTTATATTACCCATCATGATTAATATAAAAAAGGTTAAAAATGATGCAAAAGGAAAAGTAACGGTAGATTGACAGTCAAAGAAGAAGTAGTAAAGCAAAGGAAGACGAAGTATTGTAAATCATTTCAACATCCCCACTCAGGAAAAGGACGATAAATTTGTTTTTCAGCCAATAGAAGAGAAATTGAAAAATTTCCAGTAAATCCACTCAATTTCCGACGTAATTAGCCGATCGGATGCTTTTTATGAATATAACATCCACAGAATTCGCGGTCGAGTCGCGCAAACCGGCTTTTCACGTAAAACCCCCCAAAAATCCTTCATCAAGGATTTTTTCTGAGTGGGACATTTCGTTCATTTCGCGAAAATAAATTGTGACATTTCGTCGCAAACCCGTTCCTTGATAGGGAACGTACTCTCTCGTCATACAGCATCGTTGTCTGACCATTTTTGGAGGTTTCTGATGCAATTGCAAATGCATTTTATGGCGCTTGGTCTGTTTGGTCCAATTTACATTATACTAGACGTTGAAGGCAGTGTTATTCGGCAGGTTTTATAGGCCATTCTGCCGTTTGTTTTGGATCCAATTACTTCATGTTCCACGTTTTCTCTCCGAACATGAGGCCAATTTCTGCGGTTTTTTCCCACATCAATGGAACTGGCGCATTATTTATTTGGGTTCTTATACTTGGACTGCTGCGCGTGTTTGTAGTTTAAAATATTATTGAAGTATCTAATTGTTTGTTTCATTTTCAGCCGACTTTGGTCGCTCTGTCGTTGAACACCCTCTAATTTATTCGACGATTCTTGTTGCCTTGTTATGAACAACCGGTACTCGACGGTTCAGCGGCCCGAGGCCGCTCTTCAGCGTGCCAATGACTTCATTTCGGTTGGAAAGGAGGCTGACGCCTTGAATGCTCTCTATGAAGTCATCAAGGTGAGTATTTCCTATGTTTTCTTTTGTTTTTAGCAGAACCTATTTTGGGCATGGATAACATCATACATGTAATGAAAAAAACCTGGGTTTCGCCCAAGAATAGAAGTTTTAGGTTTAAGCCAACGAAAAAGATCTCTGGAAAAACTATACTGCTTCTAGGACCGTCGTTCTCGACAATGGAGTGAAACATACGAAGAGATCATGATGAAGTATGTGGAACTCTGTGTCCGACTTCGAAACACCGCTCTGGCCAAAGATGGTTTATTCCAATACCGAGTATTCACTCAACAGGTCTCGGTGACCTCGCTTAAAAGTGTCATTGAGCATTTCCTTGGATTGGCTGAACAAAAAACGGAAGAGGCCCAAAAGGAGTCGATGGAACGCGTTGAAGAAATTGATGACCTGGATAGTGCTGATGCCCCGGAAAAGTACGTTCTTTATCTCTGTTTCGAATATTTAGGCATGACTTGCAAAGAAAAGGAAGTAATATTGCCAATGTTAACATACGATGTTTTTTCAGTTTGTTGTTATCTGTTGTCTCCGGTGCGGTCACCCAAGATCGTATGGATCGAACAGTCCTTTCTCCATGGTTGCGTTTTCTCTGGGATTCCTACCGAAATTGTCTGGATATGCTCCGAAACAACGTGATCGTCGAAGAGATCTACCATTGGGTGGCCAGAAAATCATTTGAATTCTGCGCCAAGTACAAGCGAAGAAATGAGTTCAGAAAGTTGTGCGACCTCCTTCGAATTCATTTGGCTCAAATCCAAAAGAGTCAGACCTCCGTGTCGGAGCCGAGAACAAACGATTATCGAGTCAAGTTGAGCAGCATAGACTCTCTGCAATTTATGCAGGACACTCGCCTTCACCAACTCAACACTGCCATTCAAATGGAACTCTGGCAAGAAGCTTACAAATCCGCCGAAGATCTCCACAACATCATGCAATTGTCGAAGGATAAGGACCGCAGAATGGTGAAACCCGCCAGCTATGTCAACTACTTCGATAAGGTAAGAATTTGATTTGTTTATTCGGCTTTTAGGTGTGAATGATATGTGATGGGTAATTATGATCCATTTTTAGCTGGCTATGATCTTCTGGAAAGGTGGCAACACCCTTTTCCACGCTGCTGCCCTCCTTCAGAAGTTTATCATCTGTAAGGACATGAAGAAGACCTTTACCGGAGAAGAGGCTACCGACCAAGCCACCAGAGTTCTTTTGGCCACCTTGACCATCCAAGATGGTGCTGATCAGCCCTCGACTCTGACCAAACTTCTCGACATTGAGGATCAGCATTTGACCAACATTCGGTGAGTTTCTTTGTGATTTTATTTGAATTTCGGATTTTAGAGTGCTTTCATCCCTTCTTCGACTTCCCATTGCCCCAACACGTGCTGGTCTTTTGAAAGAGATTGCGTGGTTGAATATCCCCGAATTGGCCATTGAACCAGCTCGTCAAATCTACAAGAACCTTGAACTCGAATTCCAACCATTAAAGTTGGCGTCGGTCATTCAAGGTGGCATTGACAACTTGAATAAGCTGGAGAAGCCGGAATACAGCCAATATTCGGATGAACTCAAGTTTGTGGTCGCCACGAAAGTCCTCAGACAACTCTCTATCATTTATGGATCACTCTCTTTGAGTCGATTCCAAAAGATCATTCCCTTCTTCTCGAGAGTGGAATTGGAACATTTCTTGGTCGAAAGTGCGAAACATAGATCGATCAAGGCTTCGGTCTCCCATCGAGACGATTGTGTTGTCTTCTCGGCATTGGATCTGACTCTAGCTGGAGGTTTGGATGCCAGTGTGGATGTTGAAGCTGCTAGTGTAAGTTTTTTGAAATTATTGTTTTGTTTTTTAGGTATCGAAAATAATATAATCCGCTTGACGTTTGCAGAATGGGATAGAATACATTCGCGAGCATCTTATTCAACTCCATAATCATTGCCAGAACGCTGTCTTTGAGCTGGAAGGAGCCAAAGTTGAATCTGAGATTGCCTCGAAGTTGGGAGAGCAGGTCAAGACTTACCTTTACCACAAAGATGAAGACTACAGCCGAATCCTCAGCCGTTGCCGTAAGATTGAGGACTACAAGGAAGTCTCTGAGCATCAGCGGCGCGAAAAGATCCAGATCGCTCAAGAAGAATATCAGAAACGCGAAGAGCAACGCCGTCAAGCCGAACTCCGTCGTCTGGAAGAGGAGAACCAAGAAAACGAAAAGAAACGACAACAGGCCGAGAAGGACGAGATTGTCAGACGCCAGAAGGCCGAACAGCTCAAGCGATTCCAATCGAACCCGATTTATCAGCAGATCGTCAAAGAAAAGGGAGAGGAGGCCATGCAAACCATGGATCCGGAGCTGGTCCTCAAGGAACAAAGAGAAAGAATGGATGTGGAACGACGAGAACTCCAGAACAAACTGCGACAGCACGAGAAGAAGTACGATTATGTGGTGCGGGCCTTCCATTTGGAGGAAATCAAGCATTACAAGAAAATGTCGGAGGATTATTTGGAAAACGCTCCAAGCCGCTTCAAGGAATGTGAAGATCGACGAATTCAGAATGCAATGTAAGTTTATTTTGGTGATTAGAAGCACAATATCGAACGTCAGATGCAATGTTTTGTAAAAAACGTGGGTGAAAAGCGAAAGGAGAGAGGTTTGCAGGCGTGTTTGATTAGCCTAGTGGGGAGAGGGCTCGCTTGGGACTTCAAAGGTCGTGAGTTCGAATCCCACTGGAGCAGAGTGAAGTTTTCAGCGGGCTAGGATGGAAATTTCTTGACACCTCTTATGCTAGTGCAACATTGTTGCACGATGATTCGTAATTAGGACTGAGCCAGCGTTCGTTTTGTCAAAAAAAAAAAATTTTTTTTCATGTGAAAGTTTTTTTGCTAATATATTTCTTTGCAGTGAGGAACACGAACGGTCCATCCAAACCTACGAACGCATGAACAAAATCCGTGCTGATGCCGAAGAGTTCCTTGGCCGACTGATCGAAAGAAATGCGGAGGATTTGGAACGCCGCCGCAAGGAATGGAAAATCCGCCTCGAGGAAGAGAAACGCCGTCGTCTGATCGAGAGAAAGGAACAACGAAAGGTGGACAGGAAGCGCCAAGAACAACAAAGAAAGAAGGAGGAGGAAGATAGAATCAAGGAGCAGGCCGAAAGAGACAAGATGGAGAAGTTTGAGAAGGATCGTCAAGATCACCGTCAAATGATGGAAAGAATCCGCGAAAAGGAACGCCAGACCAGTGGATTTCCGCCAAGACGCGACCGAAACGATCAAGGTGGAGGACGCTACGGAGATCGGGAAAGAAATGGCCCAACTGATGGGGATGGAGGAAAGGTAAGGTTCGAAAATTTTGTTTTGTACTCTGACCTTCAGTTCGTCCCATCCCGCGTCCGCCGAGAAGTCGACTTCAGCCGCGCTGACACCGACTCCAACTGGCGTCGTGGTGGTCCCCCCGCCAGAGAAGAGCGAGAATCCGCCCCGGCTCATCAGGAATCCCAGCCCTCGTCTGGTGCCTGGGTCCCCTCGCGTCAAAGACAACAGCAGAACCAAGACTCTGGCAGCAACAGCAATGCCTATCGCCCTCCGGCAGCACGTCGAGACCGGGATCAAGGACGAGCGGCTCCCGAAAACAGCTGGCGCTAAAATGTTATTTACCCCGGAAATTATATCCTTATGGAAAAATTTGTTGATTATAAACGGATAATTTGTTAGAGAAATGATTTTTGGGGATTTTGGAAAAAGTTTTTTTATTTTTTTTTAATTGTTTTGGAACCCAAAAAAATCTGGAATTTTGAAAAAAATTGCGATTTTTGGAGTTATTTTTGGATAAAACCCCGATTTTATTCCGATTTCCCATCGAAATTTCCCACTTTGAACGAGCGGTCGGCTCAAAATTGACTGATTTACACTGAATTCTGGAATGCTGCCGCTCATTCAAACAATCCTCTACGCATGTCTGGCCCTCTTCGGAATCGTCTCCTTCGTCGCGATTTACGACGAAGTAAGTTCGGATTTTGCTTTTTTGGAAATTTGCAAAACCAAGTTTTTCAGGACTACGGCGAGGCCACGGACAAAGAGCGAAGCGTCCGCGCTTCGGTGGAAATGTTCCCGGCGAAGCCGTTCCGACAGCCGAAGAAAGTGAGGAAACCGCCGACGGCGGAGCTCATCGACGAGTCGATGTGCGCGCATCTGCGCCGCCGCAAAATGATGGGTACGATCCGCGAGCGGAAGACCAAAATCGACGGCCCATGCAATTGTATTGTTTCGTATGATAAAGCAGTCTGACCTAATATGGAGTTTTTTTAGTTTTTTAAAAATTAATTAAGAGATATCCGATTTTTTGACATGACAAATTTGTCCGGTCACGTTCGGGAAAAATAAAAACAAATTTTCCATATTGCGCAAATAACCTTCCTATCAGTTTTACAGTGGGGGATTCTCAAAGAACTGGGATATACATCTGAAAAATTAACCTTATACTTGATGATTTTATCTTACAGTGGGGGACCTAATACGGTGGAAAAAAAACGTACCATTTTGCATCCGGGAAGTATCCGAAATGTGGCAAAATGCTTCCCTCTCCAAGTGAAAAAACTTCGTTTTGAAGAGCGCGACCTTTCCCTCATAAAAAAAGAGTTTTTTTCACTTGGAGAGGGAAACATTTTGCCACATTTTTGATACTTCCCGGATGCAAAATGGTACGTTTTTTGCCACTGGATCATTTCTCCCCCCCGGTAAATTTTTCAGATATATCCCACTGTATATCGGCAGAGGGGTTGGGTCCAAATAGGGTATCTCACGTCAACACAGGACATTTCTCTCACTTGACAAATTTGCTCGTCACGATCAGGCAAGTCCCAAAAAAATCAAAGATTTTCCCTAAATTTATTTATTGCCTTCTACCCGCTATACATACATTTAATCCAAGTTAAAGCCCTCGATATTAACTGCTATTTGAACTGCTCTCTGAATCATTGTTTTCCCTCACGTCCTTCGTTTTCCCCAACGCCCAATAACGCGGTGTGACCTCGGCCGTGAAGTCGAATACCACTGTAAAAACGATCTGCACAACTCCCATGGCAATGAAGATGGTGGCCCACTGAAATTTCGGGAAACCTTTTTTCGTAATTTTAGGTCAGTCTACCTCGCTGGAAGACTTGTTTGGCACAAGAAATGAGACCAGAAATGCCAAGGAGAAGATGGTAATGCTCTCGTTTATCGCGTTTATCGACATCAGAACGTCGACGAATTGGCCGGATAGCTGAAATGGGGGAAATTTTTTTTTCACATATAAATTTCTGGAAGCACATACAGGCACAAAAAAAAAAAAAAAAAAAAAAAAAACAAAAAAAAAATTTTAATTTTTTTTGCCAACTTACCATCTGAATGCTCTTCAAAACCCCCACAGTTTCCAACCCACTCAGCGCGATCACTCCGGTATAGCAGACTTGCGCAATAACCTTGTGTTCAACCGGGATAAACGCTAGTCCAAAGTAACACCCGGCCAGTAGTAATTGCGAGACTGTCGCAAAAATGATGACTCTTTGTTTGTCGGTTAGTCCGGGGAGAGTGTCGCTCAACGGGCCAGCAACCAATTTCCCAATCATCGAGAGGAAAAAGGGAAGGGCCGCTGAGAATCCTGTGTTCTCAACGTCGTAGCCCAGAATCTGAAGGGGAAAAAAATTGTAAATTTTTTGGTTTGTTATTAAGGTTAAAAAAATCTTTTTTGAAAAATACTTTTTGAAAAATATTTTTTTTTATTTTTTTACTAAAAAAAAATTTTATTAAAATGCTTTTTTCACATATTTTTCCTCAAATTAAATCAGCTGTACTATTTTGTTCCCTCTCAGTAAACAAATTAAAAAAAATTTCCTTACCTCATTCAAATAGATGGGTCCGTATTGATAAAACAGCCGGAACGCCAGAATATTGCCCCAGGCGGAGAGCAAGACTCCAATGACGCACTTGTCCGTGAACATTGCCTTATACGGAATCGGCGGTTTCTGGGCGTCGGCTCTCGGCTTCTCCGCGCGAATGGCGGAGAGTTCGGCGGATGAGACATTTCTAAAAATTTCGTTGTTTTCTGGTGAATAGGTTTTTTTCTGTCTGAGTCTCCCCATTTCCCACACTCTTTTTGAGCGTTTTGAAAAACATACGGATGATCGGCTGGAGAATCTCTGTAGAAAAAGTAGAAAACTCCGAAAATCAATAGAGTCAATACGGAATGAAGATAATAGGAGGAGCGCCATGTGAGATCGGATTCGCAGAGGAACGCAGAAACCGGCATTGTAAACATTGGAGCCAGCTGAAGATGACATGATAAATAGGCGACGACCGTGCCAGTCAGTCGAAATTCAGCCCAATTTGAGATGACTTGGCCGAAAACTGACCATGAGGCGGTGAGACCGAGGCCCTGAAAAGGGTTTTAATTCAGTTAATAATTTTTGTAAAGGTTTAAAAATTCCAAAAAAAATTTTTTTTGATGACTTATTAGGTCGTCCAGAAAGTTCGTTCGTTTTTTCATTGCTTTGTTTTACAAGGAAAAGCAATGAAAAAAATGGCAGAACTTTATGGACGGCCTAATATTATAGACAGATCAAAATGCAAACTTCTCAAAGCTCATTATCTGGATTTTTTTCAAACTTTCCACACATTTCCTTGCTAGACCACATTTCAATCCCTGAAAATCTTAGCCCGCGATTTGCAAAAAGACCCGAGATATTCAACGATTTTCTCTATGAAGTCAAAAATGCGATACCTTTAAAAAAGTACTCCAAATTTGCGGCAACTTTTCTTCAAAACTCCCGCAACTTACATGAACAATTCGAATAAAAATCGTCGGCCAAAATCCCCAGGACACGGCCAGAGGGGTGAGTGCTACCGAGAGCGCAGAAATCACTCCGTAAAAGCAGAAAGTAACCCTGAAATAAAGGCTTAACAGGACCTCAAAAACTCCCTACCGAGTGCCGAATTTATTTGTCAGCACTGTAATTGGCAAAGTCCCGATTAAAGTGCCGATCGCGACCACCGAGATCAGCCAGCTCCTCTCAACGTCGTCGAAAACGGGCTCGGAAATTGAGGCGTTCCGCGAAGACGGCTGTTTCATACAAATCACGGTGAAATTGAAGATCAAGGCATTGGAGACGATGATCATCAAAGTCACGGTGACCACAAGAAAGATCAGGATTCGGGTCTTGTTGCTGAAAAATTGAATTTGAAAAAGTTAAAAAAGGCAAATTTTGAATGAAACTTAGAGAGGAAGTACATATTCCAAACGCGACGCTCAGATTTTGATGAAATCTGGTGCAAATAAAATTAATTTTTTTTCTGGGGTTTTTAGATCAAGAGTCGGCAAAAACGTGACATTTTTTCGCGAATTTTGGCATAAAAGGCTTCATTCTTACTTCTACCGTAATCTTTCCACAAAAAAAAATCTTTTTTTGCACGAAGCCAGCAATGGCCAAAAGAAATTTTTTTCTGTGACCGCTTTCCAGGTTTTGCGTTCTCTCTCGGCAGCAAATATTGATTGTTGGATTCATATCTCGGCTGCGGCTGCAAAGCACAAGCTAAAATTTTCAGAAATTAATATGTAACCTATATCTGAAGTGTATGCAAGATTTGAAGTAAATCTGAGCATCGTGCTTGAGGTACTTCTGTTATGAGTTTTATCAGAAAAGTTATGAAAAAAATATAAAAAGCAATATTTACCAAACCTACCCAAAGAACCATGGTGTTTGCTCTTTGCTGCTACCGTAATCCACAACGGTTGGGGGTTTTTCGAACTGATCATAGCAGTCGTTCACCCTCATTCCGAATGGCTTGGGGAGTCTGCAAGAGAAGACCGTTCTCCCATACAAATTTTATATTATTATGAACTAATTACTCCCCCAATTACATGTTCGTTAAACGAGAGGAGGAACATGAAGAGCCATGATAAGAAAAAAAATTAAGAATTGTCTCCTTATCAAACAGTTGTAAGCAATGTATTTTGGAGAATACAGAGCCGATGTCGTCAGAAAGCGATTAGGAAGTTGGCAAATTCAGGGAGCGCCCCTATCAGATGATGTAAGAGACTGGGGAACAATTAGAAAGAGGAAATTTTGTGGTTATCATGTGAATGCTCAAAGGGGTGAATAAATTGCCTCAACTATAACTTTCGGATTTTAATGAAATTTGGAACACAGATTGGTGTAATCGCAGAGGGTAACTTTTCAACAAAAATTTTTTTTTTCTGCACGAAAATGAAAAAATATGGTTAAAAAATGTGGTTCTCTCAGGCCGCTATCCACATTTCACGTACTCTCTCGGCCGCAAAGATCGTTGAATACTCGACTGTCCCTGCAAAGCGCGATCCAAAATTTTCAGAAGTCGATATATGGCCTACGCACGATATGTGTGCAAAATTTAAAGAAATTCTGAGCGTTTTGGTCTCACCACGAAAACCTGAAAACTCGTAATTTTGTCCAATATTTGAGGGTATTGAAATGTTAAATAGGTGCAGCCCAAGATCAGACTTAACAAACACTACAAGTTTTAATCTACGGTATCTGAACTCAAAACATAGTGACTCCATTGTAACTGCCTGAACCCTTCAGAAAAGTCTGCCTTTTACACTGTCAAAATTAAACAGTGGGAGCGCATGGTTGTTCTGTTTACATTTCTCTCCAAAACTACAAAACATTTTCAATTCCAGTGAAGTTTACGGCAAACTCGGTTAACGATGTAACACATAACGAAGGGATACGTATTTCATCGAAAAAACAACTATTAAAATTCGGCTCAAAAAGAAATAAGTTTGTTCAAATATGGTCTTCGAACGCAGTCATTGAATAACCCATCAATTTATGCCAATATTAGGCAGAATTTTCAGTTTTCAGGCATTCGTGGTGGGACCAAGAATCAAAATGCCCAGATTTTGACCAAATTTTGTGCACGTTTTGAGCCTATGCTTCATATCAGTTGATAAAATTTTTAGCTATATTTGTTAAAGAAAATCTAAGCATCCCTGGTTTTGGTCCGAAAGCCTAAAAGTCAAAATTTTCTCTGAAATTTTCAGTTATTGTTGTGGATTTTAGCTGGAAGGTGTGCGCAAAATTTGCAGGATTTCTAAGCATCACCTTGTCAATTTCAAGGTGATATTTAAAAATCCGAATTTTACAGATGTAAAACAAATTATTTATTTTCTCGAATATTCAGATTGAATATTACTCTTCACAACTATGGATCATCCTTGCTGTGGTCATACGAATTACGTCGACATTTGGCAGGAATTTTTCTTCAATGTTTTCCTCGATTCATCGCTGGCTTCGCCTGTCAACCGGTCGAAATTACTCTTCTATGGGACTTGACTATATTGAAAGTCCTCGGCAAGCTTCGCCGATCGTCGGCCGGGAATATAACGGCTTTTCCAGGCCGCGTAGGCATTGGGCTCTTCGGCTGTCATATGCGTCGCACCGATATTTGTGTTGACCCGAACTGGCGTCGACCCGAAAAGTCGGGGCGCGGAAAATTCCATTTTTCCACCTTTCCATCCTTCGGCTTCGTTAGTTTCGAGGCTTCAAATAAGTTTCAATGGCCCATTAATTCATTAACCAAGGCAAAAAATAAAAAAAAAAGCCACAACATGGTTTATTACTGGGTTTATGTCATCAAACATATAAGAACAAAAAAATGGCTGTCCGTCAGAAAATCCTCAAAATTTCTCTCCAAACACAAAAAGGCAAAAAGCGAATTGCCCGGACCAGGATTCGAACCTGGGACCTTCTGTTTACGAGACAGACGCTCTAACCACTGAGCTACACGGGCGCGGTGTTCCGCTTTGTAAGGAGACTCTTTGACGCGGGGCAGCATAATCTGACCAAAATTGGATCGAGCTGAATTTTTCGGAAAATCAGAAAAATTTATGTTCTCTTTTCCGAGGGAGAATGCAAAATAAGGAGAGACGGACATGCAAAAAAGAGTTTTCTGCATCAGATTTATTAAACAACCTTCAGCGTTCGTTTTTTCAAAACAACGGAGAAATTGGACAGTTTTTTTCCGAGAGAGCACATAAAATGAGGAGAGTTGGTTAGAGAAAAAAAAAATTTTTTGCCGTTTTTTGGGAAGTTTGGGAAAAATCATTGGAAACCTGTAAAATGTAAACTAAATCCGCACGAAATTTATGAATATAAAACTTTAGAGTCTCACCTTTCAAAATTTTATCTCAAAATCTAATTTTTTCGGTCGAAATTGCAAGGAATTGACGGTTTTTTGAAAAATCCTTGACTGAAAGGTCTTGATTGCTCTCTTAATGCGTAATTTTTCATGTTAAAATTTTTTTGTTATTTTTCCCACACATTGAACCTTTTTTTCCTAAAAATTGTTTACTAAAAGTATATTAAAACAAGTCTCTCAAAGAAAAGTTGAGCCAAATGGTCAAAGATCAGTTTTTGTGACCTTCCTCTTCCTGTTTTTAATCTTTTTCAACTCAAAACAAAATGCGTCCTAGTGGCAAATCAAAGATGATTTAGGTTTAGCTTGTGTTTTTATCGCTCCTATCGCGGATCTTTATTGTTTATGCGGCCATCTTTTATATTATGCTGCTGTAATCGCCGATATATAAGGGAAATGAAGGTTCCAAAAAAGTTCTTTTTGGGAAAACAAAAATAATCGGGGCTGTTTGATAAAAAACGAGCACATTCAAAGGGTAATTGCTTTATGTTTCTTTTATTCTTTTGAAAAAAATTTTTTCAACTTTTAAAAATCCCGAAATTTTTTATAATCTTCAGGGAGGGTACTTCAATTGTTATTTGTCAATTTCCGTTATGATTTCCAAAATCAACGATGTTTATGCCCGCTTTAAGCCCTCTCTAAAAAAATTTTTTTTTTCGAAATCCACGTTTCCTCGCAACCAGATATTTTCAGCCCCATGGCGCCATATACCGTCCACAAATCGCTCGATCAAGGCCTTTACTTCCTTGATGGGCAACGAAAGACCATCGAAAAGCCAAAATATTCCCGAGAATTTGACGTTTTTGAGCCGAGAATTGGCAAAGTTGTGGCCAAATGCCCAATTGCACCCAAGGAGCTTGTGGATCGCGTCTGTACTGATGCCAAGAAAGCGCAACCTGCCTGGGGCAAAATCGTTCCGATGGAGAGGGCCAAGGTTTTGCTCAAAGTCGCTGATATTATTAGAGTAAAAACTTTTTTATTATAATTTGTTAGTAGCTGTAAAAAATATATGTTTTTCCACGGTAAGCAAAAAAAGGCTTCAAAAATCGAAAAAAATTAAGTGTGCAGAATTTGCATCAAACTGGAATTTTGCTTCAGGAAAATGTAGACGAATTGGCCGTCTGGGAATCAAAAACGAACGGAAAATCGGTGAATGAAGCAAGAGAAGACATCCTGTCAAGTGCCGACACCTTCATGTTTTACGGTGGAATCGCTCCAGCTGTTTTGAAAGGTATCTCTTGTTTTCGTTTTTTGAACGATTTTCATTTGACAAAAAAATTTGCTGGGCCTGAAAAACAACGACGAAAAATTTCCAGGAGATCACTTCGAACTGCCGGACGATCGTTTCTGCTACACACGATGTGAGCCGTTCGGCGTGGTCGGCTGCATTGGCGCCTGGAATTACCCCTTCCAAACGTGTGTTTGGAAGGTTGCGCCAGCCTTGGCGGCCGGAAATGCCGTCGTTTATAAGCCTTCCCCGTTCGCGCCTGGCAGTCCGGTCGCATTGGGGGAGGTTTTGAAAGCCGCTGGATTGCCGGACGGAGTTTATAACGTGGTTCAGGTGAGTTGACAAGCCTATTTCTATTGTAAAAAACAAGAATTTCACAAAAAGAATTGTGTTTGCCGTGCCAAATTTTCAAAGATACTTTTAATAACGTTGCTGTCCGAAAAGAATTTTGTCCATATTTTAAAAATTTTTGGCCAAGTCGAAGGGATTTTGGCCAGGTCAATTTTTTTTAAGTTGGCCATATTTTGCAAGAGTTGGCCACATTTTTTCAACATGGCCATATTTTGTAAGAGTTGGCCACATTTTTTCAATTTGGCCAACGTTTTTTAACTTGGCCATATTTTGTAAGAATTGGTCGCATTTTTTCAACTTGACCACATTTTTTTGACTAGACCAAAAAATGATGACACATGGCCAATGTTTTTATCTTGTCCAAATTTTTCAATTTTGCTATATTTTATAAGATTTGACCGGCGTTCTGTACAAAAGTAAGCGTTTTTGGCTAAATTTTGGTCAATTTTGCATAGAAACCTTTTTTCGAAATATAAATATTTCTTTTCTCGACCACCAACCCGAATCTTTAGGGCGATGCCGAGACGGGTGAAGCCCTATGCCAAAATGAGGACATCCGCCGCGTCTCTTTCACCGGCTCCGTGGAAACCGGCAAGGCGATTCAGCGCAATTGCGCGCTCAAAAACATCAAACCAGTGACGTTGGAGTTGGGCGGCAAAAGTGCGTTCATTGTTTTTGAGGACGCGGACATAAATGAGGCCGTGAATGCCGCAATTCTGGCCAATTTTTTGAACCAAGGCGAGGTTTGTACGAATGCTACACGCGTCTTCGTCCAAGAATCAATCGTTGACGAGTTTGTTGAGAAATTGAAAAAAGAATGCGACAAGGTCAAGGTGGGGGATCCACTGAAAGGGGAGAATAATGTGGGCGCCATGATCAACGAGGGCCATTTGAACAAGGTTTTGGGGTTTGTGGAGAGCGCTGTGAAAGAGGCAAGTTACGAATTTGCAACTCTCAATCTTCCATTCAAATAGTTGAGGGGCAAAAAGTCTGTGTACTTTTCTCTGATCTTCAAAAATCTCGAGAAAAATCTGTTTTTCACCTTCAGGGAGGCACTCTAATTCGTGGAGGCAAACGAATCCACCCCTCAGGCGTTGAAGACGGCTTTTATTTGGAGCCGGCAATTCTCGGCGACCTCAACGACAACATGATCGTTGTTCGACAGGAAATCTTCGGCCCGGTCCTTCTCTTGCTCCCCTTCAAGACCGAGGAAGAGGCGTCGCGCGCGCCAACAACACCATGTATGGACTGGCGGCGGGCTTGCACTCCTCTTGCGTAAAGCGAACCCATCGCGTTGCGGCGGCGCTGGAGGCGGGGACTGTCTATGTGAACACCTACAACGACACGCATGTCCACATCCCGTTCGGGGGCTACAAGAACTCGGGCCATGGGAAAGAGAACTCCGTGGAATGCCTGAGGGAATACAGTCAGATCAAGTCGGTGTATGTGCACATTGGCGACGACGTTCAACATAATCTTGGATGATTTTGAAGGGAAACTATGTGGTTTTGAAAGATTAGTAATCAATTTAAATTTGAATTAAAGTACTTTTTTTGTATTGATTTTTTTTGTCATAAAAATCCCGATCATTTCTGCAAAATCTCTCTCCAAAAATCTCGTATGTGCCTCAAAAGAGTTTTAATATCTCTTTCTACGCAATTCTCCGTCCCCAACACGCGCTTAAGGTAATTACCGCCGGAGGGCAATTTCCGTTGTTTACGCGGAAAGAGCCGAAAAATGAAGATTTATCGAAGAAACTTGGGACATTTCGCCGTTCTTCATAGTTCTGCGCTCTCGGAAATGGGCAGAAATTCGATTTGAAATCCCCGTTCCGCACCGCTGAAACAATGCACAGTGCGAAGGAATCGGGCTCAAATCTTGTTTCGGGACGTTTTATTTCGACTTGTTTCAGGTTTTACGATGACATAAGGCAGATTTATGAGGAAAGTAGTCGAATTCGAGTGATTTCTATTACCGGGAGTTCTCGGAATTCAAATACTTTAAGTTTATTTGGCATCTCGAGCAATTCAAAAAGATTCTAGGAGGGAAAAAAGTGGTTTGCCTGAGGGTACAAGCCTAAATTTAGATATATTTAGATTTGTCTAGAAAAATGCTATTTGGTCTACAAAACTGCGGTAGTCTTGAAAACTGTTTTGAAATTCGCCCTATATTAGATATGGTCGAAAAGGCAGGATTTAATCCGAAATAATCGCCTTTAAAATGGACGTCAACTATCAGATTTAGCACAAAAATCCGGTCTTGTAGTGACTCAAATAGCTTTGGTTTGCGCTGTTTAAGATGTATTCATACCAGTTCAAATCCATTTTACGATTCTAGTGGCTAAAGGAAAAACATTCTCAGGTGGTTTCTTGCCCATATTACAGCACGATAGCTGTGGACTAAAGCTACCTGTGAAAAAAATCATTGCGCCCCATTTTTAATTTTTATTCGCCGACCTCTCTAGAAATATGTTTTCTTTGATATGGCAAGAGGGTCCCAAAACGTATCAAGTTTTGTTCAAAATACTCCTTGGTCCCCCCCCCCCCCTTCCAAAAAATTTTTTTAAGGCTAATTTTACTTTCCAAAAATTCTGCCAAAAGAATTTTGATATCTAAAATCTCTTGGTCATTTGATAGTCTCTGGACGAAGAGTCTAGACGGTTCAGGAAATGCGCTGGATTGACGTGAGGTGCCCTATTTGGACCCAACCCTCTCTGCCGATATACAGTGGCTGAGCTGATCCAGTGGCAAAAAACGTACTATTTTGCATCCGGGAAGTATCAAAAGTATGGCAGAATGCTTCCCTCAAGTGAAAAAACCCTGATTTCAAAAGCGCGCTCGCTCTTTTTGCGAGAGAAAGGCCCTTCAAAACGAAGTTTTTTCTCTCGGAGAGGGAAGCATTTTGCCACATTTTTGATGCTTCCCGGATGCAAAATGGGATTTGTCACTGGATCTGGTCCGTCACTGTATCAACTACTCTGAGGCGAAACCCGAGGGCAAAACTGGCATGAGACGAAAGTAGAAAGTGGTTTGTGCCAAAAATAATCCACTGGCTAAGGGTGAACTACCCTACATGACAATTAATATGTATAAATTTGAAGAAATCCTGAGGGTATTGCTATCGGGTATTTTGCTTCCATTTTCAATTATGCACCTTGATCTTTCGTTTCTTCCGACTTTTTTGGAGGTCATTCGGTATGAAATCGGATTTGGCGATTATCGACTCAAATTCATTCAATCATAAACTTTTTTGAAGGCTTTTTTGACTTCAGTCCAAAAAATTTCTCAAGTTTTTCAGACACAAATTCCTATGGAAAAATAGGCTATAAATACGGTATAGGGGAATATTTACCGACATTCAATACTTGGAAGGGTTCGGAACTCACATATCCCTTTACGCAATCCGACCCCGAATATTGAATAATCGAAAAACTTTTCGCTTTTGTTAAAGACCCTTTATAGAAATAATATTTTTTATCAAAATTTCAGAATTATTTTTGGCTCTATGACAGTGTTTTGTGAAAAAATCTCCAAAATTGATCAGGGAAAATCACAAACAATCTTTTTTCAGCGATTTGCATAATCCCAATAATCGTCTTGTTGTCTATGACGGGATTTAAATGGCGAGTTTCCCGACGGGTTTATTTATTTTTGAACACTTATATGTAGTTTATAAGTTTTTTTTAAAAGTTTTTATGCACTTTTCTTCAACGTTTCTAATAAAAAAATTTTGTTTTGGAAGCTAAAAATTTTTTTGAAAGATAAAAAATTTTTTTAAAGTCCAAAATTACTGTCCCAAAGCGGCCGTTAAATCGGCGATTAGATCTCGAAAACTTTCGCTTTTTTTTGACTCCGAATGTGAGTGAAACGTCGTTTATGACTCATTGACCGACGACTTGGGACAAAAAAGTTTTTTTCGCTGACCTACTCTGACATTCACGGAGGTTTCGTTTTTAAATTTCCGAGTTTTGTGGTGTTTAAACTTTGGAAAAAATAAGAAATATTTGGTTTTGCCGCAAAAATAAAGATGTATTTGGAATAGTGAACTTTTCTTTCACAAATCTCTAGTTAGTTTAGAAAAATTTTTTGATGAAATTTTGCTTACATTTAGAGCAAATTTTTCTAAAGTTCATTGGAGATTTTCGCTCGCATCTTACTGAAACCATGAGATTTTTTGGAGTTGAAAAGGTTGATTTTTTGAGGGTGTTTATTTCACGCGGTCACAATTTATGCTACATGTAAGGTCAAAATTTTCCAAAAAAATAATTTTTTCTACCGTAAAACTCCCAAAAAAAGTCGTTGAACATCTCAGCTCCCCCGACAAAGCAAGAGCTGAGATGATCGGAAATTGATTTGAGGCCGATCTAGAGACTGTCTGAAGAGTTTGGAGCAAATTATTTTTAATTATTTTTCTCGATGATATAGAACACTATGTCAGAAAGCAGCTAAAATTTAGGGACCGAAAAAAATAACTGTATCTTTGCGAATTTCGCTAGAAAAAAATTCTTTTTTTGTGGCGACTTTTTACTCCTCATATAGAATAAACTGATCAAATTGAAAGTGGCCAAAAAGCTCACTTTTTTAACTACTAAATATTACTCTCAAGTCTCATCAAAACTTGTCTACCGCAGATCCTAATAATCTTGCTTTACAACTGACCCCACTATGAACTTCACAAATTTGTCCGTTCTTGGGTTCGGAAGCGGGGGTGGGACTGTTTGATATGAAGTTGTAAACAAATAAAATGATGTATGGGAGACGATGGAAAAGGCCGTTTGCTCAAGTCCCGTCTATTTCCTAATTCTTTGGGTTTCATTGTTATGCAGACTTTTGTAAAAAAATTTTTTTATTTTTTGATTTTTTAAAAATCAAATTTTTTTAAATTTTTTTACTTCAAATTGTATGTAATGAAACTTCTGGAAAAATAAAATTAGTGTTTTTCAGGCTATAGGAAAATTTTTATAGTAGCATGCATTTTTTGGAAATTTTTCGATTTTTTTTGTTTATAAACAAAAAAAATCGGATATTAGATTTTTTTTTAGAAATTGAAAAATTGGTATTCTGTTCTATACGCTGATTAAAAATTTCTAACAAAAAGTCAATATTTTTCGCTTTAATTTGCGAAAAATAGCCCAAAAATTTTCTTTATTCTCTGACGGTCCCTCCGAATTTTGCATGGTGTCTCGTTTGCAAAGATTGTTGAATATCTCAGCTCGCCAAAGTTTTTTGGATCATGATCGGTAAAACCATAAGCCAAATTTGAAGAAAATCTGAACCTTAAACTTTCAGAATTCAGCTAAAAGAAAGACTTTTCTTAAAATTTTTATTTTCGTCGAAAAGGAAGCGAAATTTAAAAGGGCACTTGGTCACGTAGCCTCTTCGAGCCTTCAATGCCTTCAAATCGTGGCGAAAAGGGACGATGTAAATCTTATTGGCCAAATGAAGTTATAATAAGATTGAGATTAGAGGCGCCGAACTTTATCCTCTTTTCTTATCGTATTGTTCCAAAAGATTGTTTGGGGATTTTGAAGTGTTTTACAATAAGATTTTGAAGGGGGGTTTTTACAATAACCTTTGAAAAAGCAATCGGGTAGTTAAAGTCGAGGAGACATCGAATATTTTTATTCATACCATGGGAGGTGGGGGATCAAGGCAAAAAAACCGTTTTACGAGAGAACGTAGAAAATGAAGAGACTCGGACAGGTCTAGCAAGGAAATGGTGACAAGTGAGACACATAGATTTCTTAAACAGGCCTCATATCAATTCCTGAAAATTTTAGCTTGCGCTATCCAGGCGAAGTTGAGATATTCAACGATCTTTGCCGCCGAGAATTCACACAAAACGCGGAGGGCTGTCAGGGAGAAAAACGCTTTTTGGCCAAATTTTTGTTTTTTTATGGAAACATCACCCTTTGCGGAAGAAATAACCATGAAATGTTTAGCGAAAATGAATAATCGTCGAATATTTTGTTGATAGTACATACCCTTGATTTCTTCACATTTTAGTCATCAAAAAATTTCAAAAATAAAAAAAAAACTAGCCATGTTTCACTAAAGATTACTTTCATAATTGTGCCTCAAGCAATCCTCCGGATTTCCCATTACTACTCGAATATTCTCCTCTCAAAATATGATGAATAATTACGTTGGGCGGCTGAAGCTTTGGTTTGTTTACCCAGGATATGATCATGTAAATACAAGGTCCCAAGAGTTTTCGAGGGCTTTCAAGACGTTTTTCAGTAATTTTCAGGCAAATTGTGAAAGGCTGGGAAGAGCCGCGGATATAAATAGTAGGAAATTGTTTGGTCGGAGGGCTTAAAAAGCTGGGATCTTCGGAAAATTCAATTTTTTGACGATTTTTTAGAACTTTATTTTTAAAAGTTGCGCTTTGCAGAAACTATCGAGATTTTTTGATCGAAAATTTAAAAAAATGTAATTCTTTTCTTACTGAAAGGCTTCAAAAAAATCGTACCGTAACGTGTAATGCTTCCTCAAGAAAGATTTTTCTGAGATTTTTTTATATTACTTTTAATTTCATCAATGTATAATCGATGATTTTTTATATTATTTACTCAAAATCGATTTTTACGAAAACAAATTTTTCTTTATTTGCTCATATTATATCTAAAAAATGTCTTGATGACGTTTGATAATTGCAAGTTTCTAAACCGCTTCCAACAGCATTTATTACTGTTATTCCGTCATGCCCCTCTCATTTCCTGTTTTATTATGAGTTCTGGGAACGAGGGCTGTCCTCAAAATTTTTGTTGTTTGCATTCGAGCGTGAACGGTGAAGAGAGATCAAAAATCCATACAGATTTATGCGAATGTTTTGTTTTGCCGTGCTTTTTGGGAGTTTTTTTAGGTCGCAACTGATTTTTTTTAATTCAAAGGTACCACCACGGGCAGTGTTTTAATTCCCTTTAAATTTTGAATACATGTTTTGCTTATGCCGTATATCAATTCCTGAGAAACTTAGCTTTCAGCTTCCAGGCGAGCCGAGTCATTTTTAAATTAAAAACAATTTTTGCGAGAGACCACGTAAAATGAGGAGAGCCGGACAGACAAAACTGTTTTTGGCTATAACGTCTGTTGTTTGATGACAAAAAATCGATTTTTTTATGGAAATTTTGTACTCCCTACTTCAAGTCATACAGACTGTTTTAAGCGTCTGCAAAATTTTTTTTCTCTTTTGCCAAAATTTGGCCTAAAATCTCGGTTGATTCTGCAAATTTTCCGGCTAAACTCTTATCTATAGGTCTTAGAAAACTGTTTAATTTTTCAAAATCTAAAGATCTATTTTTTTAAACTGACAATGAACAAAAAATTTCGCGATTTTAAATTTTTTTTCAAATTTAAGCACTCAATTAATGCGTTTAGTAGCCAAATCGTCGTGACAAAGACGAGATCCCGCCGCACAGCGTGCTCGGGCATGCGCAAATAACCGGACGTGAAGAATGCAAGCCTCCGCCATCAACTTCACCGTCGTTCTGGGCCTTCTGCTGATCCTGCTGCTGATTCTGGCGGGCGTGATTTTTATGGTGTGCAGGCAGAGTCAGGTGGACGACGTTTTCCCGAAGAGTTCGTTGGTGGATAAGCAACGGAATTCGTCGGCGTCCATTCAAAGTCTTCAAATCTCAAGCGGCATGGATAAGATGGGTACGAAATTAAGTTCGATTTTTTTTTAAAATTCTGCAGGAAAAGGCTACCCAATAATTTATGGGGGTGTCAAAATATTCAGAGTATATGCTGGGGAAGCGTACCGTTCAAAAAAATTTTTTGTAAGGTTCTTGCACAGTGCAATTTCGTAAAATTTTTTTATTAAAAAAGTGTCATGAAACTTGCCACAAATGTAGTATGCTATTGGTTAGGACGCACAAGTCAGTTTTAGCTCATGCCAATGTAAACAACGGGGATTTTTAGGAAAAATAAGCAAAAACCAAAAAAAAATTTTTTTCAACTCTAGCCTTGAAAAAACCAATATGTATTAGAAGACGGAAATACAATATTTCTCCACGAAAGAACAATTTTCGCCATGCGAAACACGGAAAGCAGTATGCGAGAACTATGTTTTGTCTGACCCTCTCTCCTCATTTTAGCTGCTCCCTCGCAAAAAGGATTGTTTCCTCAAGGCTGCGCTGACAAGTGGGGGCTAAAATTTACTGGAATTACAGTGGGGGACCTTATCCAGTTTTTCAAAAAACGTGCCATTTTGCAACCGGGAAGCATCAAAAATGTGGCAAAATGCTTCCCTCTCCAATTGAAAAACTCGGATTTCAAAAGCGCGCCCGCTCTTTTTGTGAGGGCCCTTCAAAACCAAGTTTTTTTCTCTTGGAGAGTGAAGCATTATGCCACATTTCGGATACTTCCCGGATGCAAAATGATACGTTTTTTGCCAATGGATCAGGTCCCCCACTGTAGAATGCGGCCTGGACAAAATATATAAGCCAAGTTTGAAGAAAATCGAAAAGTTTCACAATCCTTTAAAAATGAAAAATAAAAAAAAAATCTTTTTTGCCCATTTCAAAAAATTATCTTTTTTAGATTCGTCCTCCCCGTTTCCGAACGTGCCGAAGATAATTGTAACGACAGCGTCGTTGCGAGAGAAACGTATCTAACTGCATTCGAATCTTCGTCTCGAGGACTGCACCTCTCTTATAAACAAGGGCCATTTATCGCAAACAGAATTATGGGTACTAACAGTTGTAAATTCGCATAATAAACGATTTTTTAGCTGCTCGGGAAATGTTGAAAAAATCACTTTTTTCCAAAAAATGCCAAAAATTTTTTTGAAAAAAGCTGAACAAACTCTAACAAAAAATCAAAAAAAAATTGATTTTCCCGTGAATTATGCAAATTTTTCCCCCACATTCCGCGGCCCAATAAAAGGAACGGAGAGCGGTGGGCCGGGCTATTCGTGGTCTTCGGTCCGAAATAGCATTATGGGTGACAAGAGCGCGTACATGGGAGCCTACAGTGGCGGCGGCTCGAGTGGCGGTGGTGGCTATGCTCGTGAAGACTATGCCTGGGGCTCGTCCAGCGGTGGTGGCAGCTCTTCCGGCGGTGAGTTGGGGTTGATTTTTTATGGGGTGTTCAATTTTTTTGCGGAGATTTTATAAACTTTTCTGCTTCTTTGGTTGTTTGGGGCCATTTTGGCTAAATTTTTATTCATTGATTGACAAATTTTATTCCCATTTCTTATGCAAACGTTTTTTCTATAGAATCATTTCTGTTTTTTTGACTTTTTGTATTTATTTTTTCCGTTTTTCAGGCGGCTCTTCCGGCAATCAGAGCAGCGCTCCCCAGCAACGTTCCGACGTCTCCTGCTACCTTGGCCCAAAGTAATAGTCTCCGTTTTCTCTCATAAGCGGCAGTTTTTTGTCCATTCCAAGGATCAATAAATTCGTCTGCTTTTATTTTCCGGCTTTTTTACAGGGTGCGCCAAAAATATTGGGACAAAAATCAATTCCGTGTAGCTTTTTTCGGCTGGCCTTGGAATCAAAACTTTTGGCCGTTTTAGCAAGGGTAACAGCCTTGCTATACGGCAACGGTAATGCCAGGGTTGGGGCCTATTGCAAACTTGAAAAAATATTCAAAAGTTTTTGGGGGACCAAAATTTTCTTTTCAAGTGGATGACCGGGAAATCAATTTGGCCATTATTTCCGCTAAGGGAAAGTAAGATCCTTCTAATTTATTGTGTATAAAGCACATGCTATTCACTTCGTAACAACGTATGTAATCATGGTTGACGACCGATATGGCGGCGCTGGTCGAAAAAACAAAAGAAATCCCGAAAGTTCGGATTTTTATGTTTTTAACGATCTCATTATCACAGTATCGCCCGTGTTGCTGTAAAATTTTGTGGTTATAGAGTGTGTACATAGGGAATTGTCATACTGTAAAAGAAAATCTACACCTACAAGGGGACAGTTTCTGTATGGAAAAAACTTTATGGTGCGGATTGGAGGCACGGTCCTTCGAAACTTGGTATATTTTGGCAGTTTACTACAAGTTGAAAAGTACTTGAGCGTAAAAATCGACGTAACGCTGTACTCGGGATACATGCTGACACAACTGAATTACTTTTAGCGATCTTCAGTCCAAGCTCACTTGACGAGCAACCTTAGAGTAAATTCTACCGCTGTAGTCACGATTTCATCCCCCAGAGGCAGAAAATAAAAAAATAATTTTTCAAAAACGACTAGTCAGACTCTCGTTGTCCTTATAAAAGTATCTCTGATGCCTAATACGCTGGGAACCTTACATCGAAACTTCTACATAAAAATCTTTGATCTTACGGCAGTTTTCTGGAAAACGGCGCGTTTTTAGGCCGACTTTGACGGGCTGTAAAAGATGTAATCGTCATTATAAGTAAAAATCATTTTTAGTGTATAAAAAGCGACCGCTACTCTGTCATATAAAGTGAATTTCTGCCATAGCATGCAACGACAAAACTAGTGTTTCCAATTTTTATCCATTTTGGGGTCCGTGTCTAAGGGGCCTTAGTTGTGAGCACTTATAATGGCAGAACAGGTGTCGTACACGACTACTCTGTCTGAAACTTTGAAGATAGATGCTTGGGAGCATTGCACGTTTGCACAAGCGACCACTTTGCCCTTGTACCATTACATCCCGCAGGGCAAGTAAAAATATGAGTCCCAATATTTTTGGCGCACCCTGTATATTGTACTTCATACTTGGTGATACCAGTTTTGGCTCGAGTTTTATTTAGTTTTAGGGCTAATAACCGTTTTTCTTATAATTATTTTAACTGTTTTTTTATGGAATAGTAAGCCGTTTGTGGTTTGAAGTTTTGGTAAACTAGTCTGGTCTCACCGCGAAAACTTGAAACCTTAAAAAAGGTAAATATGTATAATACGTAAAGGCGAATGATTTTTGAACTCAACTTTCTCTAAATCAGCTGACCTCCAATAACTTTCACCCTAAATGCCCTTAGGGGCTTTCCTCTTTCCCCGAGATTACGCAAAGAACTTACCATTTTTTGTGGTCAAAGACAGCGTCGTATCTCGTGAGACCGTCGAATTGATAAGCCCCGTCCGAGTCCAGCTGTTGTTCCCTTCCGCAGAAAGCGATGTGGAGGAGGAAGGCGTTGTGGGCCCTGCTGATCGGCTGGACTGGAGCCATTCTGCTGACTCCCGAGCATCCGCCCGATCCCAAAACTTTTCGACCGTATCGACGGAAACCCGGGGATCCGAAACGACCGTCAAATCCGATAATTTTGAGTAAGTTTGAAGCTGAAATTTTGGGGGATGGTATCCAAAAAATCTCTTCATTCTGTATGAATTTTAATTTGAAAAAACTGAAGATTTTTAAAAAAATTTATTTTTTTTGCCTTGGTCCCCCCTTACAAAGATTTTTACCAAAAAAATTTTTTTGATTTCGCACTGCAATTTTTTAAATAATTGACTGTATCCGCAAAAAAAAATGATTTTTTTAGTCCCCGGCGATGGCGGAAGCCAATTACAAGCCAATCTGACTGGTAAACCCTCGACAGTTCACTACCTATGCGACTCGAAAACGGCGGATTTTTTCGACCTCTGGCTGGACATTGAGTCGTTTGTTCCGGTGAAAATCGACTGCTGGGCCGACAACATGAAACTTTTGTTCAACGAATCCACCGGTCAGTCCGAAAACTCGCCCGGCGTGGACGTGAAGGTCCCCGGATTCGGAGGGATCGATACGGTGGAGTGGTTGGACCCGCGCAAATACTCGCCCGGTCGATATTTCCAACCAATTGTGGATGCGTTGGTGGCATGGGGATACACCAGAGCTAAGAATATTATCGGGGCACCATTCGACTGGAGAAGGTCGCCGCGTAAGGCTTTTGTATTATAGTTTGAAGACTTTTTAAGCCTTGTATAAAGTAAAAATTTTTTTTGAAAAATCGTATTTTAGCGGAACTAACCAACTATTTCGTATCTCTGAAGACCCTAATTGAGACGGTCTACCTTTACAATGACCATCAGCCGGTTATAATCCTCGCTCACAGCATGGGAAATCCGATGATGAACTATTTTTATCATAATTTTGTGGATCAGGCAAGCTCTCGGATTTTTTCAAATTTTGCACAAACACTGTAGACAGGCTAAATAGCAATTCCTGAGAATTGTATCTCACGCTTTGCGGGGCGAGCCGAGCTATTCAACGATACCGAGAGAGTATGTGAAACGAGGAGAGCGGTCAGAAAAAAAAAAATTCCACTCATTTCTGTGCTGATTTTCCGTGTAAAAATTATTTTATAGGCATTTTGTGCTCCTGGAGGAAAAAAATTGACTTGTTGTCATGTCGAATTCTTTTCACTTTCCAAAAAGTTTTGATGATTTCTCAAAACCGTGAGCCAGAAAACTCGGCTTTGCCTCGGCAAACTTTCCGCCAAATTAGTGCCAGATTTCACCACAAACTCAGTATTAAGGTTTAGGGTAACACCTCTTAAATTTCATCCAGAAACTTATTCAAAATCATCGGAGTTCAGGGTCACTTCGGCATACCGGGCTTTTGCAGACACGGTAGAAAAGTATTCGGTTTTCGCAGATCGGCAGAAAAATATTGGGAGTGGGCGGACGTCGTAGAATTAGCAAAGCGGCTCCCGTCGAGCTCAACAGCAGATCCCACAACCCCTATACCAAAATATAGCGTATTTCCCCTCCGAATCCACAATAAATTTGATAAAGACTGTTCTAGATGTGGAAGGACAAATATATCCATTCTCATGTCTCGTTGGCCGGTGCCTGGGGCGGATCCATGCAGATTGTGAAACTGTACGCCTCCGGCTACAACATGGACTACTATCGGATCCTCCTGCCTCCCAGCGAACTGCGCGCCATGCAGCGGAGCTTCACCAGCTCGGGCCTCCTCTTCCCCGCCAAACAGCTCTGGCCGGACTATGTGTTCGCCCAAACCGACGCCAAAAACTACAGCAATCGCAATCTGAAGGAGTTCTTCGCGGATATCAAGTACGAATTGGGCTTGAAACAATATGAACTGGCGAATCCGGCGTTGCTTCTGGACCCGCCCGGCGTCCCGGTTCACTGCATTTATGGACATGCAGTGCAAACTCCGGAGTTCTTCCAATGGGCCAAAGGGTATTTTCCGGATTATCAGCCGGTCATCACGTACGGAGATGGCGATGGGACGGTGAATCGAGTATCACTGGAGATTTGCAAGGGATGGAAAGGAAATAATCAAGGGAGAGATGTAAGATTTGACATTTTTTGGATGGCAAAGGGTTTTCAATAACAGATGTAAGGGAATTTAGATTTAAAATATTAAATAAACGTCATAGCAGCATAGGCATGCCATAACTAGTAGTTGAACTGAAAAAATCGACGAATAATTCGACCTTATTTTAGGTGACTGTTCATGAGATCGAAAATGCTGACCACATGGCCATTCTGGCTGATCTCCGGACTATTCAACTCATCAAGGACCTTCTCTATGACCGATAACAATATTGAAAATCATATTTACTTCATAATAAATAGCATCTTGATAAGTTAAGAGGGGTGAGATCACTGAAAAAATAATATCCGAATGAGAGTCAAACCCGGCCAAGAGGGAATAGAAATGTCAAAGATTCAGCCCATTCAACCCGATTCACGCGATTCGTTGAGTAGATGTATACCCAGAAGGAGGCAAACACAGTCCAAAAAACAACGCCGACTGCTGATCCAATAAGGTCTGAAAATGAAGGGAAATCAGTAATAACACAATGGAAAAAGTTGTTCTTCAATCGCCACAAGAGAGTACTATCAGGAGGACACACTTCGCACATGATATTACACATGTCAAGTATTGTCCTCAAACAAATTGTATTGTTAGTTGTAGAAACAGGAAATCTTTCCTATATCCTACTATATTCGTCTTTCTGACTCCCTAAAGATGCAGAAACAAAAAATTTCAAGAACTTACACTTTATCATACTCTTTTCCGGCACTTCCATCTCGGCAATCTTCTTGTTCCAGATTGTTGGCCCAAACCAAAGCACATTGGCCAACCAGACAAACGGCAAAGCCAAGAGACCAATGAAAAAGTATTTTCGACACAAGTCCAGTCTTTCATCAAGATTCAACTTGGCCAGCGAGGCCATCGAATATTCCGGTGGTCTACTGCAAGATCAGGCATAAAATAAGCAAAAGTTCAAACAACACGACGGGAAAACTTTTAAAAATGCATGTCAATGTCTCCAGAACGGGTGTGGAAACCGGAAATGACCCCAACAAACGGAATTGTTATCTTACACATGACTGTAAAAAAACCCGAACACCAAAATTAATTGATCATCTGATTCGGAAGATGTAAACAATTGTCTAAAAATAAAGACCATAAGTCCATTTTTGATTCATCAACAAGGCGCGTCGAAAGAAGAGAGAAATTTTATCCTTTTCCGGCTTTCTAGACAATAAGTCATTGACCAAATATTATTATCAAATTTTGGTCTCTAAATTTAGTTTCTCCGCTGGGAAGGGGCTTTACATAGTAATATCCCGTCTGACGAGCTTCAAAACCTTGGTTTATTCCTCTTCCATCTCAAATCTCGCAATTTTTCCGAAAATTTGGAAAATTTCTGTGCCGCAGCTCGCGCCCACCCAAAAATGCAAGTCGCGAATCGCGATAAGCTCAAGGATAAAGTCCCGATCTTCTCCAGTGAAAGAGCGGACGTATCTTCATTGTCTTTGACGATCTGAAAAAGAAAGCATTTCCGGCGCCATCCACTTCCGCACATTTTTTTGGGTTTCTTCAGCTCGTCTTTAATTTATTTAATTAACTTGTTTTGCGGGCAGGTAGGCGCCCAAGATCGCGGACTAGTGTAATATGGTGGAATATAACTTGAGCCCATTGACTGATAAGGGCACTTCCGTTGAATTTGTGTGTGAATGACTAATTTTGCGGTGGAAACAATTCTGCGTATTCTTTTACTAGGATTGCTGAAGAATGCCTAAATTTTCAGTGAGAATAGCAGGGAAATTTTGCTAATAAAAGGGTGTGGCTTTACTTGAGGCATTGCAAATGTTTAGATATGAAAATTTTGCTGAATTGAGGGTTTTTTTTTGACCTTTTTAGGAATTGACCATCATGGATAATATAATTTTGTGAATTCACGCCTTTTGATAATAATAACTCGCGTATTTGCTCACACAAATGGTAGAACATTGTTTAAGCGATCAATGAATCGTTGTTGACGAAGTCAACGATCTATGCAGAGCCAGAATGAGCATTAGAAATGGCGCCTTCCCCACTTCAACTGTGGACGACTCGAAGATGCCCTGGTTTCATGGTCAAATCACAAGAGATCAGACTGAAAGGTAAGTGGAATTGTTGGAGATTCATTGCTTGATGTTTAGATTGCTGCGAGGACGAAGCGATGGGACTTTTTTAATACGAAACTCTACGAATTATCCGGGAGACTTTACCTTGTGTGTGGCTTATAAGGGAAAGGTCGAACATTATAGGTAATAATTTATTTTTTTTTATTGTTTTTAGTGTATTTATGTGTGATTCATAATTGAGTACCTAGTACGGTTAAGAAAATTTCCGATTTTTCGTTAAAGCGGAAGGTGTTTATCTTACTCATGAGGTCAACGGAACTACTCTTTTTACCTTTTCTATTGAAACGTTTATGAATCACCAGTGAGTAGCGTTGCTACATAGCCTTCTATTTAGCTGTTTGGCCTTATTAATACGTACTGAACACTTTTTTTGTCTGCACCTTCACATATACAATTGGTTATTTTATTTCTCTCCTTTTCAGGATATATCTGGTGAAGAACCAATACACCTGCGACCACGAGGAGCTATTTGACAATCTCATTCAACTCGTTTCGGTAGGCTTTGCATATTCATTTTTTCGTATTTCGAATTTAGGTACCCAAACTTACATTTTATAATTTTAGCATTATAAACGAGATGCCGACGGGCTCTGCCATCGCTTAGTGACCCCTCAGGTATCAGAAGCATTCCGTCTGCAGTGTGAAGCCGCGAATCGTGAGGAACGACTAACGGAATTCGAATTGGCTGGGGTTATTATCCCGCGAAATGAACTTCAACTTGGTGATGTCGTGGGCCACGGAGAATTTGGTGGTATGTTCCTTTTTTATTTTTATTGTTGGCTTTTAGATGTTCTCGCCGGGTTTTACCATTCAAATCGAGTCGCTGTAAAAACACTGAAGAATGGGCTCTCAAGTGATCTCCTCAACGAAGCTAGAATAATGATGTAAGTGCGATGAAATTTTTACATGATCCGCTTTATAACGGCGACATCTTTTGATGAATAACATTCTCAACGGTCTTCCGCAAGATTCTTAGGCTTAGAAGATGCGAAATCTTAATTTTTCTCGCTTCAGAGGCCTAAAACATAGCAATCTTGTTGGTCTGGTTGGAGTCGCAATGGACCAAACCGGCTCGGAAGTCCTCATGGTCATAGAATACATGGCGAATGGGAATTTGGTTGATTTCTTGAGATCTCGCGGACGACACCAAGTCGAGAAGGAGCAACTTCTGAGGTTCTCCACGAACGTTGCTGACGCGATGGCCTACATGGAGTCCAGATATCTGGTTCATCGAGATTTGGCAGCCCGAAACGTTCTTCTCGATGTGAATTACAACGCCAAAATTAGTGACTTTGGACTCGCCCAAAAAGTCGACCAAAAAACTGTGGATCGCGGGCGAGGGAAATTCCCGATCAAATGGACAGCTCCCGAGGCGTTGAGAGAAGGAGTAAGTTGACGGTCTTTTTGATTTGGAGCCGGCAGAAGAGAGTAGCACTTATTTTTTTTTTGTTTTTATCTATTTTTGGGCCTTTTCTGATGATTGATGGCTTGTTTAAAACGAGAGATTTGTATCGAAACCTTTGTTTATCAGCTTATTTTTTTCAGGCTTTCACTAACAAGAGCGATGTTTGGTCGTATGGAGTCCTGTTATGGGAGATCTATTCGTTTGGACGGGTGCCCTACCCTCGAATTGTAAGGTTTTTGATTTTTTTCGTTGAGTTTTTAGGAGACTTTGAGGTAATGGAACTTCTTTTAGCCAATCCAAGATGTTGTCCGACATATCGAACGCGGCTATCGAATGGAGCCGCCCGAGGCGTGCCCAACGCCGATGAATGACCTGATGACCGAGTGTTGGAACCTAAGCCCTTCGGAACGACCCTCATTTGCGATGATTGTGGCTCGATTGAAACGTCACAGCGACTTTAATTAATTTCGCATGTCATGAAGAGCGTGTAAGCAAAGTCTGCGCTGTGGATTACTGTAATTTCGAAAACTTTGTTGGTTTTTTCAAATTTTTGGGACTTAAATTTTCCTTGAATATTAACGTCTTTTCATGGCCAGCATATTGCACACATGTCTCCAAAAGGTTATCAGAATCAAATATCATTCGTTCGTCTGCTCAACAGCCCGCTTATTTACCTCTCTGTGACAATACAGGTTGAAAATTTTGATCGATTTTTTTGTGTTGCCCAGCCAAAATCCGACTACTTATCCTCGATTTTCAAGTGCCCTTGACCCATGCTTGTGTATATCATTGCATTTTCTACGCAGCTACCTTGATTTTTTTATGATACTAACGGTTTCTAATTAGTTTTTAACTTTTTTTTGCATAATTTTTTGCAGATTCGGCCATTTTCTTATCGAAACTCTCAAGGTTCAACAAAAAAGTGTCTTAAATGAATTGAAATATATCTCTTCTTTATGTTATGTTGTTGTATGTCGTATCTTTATAATGGTATTTATTTACATTCACAATTTTTTTTTGTATTTTTTCAAGTTTGTGCAGATTTTAACGTTATTTTATATGATTGTACAGAATATTGCATGATTTTTCTGGAGTTCGATTAATATATACAATGAAAAGGATTGGATTTTGCTGTAATACGTTGATTAGTCGTTGGAAATATTTGGTTTATCGTATCGTGATTCCAGAAGAAGCACTTGACTCATATGGGTCAAGTGTTCCCCTATGCGGGTAGTAATAACGATTTTTTCTGTGAATTTGTTTCAGAATGATACCACGCTCTTCGTAAAACACTTTTCTGTACAATTTGAGTCGATTTTTTTCGTAAATTATGTCCAATTCCACGGCCGTGTCCATATTGGACAACTTGGCCGACATTGATCTCCTAAAACAACTCCAATCCGACATTCGCAAGGAATGGAAGGGCGACGAGCCGGGCATCAACTTCTTCCTCCTGCTCGGCGCCCTCCTCCTCTTCGTCACATGGGCCGTGTTCTCGGTCTACTTCTTCAGTCGCGTCTGCGGCACGTTGATCTGCGTCTTCCTCAAGAGATTGCTTCCATATTTGATGGGAGAACAACAACAACTTCAGCACTTCTCACTGGGCAGTTTCTCAGTGTCCCTTCTGGCCGGCAAGATCATGTTTCGCGAGGTTTTGTGGGTGACGGATGATTACTCGTTGAGAATCAACGATGGGTACCTAATATTTTCATTTTGGAGGAGGGTCCCCAGAAAGGAGGAGCTGGAAGCCACGAGGGATCGGAAGCATGGGTAAGAGAGTGGTTTTTGCCATAGATAATACTTCATATATTTTGGACTTGAATTTCCTTGAATTTCATTTGATATTCACATTGTTTTAGAGATATCTCTCGTCTCCACGTCTCCCTGAACGGCGTCAAACTCCATTTCTACAATCGTCTCGACCTCTATCAAGCCTTTGCCAGAGCGGCACGAGGCGCGTCAGCATCAGCCGGCCATCTTGTCCCACCGAAAGAACAACTCCCAGCCAAAGACAACAGCGCCTTCTCTCAACTCGCCAAACGAGTCGAGGAGCAGCAGTTGGAGGCGTGGTGGGACAAGTTCTGGAGGCTGGTGGGAGTCATTGTTCTCGACATTACCAGCTGCAGGATCATCGCCGGCAACTTGCGAATGCCCTACGCCTTTGCTTTGGTCTGTGAGAACTCGCAATGTAGGTTCAAAACAACGTTTTTTTGAGTGTTGGGATTGCAACGCGATTTTTTTTTGATGTAAGATTTGGATTTCCAGCCAAACTATACATCACGGCCGCTTCGAATCCGGAGGATCAACACATGTTCCGAATGAAGGCGACCTTGGAGAATGTTCGAATCTCGCTGGTCAAGCAGACTGGCTTCAAAGGACAGCGTGAAGACCCTCCGAGAACGATGGGAGACGGATTCGCCATCCTGCAAAGCGCCACCATCCATTTCTTTTATCAACAGGACATTCTGGGTAGGTGGCCTTGTGTTTTCGCAAACTTTTTGGTCCTTCTTTAGGCTTTGTCCGACAGGAGGATCGCCAATCCGCCACAACGAATATCCCGGTGTGGGAAACGACCTGGCGTTTCGACAAGAACACCGTCATTTCCTATGGTCCGTGGGCCGACAAGCGCCGCGCGGAACTGTACAGTTTCTTCTTCCCTAGCGACTATGGGATCGTCCCGATCACGGAGATGCCTCGAAGAGGCGAAAAACGCATCTTTACGCAACACAAGTCGGAGTTCTTTTTCATCCGCGACGCCACAATTGATATGTGGTTTATGCGAAACGATGAATTGAACGCAATTCACAGTCGAATCATGCCGGGCTCGATTTTCGAATTTACAGTCCCGTGGATCTGCGGAGAAAACGGCTACACTTCGGGTAAGAGAAGTCGTATCACGGGAAAACTTTTGAAGTTAGCATGGTCTGCTAGCCAAACGATTCTTTTGTGAATACGTGGGGAATTTTTTGAGACCCAAATTCTAAAATTTTCACATCAAATGTATTGAGGATCTCTCATTCCTGGAAGGTTACTTTTGCTAATACATTTGGAAATAAGGGATCAAAATTACAAAAATTGTGTGTTTAGAATCTCCAGGGGACCCACACTTGCGCATGAAACTTTATTAGCCCTGCAACAACAGGTAAACGCTGTCTTTATAGCCCTCGTTCATCAAGAAAACGGATCGTTTTCAAAATTGAAAATGTTTCTAAAAATTTTTGAAAACGATCCGTTTTCTTGATTTTATCTGAACGAGACCTATAAAAACGGTGTTTACTTGTTGCTGCAGGCCCTAATAAAAAGTTTCATGCCGAAGTGTAGGTCCCTGGAGATTCTAAACACGCAATTTTTGTATTTCTGATCCCTTGTTCCCCAATGTATTAGCAAAAGTTGACCTTCCAGGAATGAGTGATCCTCAATAAATTTGATGGGAAAAATTTAGTATTTAGATCTCAAAAAATTGTAAAAAATATTTTTAGTGACAAAAGGCACCTTCCTCAAACTCGAAGCCACAACGAGCCTTCCATTTCGAGACTTTATCACTTGCGAAACGGCCCGATTCAACCTGGTCGTCCATTTCCCGCGCAATTACAACGCTCATCAGTCCTGGAACTTTGGCCTCGAACTGCATCAGATCTCGACGTTCCTTTTCTGGGATCACAAAAGATTTCTGGCGGATCTGATCGACGAATGGACCTCGGACAATGTCTCGGATCTCTGCAGATTCGTTCCGTACACCTGGAATTTCAATATCAATATTGTGGACCAATTTGAAGTCATCTTATTGCTGAACGACAAGAATTGGGTAGATACTGGGTAGGTTGAGACGAGTAACATAAGCGGTCATTTTAAAATTTATTTGAATAAGCGGTCATTTTATACGATAAAATATTTCCGAAAAAATTTTGCAAGCTCAAAATTGTCAGCAGGATCTAGGAGGTTTATTTTGCCCTTGGGACTTTCCAATCTTACTGTAATTCCCTTTCAGCGCCTCCCAATCCGCCGAGAACACCCAAGCAGCCATCGTGGGCAACCAATTGACCATCAGTTTCTCGCTTCCGTTCGACCAATTTAGCCCCGAAACCATCAAAGTCGCCTACGAGATCAAGGCGTTCAGCGAATTGGCCCTAAGGATCCGTGTTCCCACTCAAAGCACAATAGAGCCATTGTTTATGGCACTTCACAATAACGCAGCCAGCAAGACCAAAATGAAAGGATCCAAAGTTTTTGTGACCGCCGGATCGGAACAGGTGAGAAATTGAGGAGAATACGAAAAAGTTTCTTGTTTTTGTATTTACACCTCCCATGTATAAATTGTTGTTTTGCTGAATATACGACATCTTTAGGGCTTTGTGGAGATCTGGAGGACCGACTCGATTGCTGTCCGCTTCGACCATGAATACCATCCAATCCCTTCAAAAGTGAACTCGGATATTCCACTCATATTCCTCGACGATTTCCTCCCCACAGAAGCTTCACATCCGGCCGAATTGGCCCCCGACAACTTGGAGATTGATATCAGTTTTGGTGAATCCGAGATTTTACTCAGTGGAGTGCTCGTGCGAATGATTTTCGACCTCAAAGACGATTACTTTGGAAGCTACGATAAGGTAAAATTTTAGGAGAGTTTTGGCCTTAGGATGTTTTATGTTTGGATTCACTTTTGGGCTTGGTTTTAGATCTCCGACATCAACGCCGACAAGCGCGAACACACGGTGGTGAAGGGCTTCGAATTGGACTTTTTCAAACGCCCCGAGCTCTTCCGCCCCATGGATTGCAAACTCAGAATTCAACTGGACAATGTCCAAGCCCATTGTCTGACATTCTCACCGAAAACCGACTCCGAGACCCCGGATCTCTGCCCCATACTGTTCAACGAACAAATTGCCGTGGAACTGGCCAAAACTCACAAGGAATGCCTGGTTCAGGCTCAGCTGGCCCCCACCGTCGTCTACTTCTCGCCAAAAGCGAATTCAGCCAATCTGTCGGCATTTATGGACCCAGCATTCAGGGCAGATAGACTCGACTACAATTGGGACAACTCGAATCCCGATTGGGTGACTTTGGACTCGTTCCAGTTCCGGGGGCACGGATTGTACTCGGACAAGGAAGTGCCGTGGGCGGTGGAGGTTGTGGAATACGCATGGCAAGTGGAAGTAACTCTAGGCCAACTAAACGCCAAACTACAGCCAAACAACGTGATCACGGTCATTCATTTCGCTGAAACTTTTCTTACTCTTGCCTTGATGCCAGATGAATCCATGCAACTCCCGGAAGAGTATAATCTTTGCCATCATTTCGAAAATGTTAAAGTAAGGAAGATTTTGGGTTGGATTGATAGTGATGTTATGAAAAAATGGGATGGTTTTACTCCTTGCTTCTAATTGAACTCGATTTTTTCATGCTCTTGTTTTAGAGCTGCACCAAGTCCAATCTAACCAATTTGGATCCAAAAGACCGACGGGTAAAGTGCCTGGGCTCTGACACTTTGAAATATAAGCTTTGTCGCGTCTCCTTGGACGGAATTGACCTCCAAATTCACAGTGGATCCCATGTAGTTCAACTCAACAGCGATTTTTTTCGATTCGCATTTTGCAACAGCCACAACGGCACCTTCAACGAGAACCTCACATTCACCATACCCTATCTCAAGATCAGACAACTGACTTATATCCCGAGTCGCGGGATTTACGCCGAAATGGCAAAAGTCGACGTGAAAAAAGTGGACATGGACATACGACTACCGTACTCCGAACACGAAAAAAAGATGCCGGAAGAGCGGCAAAAGTTCCTGAAAAAACATGATGTCACCACGCGACGACTGCATTTCATATGGATGAACGAAGAGGCATGCGGTTGCACAGGGGATTCACACTTCTTTGCCGCCCACGACATCTCCGGAAAACTTTTTGCCAAAAATTTTACCCAGAAATTGGCCGAAATCGCGCTGAAAGGCGATGAGGAGCAATACGGATTCATGCAGAGTATCTTGGATCGAGATACAAGGTAAGAGGAGAGGGGATTTAGCAAGAAGTAGACGATTTTATATTGTTTTAGGTGCTTATTTGAGGAAGTTTTGTAATTTTGGTATTTTGAAGATGAGTAGAGACAGATAGCATGTCTAAATTGAGTGTCTAAGTAATATGATGATGTTGGAAAACTTTTATTTTGTCTTAAAATCGATTTCCAGCGGCATCCGCTTACTGGAGGATGATCTGGAGGAACCCGAAGAGGTCGGCCGGAAGCTCAGCGAAAACTCATTCCATTCGGCCAACTCGCAGACTGCGGACAACAAATCCCAAGCAAACTACTTGAAGTACCTCGAACTGGCGGATATCCAAACGGCGAAACCCGAATCCCCCCAGTTTTCGCATCCCGGAGCAATTATGAAATGGATTCTGAAGAATACAATCCAATCCAAACTGTTGACAAGCGGAGTTTCAGAGCTTTGCCTGATTCGAAAGGAAGTTCAAAATGCCCGAAACTCTTCGTACGCGACGTCCACGGAATCGGAGCCGCATTTTCCGGAAGATTGGGGCAAGGATCAGAGTGCAATCTACATTTCGGGAATTTGCGGACAGAACTTGCAGGTAAAACTGGGTTTTTTTGATAGCATGTTGCGTAATACACAGTTGCAGTCATTATTTGAATTTGGCTTGGTCAAAAAATCATTTTGACATACGGTATTTTCAGATTTTCCTAACTCCGCCGGCACTAGAAGCCGTCGAAGAAATTCTGGAAGAATTCTCGAAATCTTTGACCATTTTTCATCCAGCCATCGTCCCGCAGAATATGTACTTCAAATGCGCTCTCAGCAGGCATTCTCAGCCATTAACTGTGGATCTGGGCAAGGAGAGAAGTAAAAAAAAAAATTTTTTGATTTTTTTCAGATAATTTTTTCCATGAGATTTTATCTATTTTTTATATTCATCTTGTTTTTTTAGCATCAAGATCATCGACAACCTTAAACATCTTCCTCAATCTACCCGAAATGGACCTGAATTTCTTCCAGTCCGAGCCCGCAATGACAACGGAAAAGGAAGCCATTGAGATAAATGAATTCGTCTCCTCATTCTGCCTGGTTCACATCGACTCCTCCGTGTTTCACACCGATAATACGGCCTCGAATGACGTCTTCAAACAGTTGAATCGCCGGAATACGACGGCCGCCGACAATGCGTACAACGACTCGAACATGAACAACTTGAATGTACCGAGTTTTTCGCTGGAAAAGGATCTGAAAGCGGAGAAGAATGGGTTCAAAATCAAACTGAAGGTGAGTATCTTTCATATTATGTTTATTTTTGTTTTCAGTCCATGCACAGCCAATATCTCCACCTCACCAACACCCCACAACAAAAACAACGAGTCAAACTCCCGGCCACGTACATCACAAACTTTGACGAACTGGAAGCCAAGCCCAAAGAGTCCCATCTTCGCCTGATGTTCGACCTGGACCTCCCATTCGTCGATGTGAAGTTGAGCACCGGCTCAACGGCCGCTCGCCCACCCGCTTATCCCACCGGCCCCAAACTGTCCCTCATCAATCTGCCGACCCCAACCCAACCCGCCAAACGAACCGAAAGCACGATCCGAGAGCCCAAGTTGCACCAACGAGATCAGGACCCCACCCATTCGCTGAGCATCGACATAGCCCCGTTGAACTGCACTTGGTTCCTGGGAAAACCGATCGAGGCCCGAGAAAAGAGCGAAGAACTCACGCTTCACGAAGTTTTCGCCCCAACTCTGAATGCCTGGCTAAAAAAGATGGACAATTTGGTGGACAGAATTGATGATTTTGCCGAAAAAGTGGAACTTTACGAAGACATTGGGCTAATTAAAATCTTGACCGATGCCTTGGACTGGAGTGATGCGCAGGTAAAACAGTTTTTTTTTTTGAGTTTTTTGATTTGATTTTCGATTTTTTTATTTTTTTTTCGATTTTTTTCTGGGTGAAGTTTGAATGCCGGAATAGCAAAAAAAAGTTTTATTCCAGCTGGACAAGACATCCAAGATGCATGAGCATAAGATCAACGGAAAACTCTACGACTCTTGCCCATCCTGTAAAGTCAACTCAACCTTGTTGCGATATATCGCCAGGACTTCCGAGATCTCGTCGTTTGTAAGCGTTCTGTTTTTTTTGTCGAAATTAAATTTTTTTTTCATTTTTTAAAAATTTTTATCACTTTTTTTTATTGAAAAACTGTTTTTTTTTGATTTTTGTAAATTTTCAGGATTATTGGCTGGATATAATCAGCGCGCTGGACGACTTGGCCGAAAAAAAGACCCGAAAAATGGTGATCGTCACCCTGCTCAGCCACTGGCAAACCGTGATTTGCAGTCAAATCCAACTCTTCGACCACCAATTGGCCCACAAGTACAGATGCGTCATCGAAAAGTCCCCGTCGGCCTCGAAAATGGCGACACTGGAAAGCCAGACGGAGGCCGAGAAACTGGATGAAGTCCCCGAATCTCCGACCCGACCTCTTTTGCAACGAAGCCACACCGCTGATGTCCCATTGAGGGACGAATTGAAGTCTTCGAATACCCAATCCACCTTCGTCGAATCGGCCACGGGATCTCTGCCGCCAAATGTGGCGGGTCCGAGCGGGATCAAAACCATGCCAACTACTCCACAGAGGACTTCAGGTAGGGAAAATTGGCCGGAATGAGAGTTTTAAATTTTGACGAAAATTCGAAATTGATGAAAATTTGGATGATTATTTTATGGGGGGTTTGTGAGATTTGTAACCCGTAATTTGCGAAAAATAGTAGATATCTTGATCGAAAAATGACAAAAAGCGGGATTTTTTTTGCGATTTGGGGATTGATAGTAATATTTTTGAATCAAGGCGACAGGTATAATTTTTTTGCCAAAAATTTTTTCGACTGGTCGATTCTTGATTTTCAGGCTAAAAATTGATAAAAAGTTTATCTTTTTTTCTCCCGAAATTTTTTTTCCTTGGTTTTCAGGCCACCGCCGCCAGGGCTCGAATGCTACGGTAACCGGCTTCCAGCCGGGGCACCGTCGCGGCCCTTCCTCCGCCACTCAAGCCACCCTCCAAGAGCCGCAGCCCAAGAAGGAGGACCTCTATCACTGGATTCTGCGTGCCCAAAAGGAATACAAACAACGCCGCGAACTCACACCCAAGGTGGAGCCCGACCTCACCCACGAAGTGAACCCCATGGAACTGCTGTTGTCCGTCTTCTTTTGGCGAATCTACGAGCAGCGGACGCTCGACAAGACCGCCATGGACTCGTTTTCGGCCCTCACCGACAAAGCCCTCACGGTGCAGATCCACTGGTCGGCGCTGAAGTTGGACGTCATCGAAAAGAAATTTCTCAACACAACCTCAGAAGGCCTTGTCTTGGGCTACAGTCATCATCATTTCGGGGTCCTGGAATCGCTCGAACTGAATGGAGTTTTCAAGTACGATGTGGGACTGGACGACCTCCAACTCCGACCTCTGATTGTCCATCTGGATCTGGATTACAGTCTCAAAGTGCAAAGCATGAAGATCGTGGCCTCGTTGGCGTCGGTCTGCCTTGTCAACGATCTCGCCATGTCGATTAGTGCATGCGCTCAGACAAAAAAGAAGCCAAAAAGTGTGGCGGAACACTCGTACCGATCACGTCTGCCCTCTTCGCTGAACGAAGAAGTCGTCGATTTGTATTGGACGGAGCCAGTTATGGACAAGCTTCACGATTATCAGAGATATGCGTACGTTGCACTGGGTTTTGAAACTGATTTTTCAGTTAAATTTACTGAGTTAACTAACATGTATTTACCACATATTTTAGAAGCAAAACTCTTCAACGCTCCTGCCTCTTGGCCGTAAATATCAAAGGCGGTTGTAATCTGAAATCACTCCTGCTGGAATGCATGTTGACCGATCTGTTCATCTCCCTAACCTTCATGCGTATCAGCCCAAGCCACGCCCACCATTGGAGTCTCCAAAAGGACGGAGCCCTGACCTCGCCCAGAAAACCGGCGAAGAAAAATGCGTCGGCGTCGGAGCCCCGGCTCTCGGATTCGGTGGCGCTGGACATCAAAAGAGCCAATCTGGTCTTGTCGGAGCACCGAACGCATCAGAAACTGCAATCCGAAACGAAGCAGATTCTCAATTGCTCGTTGAAACAGAGCTCTGGCCTGTTTGAAGTGTAAGATCCGAGTTTTTTGAACTTTTAAATTTTTTAAAATATTTTCCGAGTTTTTGGCAAAAGAAATTTTTTGTGTGAAAAAATTATTTCCAATTTCTATTTTAGCAACCTTTACCCTGATCGACCACCAGCTCGCAAACTACAAATCCAGCTGGGTGATATGGAAGGGGACCTCCCAATGCACGCCCAATCCATCCATGAAGTCGTCCTGCGACATGGCCCCGAACTCCATCAACAATTGTATCGAATCGTCGCTCAGCAAGTCCAATACTTCCCACAAACGGAGGAGCAACGCGCCAGATCGTCCACGAACAACACGCTGGAGAGATCAGAAACAAAATTTGAGCCAAATATTTTAAACGGAGATGCCCAGTTTGTTAATAAGAAAGAGGATTTTGAGGCGGATAAGAGCGAATGGAACATCCCGAACTCGGTCAATTTCCGGCATAATTACAGCCCCAACACCACCGGATCCCACCTCGACCTGCCCTCTCGGCCCACCGCGCCCAGCCAACTCAGCACCTCGACGTTGGTGCCGGAACGCCAAAAAATCTATGAAATCGATTTCGAATTGAAAGTTTCGAGCGTCGAATTGGATGCACAACTTTTGCCATCGTTGAGAACGAAGTATAAGTTGAGCAAAGCCAAAGCAACCGGGAATACAGGGCAGTTTTCGAGATTCAAGGTGAGGAATCGAGACATTTTTTTGATTTTTTTGTTACTCAAGGATGCTCAATTCTCGATGAAACTTGGCTAAAATTGAGAGTATTATTTGATAAGACTGTTGCCAGTTTTCTAGATTGGGTTTTGTAAAAAGAAGACCTAGATTTTTTAGGCTGAAAATTGGCAAAAATTAAATTTTTTTCGCGAATTTGGCCATAAAAGAAGAAAGTCGCATCTCAAGAACACACCTAAAATTTTTTAGGGAATTTTGTCCTCGAATGAGTATCCAATTTTGATCCTATTTATTTCCAGGCGGAGGTAGTTGACCATCAAGTCTGTTTCCTTGTCATGCAAGCCCACGAAGAAGGGAACCCGTCCACTTTGGAGACCTTCACATTGCCTCTCCCCTATATAAAAGCCTCGGGCGATTTTCGTCGCTCTCCCGGCACAAACGCACCCGGCCCCAATCCAATGCTGGTCTACAAGGACGGCGGCTATCATGACGTCAAGGTGACCATGGGACCGATGGAACACACCTTCTCCACGGACCTGTTGAATCAAATTTTGTTCGCGGAGCAAAGTTTCCGCTCGGAATTGACCTTCTTGCTGGAGAGGCTGTCCGTGGAACGTCAGGCCAGCTCATCGCCGTTGCCGTTGCTCAGCGGAAACTCGAAACCGATTCTGTTTGATTTGACGGTAAGTTTTTCAAAGAGTTTAAGGAGTACAGTGGGGGACCTGATCCAGTGGCAAAAACGTACCATTTTGCATCCGGGAAACATTAAAAATGTGGAAAAATGCTTCCCTTTTCAAGTGAAAAAACTTGGTTTTGAAGGGCCCTTTCCCTTACAAAAAGAGCGGGCGCGCTTTTAAAATCAGAGTTTTTTTACTTGGAGAGGGAAGCATTTTGCCATATTTTTGATGCTTCCCGGATGCAAAATGGTACGTTTTTTGGCACTGGATCAGGTCCGTCACTGTAACGATTCAACTCAAAATTGTGTTTTAGTTCGAAGGAGAGGGCGCGCCATGGATCCAACTGACCGCTTCCACTCCCACCGCCACCGCCGTCCGCTTCACCATCGACGGCCCGACGGCGGTGATCACCAACCGACTGATGCTCGTGGAAGCCAGCGACGGGAACAAGGTCACGAATTCGGAGCCGGAGCGCCTTCTAGGCCGCGCCAAAATCCAACTGAATGTGAAGCTGGGCCAGCTGTGCAAGTCCGCCATGTACGAAGAGGCCAAGGAAGAGCTGCAGGAATACGCCACGTTCATGACGCAGATCTCGGCCCAGAACGAAGAGGTCGCCCACAACTCGATTCACAATTACATCATCACCCTGAACAGACCCATCTTGTTGGCCAAGGCGACCGCCATTGATAAGGCGATTTTGTTGTGGATCAACTATCGGAATGCCTACAATTATTGGAGGGAGGAGCGGAGTAAAGTGATGACACAACGCCAGTCCCATCTTCCCGCTGCGCATAAGACTCATCAACAGGTGAGAAATTGATTTTGGAGCACCCACATTTAATGGCTATGAGGATTTTTGATGGGATTTTGATGGTTTACAGTTGGGGACCTAATCCGGTTGGAAAAAACGTACCATTTTGCATCCGGGAAGTATCAAAAATGTGGCAAAATGCTTCCCTCTCCAAGTGAAAAAATTCCGATTTCAAAAGCGAGCCCGCTCTTTTTGTGAGGGAAAGGGCGCGCGCGCCCTTCAAAACCAAGTTTTTTTCTCTTGGAGAGGGAAGCATTTTGCCACATTTTTGATACTTCCCGGATGCAAAATGATACGTTTTTTGCCAGGTCCGTCACTGTATATCAAGTGTAATTCAAAAAAAAATTTCAGCCCGCTTCTGTCGACATGAACATGAACCTGTCGTTGTCGATCCAAGGCGGCCTCTACATTTGCATGCCAATGTTCAGCGATGAGGCCTACGGAATGTCGGCACTCCTCATTTCCCTCCAAAAATCGGATGTTTCGGTCTGTGTGAAGAAGGAGTTGGCCTGTCATGCAAAATTCGAAGCTTTCCGAATTGCCTTTGTGGACTCGTTTGATGAACATGTAAGTGGAAATTTGAGAAATTTTTAAAAACAAAATAAAAAATTTTTTGGCTTTTGGTGTCTTTGATGATTCTGGGGATTGATGATCGAAAAACTTAATTTTTTTTTGAATTTACAAGGTATTTATCGCAGTTCCGTAGCCTTTTTTCAAGTTCTGTACAACTTTTTTATTAATAATTTACCTTTTTTTTGTCTCTTTAATTCCTCCTTTAGTCCCTTTCCGACGTCTGGCTGCAAGAAAACACCGGCGAACAGGTGCACTCGAACTTTATCTTCTTCCCCGAGGGCTCCTACTACTTCTGCTCCAGCGCCAACCCACCCAAGGACGAAGAGGACAACGCCAAGTGGATCCTGTCCATCCAATCCGACATGAAGGGAATGATCATCGACTTTGACAGCCGGATCGGAAAACTCATGAACCAATGCGTGAAGACGCTCTCCTCGGTCACGAACAGCGAGGAAGAGGTGGCCGACGACACGGTGTACGCCGAATCCGAAGCCAGCTCCATCCCGAAGCCGTCGGCTCGCAGCCTGACAATCGACTCGCAATTCACTGCGCCGCGAAGCGAAAGCCCGTCCAGCGAATTGGAGAACGCAATCGATGAGAACAACTTGAAATTCGAGGAAATGAATCAACTCGTTGGGCATGAAAACAAAATTCGTTGGCTCGAGAAAAAAGTAATTTTTTTTTTGAATTTAGGTTGAGATAATGGGATTCCAACGGAAATTCTAATTGCTTTATAAAAAAGACGATATTTATCTCGAATCTTGATGAAATTTGGCAAAAGTTTTGACTCGTTTTGAGGAAGAAATCAAAATTTTTGACGATTTTTTGGCCGAAATTTGAGGAAAAGACGAGTTTTTTTTAAAGGTTCGCCTCGGTTAGAAGTGAGGACTACATTTAAAAACCCCATTTTTTCCATGCTTTCTTTTCAGATGCACGAACAATCGATCCTCGTCACGGACCTGAAGAACTGCGGCGCCTCCGAATATAACATCGAGTTGGAGCGGCGGAAACTCCGCATTCTCGAACTGGCTCGCTTCAAACAATTCCGGCTGACCATGCTCGACAAATTGAAACGAAAAGTGGACCAGCTCCCGGACCCCCCAACCAAACCTCGCGAAAGCCCCAGGTCGACCCTGTTGAGCACCGTACCCGAAGAGAAACCGGAGCCGACGCGAGCTGGAAATGTGGTCGAAAGTGTGGACATGAATATTGATGTGCAGGTGAGAGGAGAATTTAGAGAAAATTGGATGAAAGTTTCGAGTTCTTTGCGGGAATTGGGATAGAATTGAGGAAAAGGATACAGTGGCGGACCTGATCCATTGGCCAAAAACGTAAAATTTTTCATCCGGGAAGTCTCAAAAATGCAGGAAAATACCTCCCTGTCCAAGTGGAGAAACTACGATTTCAAAAGCGAGCCCGTCCTTTTTGTGAGGGTGCAGCTCAAAACGGAGTTTTTTTTAGTTGGAGAGGAGGCATTTTGCCACAATTTTGATACTTCCCGGACGCAAAATGATACGTTTTTTTCCACTGGATCAGATCCCTCACTGTAGTTGCTGATTGGTGTTTCAGATAAAAATCGAAACTGGACATTGCATTCTCCGCGCCAATCAGGCCCCATCATCCCAGAAAGACCCCTCCGCCCAGAAACAACTGACCAAACGGCTGTCGGCGAAGGATCTGAAGTCCCGCTCCCTGACCTCTTCCCAGTCGATAACAACGCTCCAGATTCCCAGCCTCGACGCCAAACTCTTCTACACCTCCGACGACTCCCGCTCCACCCCACCCGACCATCTGAAGTCGGTGTTGGGCCACAAAAATCGGCCCAAATCCAACAAATGCTTCTATCTGGCCCTGGAGCTGGCCAAAATGCTCGAGCCCACACTGGTCACACCCGCTCTGGCCGACTTCCTCGAGCAAGTGGTGGAACCGCTGCCCGACGAACTCTTCGAACCCCAGAATGCGCAGCCAGCGACGGTTCGAGAGGCGGACGACGGAGTTCCGATCGTTGTTCTCGACACCAGCGGCCTTCCATTGGACGTGTTCTTCCACATGACGGTTTATTCGAGTGTGATCCGTTTTGAAGGTAGGTAAAAAGTTTTAAAATTTTTAAATTTGCAAACATTATTTCAGAAATTCAGAAATCAACTTTGAAGAAGTATTCTGTTGAATTTGTTTTTCCTTTAAACGAGCAATTTCAGGGCAACAGCAGCGATCGAGTTCGGCGGCGGATTGTCTTCTAACCCTCCCCAGTCTGACTCTAATGGCCTCCACTCGGAAATACAACGAGCAATCGTTGAATGTGGCCGGGATCTACTTGTCCGCCACCCTCTCCAACTTTGAGATCAGCATCTACAGCCCGCATCAACAAGCCAGCAGTCATGACGCGTTGGCCGTCAAACTGGACAAATTTTCCATCACGGCCTCGAGAACAAAATGCCCGACGAATGATGAGGAGAAAAATAAGGTCCAGGTAGGAGAGCTCGAAAATGAAAAAAGAAAAAATTAAATTTAAAAAAATCTGGAATGAAAAGGCCGTGAAATAAAATGTTCCCCATGTTTCAGCTGGTGATCGTCTCCAACGTTGGCCGCGCCGACTTCAACTACGATATGCGACGACTGGGCGAACTCCTCTCGTTCCCGAAGCCCTGGTACCGCAAAAAGCTGATCCAACGCGTCTTCTTCGGCGAACAGTCCCTCCAACGGAAGAATTCCACATCAACCACCCATTCCGCGCCTTTCTCGGCCAATCAGAGCTATATTCAGGGTAAGAAAGGGGCAAGTTTCGAAGGGTTTACAGAGCTTTGATAGCCGAGATTTTTGTGTCGAAAGGTGGGAGAAAGTGATATTTTAGCGGCAATGAAAAGATGAGGTATTAAGTTTGGTAAAGCTTTCAGAAAAAAGTAGTCCACTTAATGAATCAACCATTTTTGGTGTCGAAGACTTCTAAAAAATTGAAGAGACCCGAATCTGGTCGGTTTTCTGTAAGTTTCGACTCAAAAAATGGTTCATTCTGGAAGACTTGTGCTAGGAATCTTGCTGAAGTACAGTGACGGACCCTATCCAGTGGCAAAAAACGTACCATTTTGCATCCGGGGAACATTAAAAATGTGGCAAAATGCCTCCCCCCTCCAAGAGAAAAAACTTGGTTTTGAAGGGCCCTTTCCCGCACAAAAAGAGTGGGCGCGCTTTTAAAATCAGAGTTTTTTCACTTGGAGAGGGAAGCATTTTGCCACATTTTTGATACTTCCCGGATGCAAAATGGTACGTTTTTTGCCCTTGGGTCAGGTCCCCCACTGTACATTTCTTGGCAAATTTACATCCTCATTTTTTCGATCCGGCTTATCAAAGACCCAAAAAAATTTTCTACTTCAGGTCCCGCCCACCTCAGCGACCAACCGAAACCGCCGGCCCAGTCCAAACCGAGCACCGAGCGAAGCGAATGGGCGGCGGCCGTCGACTTCTCCATCCAATGGTCGGAGCTGAACGTCAACGCCCAAATGTCCAACACAATGGGCAACACCACATGGCTGGTGCGCGACGGAATCCTGCGCGGCCATGTCCAACTCGATTCGAAGCGGCAACGCAGCATCTCGCTGGGCTTCAAGCTGCGCAACTCACAGCTCAGCGCGCAAGGCGGAGCAATATCCGGCGACATTGAGGTCAGCAAGCTGCTCGTCGCCACCAGATACACCAAATCCGCGGAGGTAAGAGAATTTCTTTTTTATTCTGTAAACGGAAACTGGAAATTTTATTTATTTAACAAGGAAAGTACTTCTATGGGGTATGGAGTACTTTCCTCGTAAAAAAGTTTATTTTATTTTTTATTTTAATTTTTGCATTTTAATTTTTGCGTTTTTTCAGAAGCCCCCGGAGAGTGTTGCCAAGTTGGAGTTTGGGCAAATCGAATGCCGCGTGGAGTGGATGAGCCGTCCGATCTTCATCGGGCGCTTCGTCAAGCCCTGTCTGATCATCACCGACGAATGGCAGTCGCACGCGCAGCCGGACGGCCAAGTCGACGAAGCCGTCTGCATGCTGAAGGTGAACGGCTCCTGGGACAACCTGGACATGATCATCACCAAAAACACGACCGGCGACATGATCAAGATTGTGGACAAGCTGGCGACCTTCTTCAACGAGCAACTCCAAAGCAGTCGCATGGTTTGGGGCGACGACCTGTTCGTCCACCTCAGCCACTCGCGCGACAACATTTCGGTGTCGTCGGACGAGACCACCACGTCCACGACCACCACCGTCAAGCCCGAGCACACGCCGAGCGCGTCGCGGTCGAGTCTGGACGGGGGGAATCGGCTCAACTCCTCGCACGCCCACCATTGGCAACGCATCCTGGACTTGGTCACCGACATTCAGGCGAGTTTTCCATCCCGCAATTCAAGCAAACTTTTCGCGTTTCAGGTCAAGAAGAAGTACCTGCCGCTCCCGATGACCAGGCACGGCGTGACGCTGGTCGGCGGCGTCATCGAATTCGACGCCAAACGAATCAGTCTGGCGTGCATGAACGGCGAAATCAACGCCTCTTCCTGGGCCCTCTTCCACATGCGCGAGGCCAACACCCTCTTCACTTGCAAGTCCAAGTACCTGTTCCTGGACCCGGAATGCACCGAAGTGGGCGTTCACACCGAACAGAAATTCATCTTCAAACTGGGCGCGCCCTTGAACACGGACTCGGCCCACTTCAGCGAATGCAAGGCGTCGGTTTGTCGAGTTCAGCACACCCGCAACTTCCTGATGCGCCACAACACTTCTGTGGAACTGTGCCTGGACGCCATGATCGGCGACGTCCTAAAACAGCTGAATCTGTACGCGGAGCCGGGCCAGAAGATATCTCCGGCGAGATTCACCCATAATGTACTGGAATTATTCCAATTCCCAGCGCTGGATTCAACGTTAACTACGGTCCAAACTAGTCCAGTTGAGGTTTCACGACAATTTGCGGACTTTGCGATGGATGTTGTAAGGATTTGGGGGGTTTTTTGAGATTGGAGAAAACATTTTTATTTTCCTGATTTTTATCCGCTCACTTTTTATGACGTAATTTTTTTCATTGTGACAAAATTTGCAGGTGGAAAGCACCTTCATCTGCGAATTCCACAACGCCGTCTGTGTTCAGACCGATTTCAACGCGCAAGTCGGGTTTCTCCCCGAATTGCTGAAGAGTTATACGCTCGGCAACGACGACAAAGCTTCGGGATCCCAGAAGCCTCCCGCCGAGAAGGATGAGGACTCCAAAAAAGAGAAACAAAAGAGAGACCTCAGGCAATATGTGTGCCGCCAGTGGTCCGTGGACCCAAAAATACGGTTCATCGACCGCTTCAAATGGAATCCACCAGTGATTGACGATGTCCTCAGAAAGTTACAGGTAAAAATTTAATCATGTTCAAATGTTTGGAGAAGGTTTTGTGTTTGCAGTAATTTTAAGCCGACACCGACTAAAATAAGGTAGATTTTGTTTGAAATTTTGCGAATTTTTGGATAGTAAGGACCATGTGGAGGTGTGTTATGAACTCTAGTTTATTCCTAGCAACAAATTTTACTCATGAAATTGAAATCGAAATTCCAAAAATATTCTTTTTTTCCAGATTTTCGACCATCGAACCACCATCCCCAAAGTCATGCAACGCGGTCTCCTGGACCACAGCGATCAACTCATCGCCGTCATGCTGGAATGTGTAGTCCGTCAGGCGCTCAGAGAGTAGTGTAAATGACGTTATGGTGCACTTTCAACGAACTTACAACGATCTCAAAATCTAGTCATTCAACTCGACCTTTTCACTTATTTTTCAGGGAATTCGGATCGATTTTAAATGGGGTTGGATGCACTGCACCTCTTGAAGCCGTTCTTGATTATTTTTGACTGCAGTCTCCATCGAAATTCGGTCCGTTCTCTCGTGTTTCTTCTTGATTTTGCTTTATTTCAGTCTATTTTGTTCACATTTCTAATTTATTCCCAATTTCTTGCCATTTTTTCTAATTTTCCGCAAAGCTAAACGAGTTTCTTTTTGTAACCTCTGTCTGTAGTCAGCTTTATTAACTGGTCTAATCAAAAATAGTTATGGAATAGCGAATAAAAGATTATAAATTATATTATTCTTACAATTCAAGCAAAAAAACAAATTTTAAAACTGATTTATTACGAAATTCGACTCTACTCAAACAATACTGTATAAAACGAACAAAAAATCTCTATAAGTGTGCGAAGAGAACAAAAAAAAATTATATCTTATCACAATACCAGACATGTGTAATATAAGTGTAATTTCTGTCGGGAGGAAGCGTGAACTACGCTGTTCGAGCGATGGATTTTTGTTCTGCAAGCCGCTCTTGGGGTAAGGAATGGTTTCAAGTCAGATTTTAGGCAAAAAATTCAGTCCATATTCCGAAAAATTGCGTTATAATTTTGGAAACGAACAAACCCGAAACTCCAAACCCTACTCCTTGTCTTCAAAGGGTCACAAAACGGGTAGAACTGACAAAAGGAGCGCTGCTGACTATCCGAAACTGTATGAATCATGAGTTTCTGTATTATGAATATTACTGTTGTAAAAAGACGCGGGGTTGGGAGGATGAAAGGGAGAGGAGCTTGTACAATTAATTCACTATTACGAGCGCTTGAGATTTTCGCTCAATTTTTGATACCAATTGGGCTAACAAACAAAATCGGTGAGACGATTGCACTTGGGCGGTTAGTCGAGGCGGATCTGGATGTCGCTATACTCCAGGGGGCGGTCCGGCCTGTGGGAATCGACCTCGGACGGGTCGGCAGTGGTGATCGTCGCATCGGCGGTGGACTTGGATGAGTCGTCGGGCGATGCGAAAAGGCGGTCCATTCGTTTGCGCTTCCTGAAATTCCGCAAATTTATGGCTTGAAAGTTGGAACTATCTTTTTGCTGAGCGCAAAAAACGTCACATTGTACGCAAGTGAGAATCCTTTTGCCTATCACTCAACATTTGGCAGAAAACCTGACATAACCTTGGGGGTATTTCACTCTTACACCTGAGTATTTCACAGGATAAACGGGCATTTTGGATGGAAGATACGACGATATTGTAAATGATGTTGACGATAAGCAAAGCAAACCATGTCAACGTTTAATACATTCTACTTTCAAAAAAAGGTACCATTTTGCATCCAGGAAGCATCAAAAAATGTGTCAAAATACCTCCCTCTCCAAGTGAAAAAACTCCGATTTCAAAAGCGCGCCCGCTCTTCTTGTGAGGGAAAGGGCGCGCCTTTCAAAAAAAATTTTTTTTTCACTTGGAAAGGGAAGCATTTTGCCATATTTTTGATACTTCCTGGATGCAAAATGGCACGTTTTTGCCACTGGATCAGGTCCCCCACTGTAGACACTAATGCTATTCCTTCTTGGGGAATAGCATTGGTGTCTACAGTGCAAATTTCCGCCTCGACCCGCCCCCACAATCCTGGTGAATAAAAAAACTAATTTTTGCCGAAACTTCAGACCAGGCTGATCCTCACTTTAGACTAAAATTCAAAAGTTTCTTGCATAAAGCTCTCTCTACTCCATAGCCATCGAAAAGACTCACTCCGAATCGCTGGACTTGAAATGGGAGCGGCGTTCGGTGTTGCGCTGTGTAATCAGAGGTTCGTTCTCCTTGGGTTCCTCATTTTCCGGGATGGACTTGTTGCGCAAATGCCGTTGAGGGTTCTGTTTAATCGCTGAAAATGTCGACAGTTTACATCTCCAACCGTAAAAAAGTCTTCAACTTATTTTAACCAATTGCTTTCACCTCAAAAACTAATTTTTGGAAACCCGAACAAAAGAATTGAAAATTAACAAAAATTAATTGTAAAAACATGCAAATTCCAGTAGAACAAAGGCCCTAGAAGAGGTCGGATTCATAAATCACCTTCCCCTTTTGTTAACAGAGACAGAACCTACAACGTTTGGCGGATTCCAACAAACAAAAGTGGAGAAAAAGACATCAAAGTGAACCTGACTTTGGCATCAAAAAGCATCACAGCGACACAAAAAAAATTGTTGATTTTGAAGAGAGGCAGTGTCTTCAAAACCAACAATCAATTTCGTGCTTCTGTGATTCTTTTTGATATCGAAATCAAGCTCACTTTGGCTTATTTTTTCCATGCTTTTGTCAATTCGAATCAGCCCTAGATTGAACGCATTTCAAGCCTTGGAAAATAAACCATTTCTTCAATAATCCTGAACATCGTTACAACCAGTAAATTTACTGTGTAAAAGAGGTGGAAGCCGGTGATGGACAGCGCTTGGAAGATACGAATAGAAGACGTCTTAACATGAACAACATCAGAAAGTATAAAAGTTTGATACTATTACAGCGATAAGTACCCGGGCCAAAGCTAAACGTGGGACGGAAGAGAAGAAATTGAAAGAAAAACTTTACAAAATAATTTTTTCAAATCCCATTGAGATTCCAGTTCTCTGAGCTCATTACATGTCGGAAAATAGGGGCCTAAGGTACAGTTACGTACCTGATCCAGCGACTACCATTTTGCATCCGGAAAGCATCAAAAACTGTAGAAAAATGTCTCCCTCTCCAACTACAGCGAGGGACCGGATCCAATGGCAAAAAACGTCTCATTTTGCATCCCGGAAGGGACCAAAATGTCTCCAAACCCTTCCCTTCTCTAAGCTAAAAAACCCCGCGTTGAAGAGCCCGCCTTGAAGGAAAGGGCGCGCTTTGCAAAGCGGAGTTTTTTAGCTTAGAGAAGGGAAGGATTTTTTCATTTTGGTCAATTCCGGGATGCAAAATGAGACGTTTTCTGCCACTGGATCAGGTCCGCCACAAATTATTTTTTCACATTTTTAAGCTTCATTTTCACGACATAGGCGAAGGAACCTTTTAGCATTAGACCCCTGGAAAATCGACCTCAAACTATGCGAGAAACTGATGGAGAACAGGAAAGTTCAGAACCAAACACCACCAAAGTTGATACAAGAAAGGAAACGAACCTTTAACCAAGGGAACGGGCGAGAACTTATCGAATTCAAGAGGGAAAAAACTCAAAAAAATAATAAAATAAAAATAAAACATTGGAGAACGGAACTGATGGTCAGAAAAACGGAGAAAGAGGTACGATTCACAGTCTGTTTTTGGGAACGGAAATTGACGACTCACCCAGGTACGAGTGGACAATCGAGCGGAATTTGTTGGGATGGCGCGAGAGTTCGGCTAAAATACGCGATTGGAAGAGGTGGATAAGGTAAAAAAAGCATCGGACAACATAGAAACAGACGACAAAGGAACAAGGTCGAGTGGGAAAATGTGAGTAGGGCGAGTGCAAGATGGGAAACTAAAAATGACAATTTTCCTTCGACAAAAACTCGTACGCACTTTTTGCCAGCATAGGGATAAAAATTGATACATCATTCATGAAAAACAATAAATTTACTAGTTTTTTTCGAAGAAAATTTGTCATTTTTACTTTCCCGCCTTGTACTAGGTGCAAAAGTCGACAAAAAGACTCGAGCAGTTAGGGCGTGTATATCAACCACCCCTCCCGTCGAAAAACATCCAAAATTTGACAACACCGAACGAAGCATCCTTTTCAAACAACAGAAAACGATAATTTCACAAGACCAAAAGCTCAGAAGCACCTCTAAAAACACCCATCCACTCTACAATAACCAGCATAGTCCAATATGGCTGGAGAAATCCTCAAAGATACCCCACTCTCCGACAACAATCAACGACAACACAGAAAAGACTCGAAAAAGACGAAAATTGTGTGAATATCCAATATCAAGTGCAATTGTGAGAAGTTATGCGTTACATTACTGTCCCAGGTACCACTAAACAAAATGTTAGGGAGAGTCATTCACGACTTGTTAGCTCGAAGCCACAAATAACACGTGACAAGCTCGTTGAAAAGGGGTTGAATTTTTCGAATTTCAAAGGTAACCGCACAGTGCAAAAGGGTTTAAAAAGCTTTTGGCATATTCGAAAATTTTTGATGATTTAAGGACCTGTAAAAACCCCCGTATTTTCAAAGCCAACGAACTTGCCGCAATGAAAATCGCAGCGAGACGTGGCTTCAAGTCTCTCAAATGCCAGAGAGGTCGATTAAAAGCACTCTGAGATTAGCTCACGACTATGATTATCCTATCCTTCCCACCTCTGACAAAGACCTTCGTCCCCACGTAGGTCTGGAAGCGCTCGGCGTAGAACGAGGGGTTGTGGACGGAGATGGAGTCGCCGTCGTGGAGGATGCTCTTCCAAGTGTGTTCCAGCTTCTTGAAGAGGCGATAGTTCTGTAGGATGTCGATGATGCCGAGAAAAAGGAGCAGGCGTTCGCCTTTGTGGTTGCGGGCTGGGACGCCGCCGGTCCTGGAAAAAAATGCTGGATTAGTTTACGGACTGGAACGACAAGCAATGGAGAGTTTATTTCGGAGATAACCCCTAGGTAAACCCACCGTTTTCATGTATTATGTGTCAATTTTATCCTAGTGGACGTCATTTTTTGGACATAAAGTTTCAACTATTTTTTGCTCTCCGGCATTTTTCAAAACCTGTTTTTGTGATGAAATCGCTTTTGGAATCAAAAAGATTCTGCTTTCTGTCACAAAAGAAAGGGTTTGAAGTATGCCGGAAGGAAGAAAAAACCTTAAAAATACATGGCCAAAACATGAAAGGACCAAATTGATGCATCATTCCTAGAAAACAACAGCTTTACGGATGCGTTATCAAAGAAATAAATTGGCCGTCTATACAAAGCCAATTCCGGAGAAATTAGGTCAATCTCGAGAGAAACAAAGTGAAATTTACAATAAAAATATCGAAATGATATTTTCCTTCCTGTATAAACAAAAAAATCCCCTCAAGTTCTTACTCGTGACTGGGTTTTGGCGCATTGAAGTCCAATTGTAACGCCCTCCAGGCCTCCGTGCGCGCACTGATCGGTTCTCGGTTCTCTGATTCCGTTTCCGCTTTCAGATCATCTTGAGAAGGCGACATTACTTCTTGAGAGGCGATAGGAGCTTGATCTTCGTCTTCGCGGGCCGTCCCTGCTTCCAAATCGATATTGTGGATGCCAATGAGGAAGGAATAGTCCATAATCTTGAACGATTCCAGGACCAGACAGTCTCGTTTCACAATATCCATCAAAATGTCGTAGGTTTTTGGGTCCAACGTGATCCCATTTGGGTATTCTTCGTTGAAATCGAGATCTTTCAGAGTGGGCGAGGCCTTGGCGCGTTCGGCCTTGCTCGCGTACCGCTTGTAGGTGGATCCTTTGACATCGAATTTATGATGCATCGTGATGCTTTGGGGCAACAAATTGTTCATGACGATCAGCCGGATGTTCTTTCCGAGGCTCTAAAGACAGAGAAATAATCAAATAAACTTCGCTTACCTGATAACAAAACAGGCCAAAGAACTTGGGCAACATTGTTCGAGGGTTCTGTTGGAGATTCATGTAGTAACCGGGGAGGAGTTTGCACAGGAAGTCGGCCTCTTTGTGCTGAATCGTCTTCACGATGAAGCGGTCGTCGGCGGAGACGTAGAAGACGGAGCCCGACGCGCCGGGATTCGACAACTCTTTCAGAGGTTGCGTGCAGAGTGAGCTCTAAAATTCGAAAATGGAAAACCTTCCAAACACCTACAAGAAAATCGGCGGCTTGGATGTGGAAAATGTCGCGGAAATATCGGAATGCCAGAGGTGCGTAGGTTTTGAAGCGGAAATCGCCGAATGTGTGGGACGGAGTGGTGCCGCTTCCTTCGCTGAAATAAAAACACCCAAATTTCATTTTACGAAAACTGTCAAACCCTTGGCATCACCACTCCCTACCTCGGGAAGGCCACCGTTTCGATGAGATCGAAGTCCTGCACCAAAATGTCGCGCATCTTGCGGTGCGCCAGCGAGCCGATCGAGTTCGAGATGCCCATTTGGATGGCGCCCATGAGGTTGCTGGTGGGGACACGCTTGTACGTGACCCCACCTTCGCGGTCCGTCCGCCGGTGCCCAATCTTCTCCTTGTGTTTGGTGGAGCCGTCCTTGAGGTAGGGTTGCGAGGCCGACACCGGCCCTCCGCCATGCAAATCGTCGTCGTTCCGGATCTCTGCAAGCGGGAACATCAGAATAAGGGCGTTAAATTCACATGGGGACAGCCAAAAATACATCGTGTCACTGAATCAAAAAATTCCAAAAAAGTTTGTTGTATTAGAAGCTTCCGAGCCTAAACCTCCTCTACAACAACAAAGAATAAAATCTCAACTTTCCTCAAAAAAACTGCTACTTTCCTCGAATCGCATGATAATTTTGATTGAAAAAATCGCTCAATGCAAAGAATTCGAATTATTCATCAAAGCGTGAGGTGTCTGGGCCTGTTCTTTGTCAATTTTATTCTTCATCCGCCGTCTTACAAAAGCGTTATGGACCTGGGAATGTTCGGGTTGAAAAATGGATTTTTTTTTGTTATACATAGAATTTTGGACATAATAATTTGTGGCCGAAATGGAATGGAAAACCTCTAAATTGGGAGCTTGTAGTCCACATTTCGTTGCAAAAGGGTCTACAAAATTTTCTCACTCTAGCAAAGTCACAAATCCCCGATAAAAATCTGGCGGGCGCACACTTGCGGGCAACCACTTTGCGGGCAACCACTTTGCGGGCAAATTTTTTGCGGGCAGCCACTTTGCGGGCAGCCGACATTTGCGGATAGCACCGTCATTTGCGGGCAGCCTGGGACACTTGCGGGCAGGGTCGATATTTGCGGGCAGCCTGGAATATTTGCGGGCAGCCGACATTTGCGGGCAACCGACACCTGATTGTGAGGGTAACAGGGTGGAGGTAGAAAAATTACTATGATATTTTGGAAATTTGCCGACATTTGCGGGCAGCCGACATTTGCGGGCAACCGGCGCTTGAGGATAACAACGTGGAGGTGGAAAAATTACTGCGATATTTTGGAAGTTTTCCGACATTTGCGGGCAGCCGACATTTGCGGGCAACCGGCGCTTGAGGATAACAACGTGGAGGTGGAAAAATTACTGCGATATTTTGGAAGTTTTCCGACATTTGCGGGCAGGCAATACTTGCGGGAAGCCGACATTTGCGGGCAACAGTTCCAAAAGTACCAATACAGTCTGTGTGATTGTTTTTTCCTGTTGCCCGCAAATGTCGGTTGCCCGCAAGTGTCGGCTGCCCGCAAATGTCGGCAAATTTCCAAAATATCATAGTAATTTTTCCACCTCCACCCTGTTACCCTCAGGTGCCGGTTGCCCGCAAGTGTCGGTTGCCCGCAAATGTCCCAGGCTGCCCGCAAATGTCTCAGCTGCCCGCAAATGTTTCAGCTGCCCGCAAATGTGACCCTCCAAATTTTGCCCGCAAAGTGGTTGCCAGCAAAAAATTTGCCCGCAAACTGGTTGCCCGCAAAGTGGTTGCCCGCAAGTGTCGCGACGCCAAAAATCTCCATTATCCTTTAAAAGCTCTTCAATTTAAATCCAAAAACCCCTTTGTGACGGCTCCCATCTATGCGAAAAATCGTTGAAAGCGCCCGTAAAGGCCATTATAACGCTGGTTTTGGTTGAAACAGCTGAATTTCGCAACCCCGACCCGGACCTTGGCCAGATGAAACCCACCCCCGCTGGTCCGTCTTCGTTTACAAAAACACGATCGGCTTCCTAAAAATTCCAACAAACAGAGAAAAACACTTACCATTGAGCTGAGGGTCGGGTCGCGTTGATTGAATGGGGACCGGCTGTGGATCGGGTTTGGTCGAGTATATCTGGCGCGAAGTGGACGGACTGGCCGCTAGCGGCGGCGATCGGTTAGCTATCATCCTGTCAGCACATTAACGCCTGTAATGCACGTACGTTAGAGATTTCAAAGGCTATATAAAGATTCACGTTGCACGAAACGACGAGTTATATAATACTTGAGGGCAAGAGTGGGAGGGCGAAAAAATATTTTTAACAGTTTTTTTAACAATACACCGTTAATTAACTAAATGCAACTAGCAAGTAATAGCTTCATATTTGTCATGCTAAAATTCTCCATTAACATTAATTTTAGTGGTAATCTACTTAAAAAACAGCGTAGGACCTTCAAAAATAAATATTGAGAAGAAAACAATATTTTGACCTTTAAACATATAAAAGGTACCAAAAAATTATTCCCGCTCACTCTTTAATAGTATTCAAACTCAATTTGCCATGATTGAATGAGAAACTCACATCTTGCAACAAAAATTTGGAGATCGACAAAAAATTGGGGTCTCCGAGAAATTATTTTATTTCTCAATTAAAATACGCAGTAAATTTTTTGCAGCTGCATAAATATATCCAACATCCCTCTGACTGAGCTGTTCAAATAAAGATTTCATCATAGTTTGGCGATTTCACTTTAAAAATGTTATCCTTGAGACCTCAGTACCAGAAAAAATTCCCCTTTTTCTAAACAACTTAGACAAAGAAAAACCAAATTAGCTAGCCAAATAGGTCTTAAATTAGGTTCGGAAAGTTGAAAGACACAAAAAAGCAGCAGTCGGAGACTATGAGTAATGTTTTAGAAATTATTTTAGACGGTCTTTCGAGGTTTAAAAAATAGAAAAACTCTTGAAAATAAAACGAAAGCCGGCTAGACAGCGAGAAAAATGTTTGATGAAAATTGTCTCTAAATCTGCTTCAAATCCGAGCATTAGTCTAGGAGATATAAAAAATATTTCGTAAGCTTATTACCTAAACCATAGAAAACGAAAAAAAAAATAATTTTTATCCGGTGAGACGGGCCAAATTCCATAACAACCAAAGTCCAGAGCCAAAATACGGCAGACGCTGAAGAAGCGATAGGAAAAAATAAATAAAAACGGATTAAGGACTCCTATAAGACATAAACAAGGTGCAGATAAGAGAGATGGATATGTGACGAGTGGAAATTCCCGGTTGGGCCGTCAAAAACCCGCAAATACGCCCTCCAAAATTGGGCGAGTTGAAAAAGACATTCTCCTTTCAAGTCGCAAAAGAATTTCCGATGAATCCGAGAGAAAAAATATTTGTTTTTCGCGCGAGTTGCGCCCGAGTTTTCGAACTTCCGGCGTGCAGACTGCGGAATTGAAGGGACATGTTTCGAGGAATAGAAAGGAAAAACGTTTGCAAAACATTGCCCCATAAAACGACCCGTTTACATTATATTCAATTCTACTTTTCAACACAGTTCCCAATCTAAAATATAGTCCAAATGTATTCTTCACCCCACAAAACCGCTCGCAGACGTGTCGCCTTTCTATAACCAGCATGTTCTCTTTGGCAATGACCAAAACTGCCGGATATGCGCTGCGAGCGGGCGCACTTTGCTGTAAATACGACGGAATAAAAGTCGGGGGAGAGACCAAAAAGAAGTCGCCCCTCCAACGGCCGCCAAAAAACGCTAAAGGCCGGTCTCTAACCAGCCTCCTCATTCCATACGCTCCTCGGAATCCGAAAATCGAAGCAGACAGCGTATCGTGCGCTTTTGTTTCCGCGGTTTCCCACCCCGCAGGGCGAGCGGGAGTGGTAGTGGAAAAGTTTTTTTTTTTCGAGTTCAAAGGTCCGCAGGAACAGAATTGGATTAAACTTGGCCCAAGATAAGAACATAGTTTTCTAAAACATACCAAGTTTTTAACTTCCACTTTTCAAAAAAATCACCGAGATTTTTCAAAAATTGGAATTTTGAATATTTATTTTTTTTTGCGATATTCCGCTTAGAAATTTCACTCTCACTTGCAATTGGGGCTTATGATACTACTACAACGAATCAAAGTTTTGCGTGCAGAAAACAGAAATACCGCTCTCGGTTTTGCCGAAAGGCGGGTTTTTGTCTGTCGGACTCTCTTCATTTCACGCGCTCTCTCGCAAAAAGACCATTGATATAGTCGCGGCAAAAAGTCCTGGAAATTTTTCGCGACCCCCAAATCCCGTCGCACTCCGAAAAGTCAATTTGTTGCTGAGAAAAATGGGAATCGCGCGCGACAATAATGCAAAATCAACAAAAGCCGTTTTCAGCTTTCTAGTTCAAAAACACTTTTTGGCTTACAAAGAAGAGCTGGCGTCATTTCCCGAAAAACCATTCAAAAATTCGAAAAAATAGATGTAATCCCACTCCCATGGAGACGAAAAACGGAAGTTGGTAAACCTAGCAAAAAGTTGTAAGTAAAGGCATAAAAACGAACTGAAAATTGAAGGGAAGTGCCCGATTTGAGACACTCAGCTCCTTTTCTATTTTACACACATTCTCTGACCATGTCGTATGTGAAATTTCAAATGAAAAAAGCTAAAAGGCAAAACAAGTTGGCCGTTTTTAAAGTTACTAATTTCATCAAGATAAAAATGGAAAATCTCGCATACAAGGATCGAAAAAAAAATTTTGGAAATTTATATGTGGTCAAGACAAAGGTAAAGTGTAAAATCTGAAGAAATCCAGGTTTTCACATGTCGAGCATTCAATTACATATGAGCTGAGAAACCAATGTCGCGAAAAAAGTCACCAAATATGAAATCGACCATTTTTTGGGTCATCACAGAATCGATGAATACGTAGGGCAGGTGGAGGCCAGGAAAAAGATCGATAAATATTTTTATTTCTACTTCTACTAGCCTGTGCCATGCGTACAGCGACAAACTGTGGCACTCCAAAGTCTCGTCGACACCCGAAAAGACATAGTGCCAAATCAACTGCAACGAAAAAATTTTTTTTGAAGCAATCGTTGTACATTCATTCTGCTACATTTAAAGAAAGAATTCTTTTTTTAATAGACGTTCTAAAGCCCAGAATACTAAAAGGAAAAGTTTTCGAAAGGAAATTCGGTTTCTACGGCCACTTAAGGACGAGAGGCAAAAAACAAAGATGTGTTTTATAAGCGAAGAACCTTAAGGTTGAGGTGAAAGGCGTTGTGCGTCTTTGTGACGCTTTCCTGGCTCTTCAGAAAACGATTTGAATGTAACGAATATGTACCCTATAACTTAAAAAGTATAATACTTTTCTGGGGGCATTCTTGAAGGGCGGCAAACAGATTATAACAACACCTAATATAAGTTGTTATTACACTATTCTGAAGCATCTGCGAGACCATTTGGTCACTCTCCTTGTGCGTTCGCTTTCTGAACTCGCCATTTTTGTGGCCGATGCATCGGCCACAAAAATCGCGATGGCAACGTTTCAATGAAGTGTCAGCTTCCATTGGTCAAGCAGTGTTCGAAAAGTTCGATTTTATCATTTTTCCGTACAAACTTCCTCGCCGAATCTTTGCGGCATAAACTTTTTTGTGGTTTACACGCTTTCACAAAGAGGAAACCAAAGGAAAACAACGATTTATTGGAATAGTTTCTGTCGTCGTCTTAAAGCACAACGCAATTACCCATTAACCTGTCCGGCATGTGTTTTCTCTCATTTCTTCGGCTGATAAGCACACTGCGAGCATTTGCTTAAAAGGCTGGTTTATTTTCAAATCAGTTGCTCTGCTAATTGTAATCGTGATTTAGTACGAAAAAATCTACCCAAAACATTGTATAAAGCTTTGAAATTGGTGTGGAAAACACTTTATTTTTACAAAATGGCGTCGATTGTTGCGATTGCTTTGACTTTGATGTCTGCTTATATTGTGAATGCCATTCTGCCGGCGTTCTTGTTGTATATTCGGCAGAAATGGATTGCGCGCAACTTGCCCGGCCCCAGAACAGACTTCTTCTTTGGCAACATTCTGCAATTCCCCAAAGAATACAAAGGTAGGCACAGAAAAGTTTACAAGGCTAGCGTCCGACTCGCAAAAACTGAAAAGGTCCGTTCGGTAAGACGGTCCTCAAAAATGTTTTTTTTTTTACCCCTGTGGGATCTGTACAGGGTTTAGGACAGCCGATAGCGTGAATCCACTCCATTGTTTTTCTTTCATGCTTCTTTTTCTTAAGTAGTACTGTAAGATGAAAAAAACAAACAAGTATAAATTCGAAACAATGATCATTTTTTGCGCGGACTTTTTCGTACCCAACGCGTCTAATGCTGACAATGTGAGAGGAAATTGCAAGCTTAAAATTTGTGTTCATTGGAAGGATTTTGGAGTGTTCGAAGAATACCTACATAAAAAAACCAACCTTGGGATGCCTGGATGCCAAAAAAGATAAGCCACAAACCTTTTCTGCAAAGAAAAATTTTTTCGTTTTTGAGGAAATTTCTCGCATTTTAGATTATCGTGACTATTTCCTCGGCTTCGCCAACGAAGAGATTGCCAAAGGTCATAGTGTGGCGAGATTATGGGTTGCGAATCAGCTGTTTGTTTACCCGTTGAACAGCGACGCGACTCGCGCCATAACTTCCAGCACCGTCGAGCTGAACAAGGGCGACGTCTACAGTTTTGTGGGACGTTGGCTGGGAAAGGGGCTCATCACGATCGGAAATGAGGAGCGATGGCATCGGAATCGCCGTCTTCTGACGCCGGCCTTTCATTTCGCAAAGCTGGACGAGTACATCCAGACTATTGATAGGCATGCAAGGGTACGGTAGTTTGAAAAATCAAAAGTCGGCGCTCAGCGAGTTTTGCCATTAAAGGACCAGTGCAGCTATTTTTGAATCGCGTTTTTTATGGCGCGGAAACGAACGTCAAAAAAGTAACTCTGTAAGTATTAGAGAACAACACAAAAGAATGCATATTATGAAGTACTCGGAATTCTCTAGACGATAGAATCATTTCTTGGAGAAGCCGGCGGAAAAGCACTTTTTGCATTTAAATTTGCAATTTTCATTTTCCCGAGAGCCACGTCAAGGCTAGCCGACAACCCAAAAAACGTATACCCCATTCTCGATTGTTTATTTATTTTTTTACAGAGAGGAAAAACTTGGAAAATGCTGTGCGAATGTAGATTTTAGGACAAAATAAACCGCCGTTGATTTTGTAACGAAAACTTTTTGGTCCCTTCTAAAAAATTCAAACTTGAAAAAGCAAATGAGTTTCCGCGTTCATCTGCTTAAATCCAATCAAAGGCGCACCCAAATTAATTTTTACAGCATTTGGTGCAAGTTATCCGCCAAAAATGCACCACTGGCCAAATTGACCTTTATCCGATAATCAAAATGTGTGCGTTGGATGTGATTACCGACACCGCCATGGGCTGTCATATCAATGCGTTGGAGGACTCGGAACATCCGTACGTCAGAGCCGTCCAGAAGTTCAACCATCTTATCTACATCAGAGCCATGAACCCGCTCTTATCCATATCGCTAGTTTGGACCTATTTGGGGTATGAGAGGGAGAGCCAGAAGGCGTTGAAGGTGTTGAAGGACCAGACGTTTCAGGTGAGACCTTTGTGCTTCCCCGAGCGCACACCGCATTAAGTTTACACTGGGGATGTTCGAACTGCGACGTTTCGATGTTATTGAATTTTACGGTCACGCAGAACCTGGGTGGCATATAACCGTGGTTACAGAATTTGTCGGCTTTTATTTTTTCTGTAGGGTCAAATTTCGGTATAAAAATGGGTTGACATTGATTCTGAAAAATCAATGCGAACTTTAATTCTCGTCTTGCAGCGATTTAAAAAAAATCTACACCGGTTTTTCCCAAATTTTCGATTTTTTGGAAATTATTTTTATTTAGTATCCAGTGCCGACATTTTTTTGCATTGAAATTTGGCCCAACAGCAAAAATAAAGGCCGGGAACCTCTGTGACTTCTCCAGATTTTTTTGCCAATTCAACAATCTTGGCTGTTTCTGCAAAGCGCGGGCTAGGACTCTGTATATCGCTTAGAAAAAATTGAGTGTTACTTTGGCGTGAGAGATAGTTTGCGTATGCCGCGGTTTCCACTTCGCGTATACTGAAATGGTGAAAATTATGGCCGCGGATATACCGTTGCAAGTGAAAATTGGTCATTGGTTAACACAATTCTTTAAGATATGGCCTTACTTTATCGGACTTACGGCACTACTTGCTTTAATTTGGCCTAATCGCTTAAGCTGCTTAGGCTTGTCTCAGGCATAGCCTGCTTACTTTTAGCCGCTTAGGCCGCTAAGGCTTAGCGCAGGCTTAGGCTTAGCTTGCTTGGCCGCTTAGGCTGCTTAGGCTTAGCTCAGGCTTAGGTTCAGTTTGCTTAGCCGCTTAGGCTGCTTAGCGTTAGCACAGGTTTAAATTGCTTAGCCGCTAAGGCTGCTCAGGCTTAGCCTAATTTCTAGGCAGCTTTGCGCCCACACCTGCGTTGGGAATGTAGGCTGACGAGTCGCGTAGCGACGTAGCCCGGCTGCATCCCAACACAGCTTGTCTGGGATATATCGAGTCGGAAGTTTTACTCTCTAGGTTTCATCGAAATCTGAACGTCGCATTTGGGATACTTCCCTTCAGAGAGCTCCTTTCCTTGATTAGAAATGCCATTTGAAGTAAAATGCCGTTGTGTCCGTTGTGTAATGTCATTGTCGTTATAAACACTCAACAATGTTAAGGTGGTTACGGAGAGAATAAAACAACGCAAATTGGAGGACGCTAAGCCCCGGCCCGACTTCTTGGATCTGCTTTTGGATGAGTTTGACAAAGGAACGTTGCCTTTTGAGGAAATCTGCGAAGAGGTCTGACAAGCTACAGATTTTTCTACTTTAAGGTTTCTAATTTCTAATTTTCGAACGGTACTTCTAGGTGGACACATTCATGTTTGCCGGCCACGACACCACATCGCACGGTATCTCGTGGATCCTTTGGGCATTGGCTTGTCATCCCGAGGTTCAGGAGCAACTCTACGCCGAATTAATTGACAATTTCCCGAGCAAAGAAGGTCTGTCGGCCATCAAGCAAAAGAATCTCAAATATTTGGATGCGGTTGTGAAAGAAGGACTTCGAATTTTCCCGGCGGTTCCGTTTGTGCAAAGACGGTTGGTAAATGACTTGAGAATGGATGGGTACCTTATTCCGAGGGGCGCTCAAGTCACAATCGCACCATACTTTCTACATCACAATCCAAAGGTGGGAAGCCGAGGACATTAATTAGAAAGCAAAGGATTAGGGTATTCACTGACAACAATATAGAAGTTGTTTATCTTGGTAAATAGAAAGAAATTTGTAGGTTTTTGCAAATCACATGGAGTTTGATCCGAACAACTTCTTGTCCGGCAGGGACTACGAAAGCAATGCATATATTCCATTTAGCAGTGGGATGAGAAATTGTATTGGTAGGTTTAGCATTGGCTTGTGCATGTTCTACTGGCTTCACAAGTAATCGACGTTTTTACAGGCCAACGATTTGCTCTGTACGAAATGAAAATCGTGGTTGCCTATTTGGTGTTGAACTTTACATTCTCGTCCGCCGGCCTCGGATTTCGCGAGAACTATCCGACCTTTGAAGTCATCCTCCAGCCCAGTCATGGAGTCCCCGTCATTTTGGAAGAACGATGATGCAATGCTGATGTCAATTTGTCTGTCGCTAGATTATATTTGGAATTAAATGTGGAAAAACCTGTTTTAATTACACAACTGAACAGAAAAACTACGACGGCAGAAATATATAATCATTTTTCTAAGATTGCCAAACACTGTGCCATTAAAGGAATGTTGGTGGCTGATAGAAGTGGCAGAAGCAGAAATAGGATAAGACCTGAATGTTCTGTCACCTTAAGACTTGAGAGACAAGATAAGCGTTCAGCCTTTGGCTTGTGTAATTAAAGGCTTGCACATCGCCGACGTTTATCCTCCGGCTAAGTTGCAGTTTATTTGGCTCAGACTTATCCCTTAGAATCAGTATGTTATCTGTCTTTGAATTAGACTCAGTACTGAGCTGATGCCTCGTTAGGCTAAGATTGAGTAGCTAATATGTACTCAGTCTAAGCGTCAGCTAACGTTATAAGACTCAGTACTGAACTGATGCCCTGTTAGGCTAAGGCTTAGTAGCTAATATCAGTCTGAGCATCAGCTAACGTTATTACAGCTAAGCACTTAGTTAACTTAGGCTTAGGCTTAGGCTTAGGCTTAGGCTTAGGCTTAGGCTTAGGCTTAGGCTTAGGCTTAGGCTTAGGCTTAGGCTTAGGCTTAGGCTTAGGCTTAGGCTTAGGCTTAGGCTTAGGCTTAGGCTTAGGCTTAGGCTTAGGCTTAGGCTTAGGCTTAGGCTTAGGCTTAGGCTTAGGCTTAGGCTTAGGCTTAGGCTTAGGCTTAGGCTTAGGCTTAGGCTTAGGCTTAGGCTTAGGCTTAGGCTTAGGCTTAGGCTTAGGCTTAGGCTTAGGCTTAGGCTTAGGCTTAGGCTTAGGCTTAGGCTTAGGCTTAGGCTTAGGCTTAGGCTTAGGCTTAGGCTTAGGCTTAGGCTTAGGCTTAGGCTTAGGCTTAGGCTTAGGCTTAGGCTTAGGCTTAGGCTTAGGCTTAGGCTTAGGCTTAGGCTTAGGCTTAGGCTTAGGCTTAGGCTTAGGCTTAGGCTTAGGCTTAGGCTTAGGCTTAGGCTTAGGCTTAGGCTTAGGCTTAGGCTTAGGCTTAGGCTTAGGCTTAGGCTTAGGCTTAGGCTTAGGCTTAGGCTTAGGCTTAGGCTTAGGCTTAGGCTTAGGCTTAGGCTTAGGCTTAGGCTTAGGCTTAGGCTTAGGCTTAGGCTTAGGCTTAGGCTTAGGCTTAGGCTTAGGCTTAGGCTTAGGCTTAGGCTTAGGCTTAGGCTTAGGCTTAGGCTTAGGCTTAGGCTTAGGCTTAGGCTTAGGCTTAGGCTTAGGCTTAGGCTTAGGCTTAGGCTTAGGCTTAGGCTTAGGCTTAGGCTTAGGCTTAGGCTTAGGCTTAGGCTTAGGCTTAGGCTTAGGCTTAGGCTTAGGCTTAGGCTTAGGCTTAGGCTTAGGCTTAGGCTTAGGCTTAGGCTTAGGCTTAGGCTTAGGCTTAGGCTTAGGCTTAGGCTTAGGCTTAGGCTTAGGCTTAGGCTTAGGCTTAGGCTTAGGCTTAGGCTTAGGCTTAGGCTTAGGCTTAGGCTTAGGCTTAGGCTTAGGCTTAGGCTTAGGCTTAGGCTTAGGCTTAGGCTTAGGCTTAGGCTTAGGCTTAGGCTTAGGCTTAGGCTTAGGCTTAGGCTTAGGCTTAGGCTTAGGCTTAGGCTTAGGCTTAGGCTTAGGCTTAGGCTTAGGCTTAGGCTTAGGCTTAGGCTTAGGCTTAGGCTTAGGCTTAGGCTTAGGCTTAGGCTTAGGCTTAGGCTTAGGCTTAGGCTTAGGCTTAGGCTTAGGCTTAGGCTTAGGCTTAGGCTTAGGCTTAGGCTTAGGCTTAGGCTTAGGCTTAGGCTTAGGCTTAGGCTTAGGCTTAGGCTTAGGCTTAGGCTTAGGCTTAGGCTTAGGCTTAGGCTTAGGCTTAGGCTTAGGCTTAGGCTTAGGCTTAGGCTTAGGCTTAGGCTTAGGCTTAGGCTTAGGCTTAGGCTTAGGCTTAGGCTTAGGCTTAGGCTTAGGCTTAGGCTTAGGCTTAGGCTTAGGCTTAGGCTTAGGCTTAGGCTTAGGCTTAGGCTTAGGCTTAGGCTTAGGCTTAGGCTTAGGCTTAGGCTTAGGCTTAGGCTTAGGCTTAGGCTTAGGCTTAGGCTTAGGCTTAGGCTTAGGCTTAGGCTTAGGCTTAGGCTTAGGCTTAGGCTTAGGCTTAGGCTTAGGCTTAGGCTTAGGCTTAGGCTTAGGCTTAGGCTTAGGCTTAGGCTTAGGCTTAGGCTTAGGCTTAGGCTTAGGCTTAGGCTTAGGCTTAGGCTTAGGCTTAGGCTTAGGCTTAGGCTTAGGCTTAGGCTTAGGCTTAGGCTTAGGCTTAGGCTTAGGCTTAGGCTTAGGCTTAGGCTTAGGCTTAGGCTTAGGCTTAGGCTGCTTACGGTTCACTACTCACGACGATGTTTTTTTTGGTACCTTTTTTTCACCGGAAAGGACCCGTAAAGTGATAATGATTATCATCTACATATCACAACGTGCGTGGAGGCCATCAAACCACGTCAAATAATCAATTATGACGCAGGTATCGTATTAATTGATCTGCATCAACTTAACGTAAAAACAACTTCAGACAATACAAATCAGCGACACTGAATACGGGGCAACCTCATGTCAACGAAGAACAGAACCCGCAGAACAACAACCCGCAACATCCGCTTTCCTAACCAAATGATTGAACAAATTAACATCGCTCTTGAGCAAAAAGGGTCCGGGAATTTCTCAGCCTGGGTCATTGAAGCCTGCCGTCGGAGACTAACGTCAGAAAAGAGAGCATATACATCAATTAAAAGTGATGAAGAATGAACATCCCGCGTTCTTCCCTCCGAACAGGACGATATTGTAAATTCACTTAATTACGAGGGCATTGCAGTAATTGAGTTGCAGTTTTACCACTTTCCTGACAGTGACAGACTGCGTGTTGGCTCTGTCACAGACTAAATAGTTTGAATGATTAGCAGTTATGGTGATCAGTCAACCACCAGGGAATAATCCTTCATATTATTATCGTGCTTCACCAACGCTGCCTCAATTGCTCTGAATGCTTCCAGAGACACCTTATGTTCTATACATGCAATTACAACATCAGGGTAACTCATAGAAATGGTGCTATTAAGCATATTTTTTACACGAATCAGATCCACGGAGGGATCATCAGCAGATTGTTCTTTATTCATTTTGTCGCTCCATGCGCTTGCTCTTCATCTAGCGGTTAAAATATTACTTCAAATCTTTCTGTATGAAGATTTGAGCACGTTGGCCTTACATACATCTGTCGGTTGTATTTCCCTCCAGAATGCCAGCAGGACCGCACTTTGTTACGCAACCAATACTATTAAGTGAAAACATTCCTAATATTTGACATAAATCATCAACAAAACACAAGGAGGTCAGACCAGATTGAAACGATAAAAACGATAATGCAAACTACGCGCCCTCGTATCACATGGAAGGTTTTACCAATGGCTCAGGTTGCCATTTTTAAAGAAATATTCGATCAAGTGCGAAAAGATTTAGACTGTGAATTGTTTTATTCTGAACTAAAACGTCACAACGTCTCACATTATATTTACTATCTAGCCACAGATAATATTCACATCGTGTTAGAAAACGATAACACCGTGTTAATAAAAGGACTTAAAAAGGTTGTAAATGTTAAATTCTCAAGAAACACGCATCTTATAGAAACGTCCTATGATAGGTTGAAATCAAGAGAAATCACATTTCAGCAATACAGGGAAAATCTTGCTAAAGCAGGAGTTTTCCGATGGGTTACAAATATCCATGAACATAAAAGATATTACTATACCTTTGATAATTCATTACTATTTACTGAGAGCATTCAGAACACTACACAAATCTTTCCACGCTAAATCATAACGTCCGGTTTCTTCCGTGTCAGCACCGGGGCGTTGGCATAATGCAATACGTGTACGCGCTAAACCCTGTGTGCATCGTTTTAATTATTCCCGGACACTCCCGCAGAGAAGTTCCCCGTCAGGGCTGTGGACATAGTTAATCCGGGAATACAATGACGATTCATCGCACCTGACATACATTAATAAATATTAACAATATGAAATTTCAACTCATTGTTTAGGGTTTGTTTAATTTTCTACACATACGATTCTGCGAACTTCAAAAAGCATCGGGAATAACACCATGAAAAAAATGCTACTCGCTACTGCGCTGGCCCTGCTTATTACAGGATGTGCTCAACAGACGTTTACTGTTCAAAACAAACCGGCAGCAGTAGCACCAAAGGAAACCATCACCCATCATTTCTTCGTTTCTGGAATTGGGCAGAAGAAAACTGTCGATGCAGCCAAAATTTGTGGCGGCGCAGAAAATGTTGTTAAAACAGAAACCCAGCAAACATTCGTAAATGGATTGCTCGGTTTTATTACTTTAGGCATTTATACTCCGCTGGAAGCGCGTGTGTATTGCTCACAATAATTGCATGAGTTGCCCATCGATATGGGCAACTCTATCTGCACTGCTCATTAATATACTTCTGGGTTCCTTCCAGTTGTTTTTGCATAGTGATCAGCCTCTCTCTGAGGGTGAAATAATCCCGTTCAGCGGTGTCTGCCAGTCGGGGGAGGCTGCATTATCCACGCCGGAGGCGGTGGTGGCTTCACGCACTGACTGACAGACTGCTTTGATGTGCAACCGACGACGACCAGCGGCAACATCATCACGCAGAGCATCATTTTCAGCTTTAGCATCAGCTAACTCCTTCGTGTATTTTGCATCGAGCGCAGCAACATCACGCTGACGCATCTGCATGTCAGTAATTGCCGCGTTCGCCAGCTTCAGTTCTCTGGCATTTTTGTCGCGCTGGGCTTTGTAGGTAATGGCGTTATCACGGTAATGATTAACAGCCCATGACAGGCAGACGATGATGCAGATAACCAGAGCGGAGATAATCGCGGTGACTCTGCTCATACATCAATCTCTCTGACCGTTCCGCCCGCTTCTTTGAATTTTGCAATCAGGCTGTCAGCCTTATGCTCGAACTGACCATAACCAGCGCCCGGCAGTGAAGCCCAGATATTGCTGCAACGGTCGATTGCCTGACGGATATCACCACGATCAATCATAGGTAAAGCGCCACGCTCCTTAATCTGCTGCAATGCCACAGCGTCCTGACTTTTCGGAGAGAAGTCTTTCAGGCCAAGCTGCTTGCGGTAGGCATCCCACCAACGGGAAAGAAGCTGGTAGCGTCCGGCGCCTGTTGATTTGAGTTTTGGGTTTAGCGTGACAAGTTTGCGAGGGTGATCGGAGTAATCAGTAAATAGCTCTCCGCCTACAATGACGTCATAACCATGATTTCTGGTTTTCTGACGTCCGTTATCAGTTCCCTCCGACCACGCCAGCATATCGAGGAACGCCTTACGTTGATTATTGATTTCTACCATCTTCTACTCCGGCTTTTTTAGCAGCGAAGCGTTTGATAAGCGAACCAATCGAGTCAGTACCGATGTAGCCGATAAACACGCTCGTTATATAAGCGAGATTGCTACTTAGTCCGGCGAAGTCGAGAAGGTCACGAATGAACTAGGCGATAATGGCGCACATCGTTGCGTCGATTACTGTTTTTGTAAACGCACCGCCATTATATCTGCCGCGAAGGTACGCCATTGCAAACGCAAGGATTGCCCCGATGCCTTGTTCCTTTGCCGCGAGAATGGCGGCCAACAGGTCATGTTTTTCTGGCATCTTCATGTCTTACCCCCAATAAGGGGATTTGCTCTATTTAATTAGGAATAAGGTCGATTACTGATAGAACAAATCCAGGCTACTGTGTTTAGTAATCAGATTTGTTCGTGACCGATATGCACGGGCAAAACGGCAGGAGGTTGTTAGCGCAAAAAAAATTCCAAAAAAAAATTCCAAAAAAAAAGCGACTAACAAACACAATCTGATGGCAGCAATACGTAACTGAACGAAGTACAA